GATTGGCAGTATTATCTCTTGTACAAGCACAGCACGTGAGATTCAGCGTTTGCATCCCTAGCTTGCCCCAGATGTCGCAGGTGGCTTGAAACGGTGGGCAGATCTGGACCTTTCGAAAGGTCACTGAGCCGTGATGAGATATCATCATGCACAACTCCTTCATAATTCTCCGAAGACAGGCGCGCTTTACATCATCGACCAAACTATTCTCAAACTCCTCGGAGAAGCAGAAGCATAAAACGGTATATACAAGTACCAGCATTACCGCTGGATTCTTCTTCAGTCTTTTTTCAAACGACCACACACAACATATCGAGACCATCTCAAAACGCAATCCTCAAAATGCGTCAACACTTCTCGTCCCTCGCTCTGTGCTTGATCGTCCTCCTCTTCACGACTTTTGTTCTCGCAAACCCAATCTCTGAAGCCTCTTCTCCCAACCCTGCACTCAGACTCGCCAAACGTTCGGCTTGCAGCAATGGAATCAAGACCAACTGCGGTTCTGCAAGCGTAGGATGCTCTGGCTCTCAATGCTCTGTCTGTTGTGGCACTTGTTGTCAATGCTTCACGGGTAAGTTATCTTTGCTCCCAGGACGTGTTCGCGACGCTAACACAAGCAGCTNNCCTCGCGACAACTCGTGCGGTAGCAGCACCCCGATCGTGACTCCTGATTGCAGTGGCAAGTGTGGTTCGGGAGGCGGTTCTTCGTCTTCTTCTTCTTCAACCGGAACCAGTGCTTCCGCCTCTGCAGGCTCGCAGTCGAGCACCAAGAGCTTGCTTTGCAGATTGTTCCGCATCGGATGTTGAGTCTTGAGCAAAGTCTAGTTCAAAATGCCAAACTGCTTGTTCAAAGGCGAGTTTGTGGATGTCGAAAAGGTGGCCATGTATGTTTCTGATTCACAATATAAACGTCCATTAACATACAACATATCATTTATCGCGAAGATCTTGACTTTCTCTTGTTCGTGACTTACTTCTCTACCTTCGTTTGACATGCTATGACTTATCTGACTGAGATTGCTGCGCGTATAAAGCGACTCGAGGAAAGGCCGAAGAAGATACTTGTCGTAGAGCGCGGCGAATGATCACAACACATAAAATCACAGAATTGTACAGATTAGTAAAGTGACCACAGACTTGGCGCCTCGAAGGTTCTATAGCATTTATTTGTTATGCCGGTAATCGTCCGAGAGACATGAACTTGGGCGCTGCCATCACAGGCATATGCAGATATTGGCAAGCGAGTATCAGCATTGTTCATCTTGTCCCCAAATCAATACCGATACAATGATCAACAATGGATCACAAGATGATCAACATGTAAACCGTAAAACTACTTCGGAGGCCTGCGTGCGTACAACCAATCCTGTTTCAGCCCACTTAACCAAATACAAATCCTTCGTAGTCGCTCGAGCTACACTTTTTCGAGAGCTTGCAATTTTGAGGCACGACCCCCATGAAGAATAAGGGCTCACGTTCGTCCCTTGTGGCAGAAATCGCATGCGATAGTCGCGAATGTTCCACGTATCGGCGACAAATCGGAAGCAGGCACGCAACTCTGCAGAACCAGGGAAGTGCCATGTCCAAGTTCACTTCTTTCTGAGCTCTGACTGCGAGAACTCGTAGTGAGGAATAGGACTGTCAACTCGAGCGCCGGGAGAACGATTCCAATACCTTGTCAAATGTCATTCATGTATCAGCAACTGTGATGGCTCAAATGACATTCAGTACACTGCTGCCCTCTCACAAGAAGTCGGAAATCATACATTAGTCCAGCATACAAAAACAGGTTTTTGGGCCTGGATATAGGCTTGTATGGATATAGGAACGGAGCATGGAGACAACTATCAACCTCGAATACCAGAACACCAAGTCAACACCATGATCAGTTCTACCGAGATCAGAGACAAGTTCAGTGTGCGGTTGGCCGGTCTTGCAAACCTAAACAATGCCAGGCACGGACACGGACACAGGGTTCGAGCTTGCAGCAACCTTGCTCGGCGGATTGAGACAGAATGGAACGCTCTTCGAAATGAACCTGTCGTGTGGGTGTCGGGTGAACATTGATCCAGGCCATTCTTCATTCTGTTCGAAGTACAGGGGCTGGGTTTAGAACATCCAGAGGCAGCAATATCTGCTTGAGCTGCAGGGACATCACTGGGGACAGGGCATGCATAGTTCCCAAAGTTCGAAGTGACAGTACTAGTAAGATGGGAGCTGATGATTTTGCTGGTCGTGCCTAGATGCTCTCGTGGCTGCAGTAAGCCACACGAAAACATGACCACTTAAAGTGCCGAAGGGCTGAGAAGACGGCTCGATGTGCTATAATATCTCGTGGACAAGTTGTTAAACTTGGTCATCTCGGTCTATAATTTTGCCTCCACCAAGCATCAGACTAAGGCTTGCAGCAATGGTGCAGTCAGCCTCGATGTTGCGGATCTTGTGGTTTACTCATACGTCAGCTGGATGCAAGCAGCTACGTGCCGACCGATATTTCATCCCAATCACCAAGTTCGCTTAGATCCTTTGACCGTCGGGATTTGTCGTCAATCGATAGGTCCACAGTTTTGTCTTTCATGACCATGAAATGTGAGCCAGCTTCATGGTAGCGTCGAATGTGTCGATGGCTTCTTCTAGAGGTTGGGAAGTGCAATATTCTGAGATCACATATCGCTGGGAACACAAAGTACCTGTTGATCTGCGGTCGGCGTCTCCAGCGCGCATGACAGCCTGCTCAAATGTGGTGAGGATCGAGCTGAACCCAGCAGGCATACCAACCTGCCGACACCCTTCCTCAAGAGCGTTGATGCTTGAGCGCAACAACTCTGAATCAGCCTTTGACCAGATCTTTGACTGCTTCAAGATGCAAACAGTAATCACGTACACTGCCAGTAACGGTTGATCCAAGGTAACCAATGGCGAAGAACCACAATTCTTGACAAAGTGCAGATACGTTGTGAGGATGTCTCTGGCTGAATCAACGCAGATACCTTGACTTTGCTGGAGACGGCGTGCATAGCGATACTCTTTTCCACATAGCTTGCTGATTGCGCTGTCGCTCGCAAAATCCCCAACGAGAGCCGTACGATGCAATGTCATGACTGCATGATGGAATTGAAAGCTCAACAAGGTCTTTAAGGCGAGTTGACCAGGTAGACAGTGCACTACCCCATGACGTGGGTGTAGAGATGGGCACAGAGAGTCCGACCAATTGTTCAATGCCTCATATAGCTCGTCTTGCATCTTTAGCATTGGGTCGAGATTCGAAGAACACCTCCACGTTGTCTGGTCATAAAATTCTTCTGAAATTCGGCCTTGTATCTTTGCAAGCTCCATAAAGGCCTTCCAGATGCTCGATCGGTTGGGAACATCTTGGTCAAAACTGCAGTCGTGCGTGCTCGATGGACGACCAGTTTCGAGAGCTATTGACTTTTCCAGAGCGTATGCCGTCCACCAAACTCGTCTGTCTATCTGCTGATCCGCTACTGTAAGGTGATCATTGCCGTACGAGGGAGTCCTGTGTAGGCCCATGGAATTCAGTATACTGATGGCTTGTCTGACAGCGTTGAAAGCAGCTCCACTTTTACTCCTTCCTCGATGTTCGATAGCGATGAGCAAAAGAGCTTGTGCGGACTCCAAATACGGAAAGCTCGACAGAAAGCCAGTAAGGGAGCAGGCTGCTTCGATGTAGACTTGCGCGACTTCATGACGACCCTTTGCGCGAGCCCCTAGAGCCATACAAGCATACACTGCGGCCATCAGAGGCCTCTCGCGTACTGAATTCCACTCCAAAGTCTCGAATCTGCTCAGATATGTTGCAGCTCTGACGATGGTTTCTCTACCTACGACTGGAAACAGCGGACCAACTTCCTGGAAATAAGCGTCCACATAATCAGCCCATTCGGGACGCAGAACTGGCATACTAAGACTAAGAGATCTAGGTATGTCGAGTTCTTCGCAGTGTTGAGAAGCTTGGCGAAAATGTTCGGAAAGGTCCTTGTCGAAGACGTTAGAGTTCATGTGAAGCCATTGAGCGAAAGCTTGGAGGCTGCTCGGTCCATTGTATTTGCGTTGGGAGATGCCAGCTGAGGTGTATATGGTGAAGGCTTGCTGACTTTCTCTGACCTTGGACGACAGACCATCCAGACTGTCAGAAGCGAAGTCTTCTAGCGCTGGCGGCGTATCTTGCGCATCGCGATTCGAATCGGTGAAATAGACACTGACTGGGGTTCCGAATGCAGTGCGAGGAGATTTGATGTGGATTGCTAAATCGTCGGAGAACTCCTCGTTTAAGGTGTCTTCATCGGCATGGGTCAAACCAGGTGAGGGACTCGCAAATTTGTGGGTGAGTGTGTTTTCGAAAAGCTGTTTCTTGAACGCATGTTGCGTTTCCGTTGCGTTCGAATGCCTTCGCTTTCGACTTGCCTCCAGGCACTCCAATTCCGTCCCCATTGCCATGTGCCCTCACGATGGTGCAGATCTTCAAAAGTTATCATGAGCGAATGAAAATTGACAACGAAGGTCGTCACCGTCGTTGGCAAGTGGCGTGTGCACGACGGTTGCGGACATCGACGTCGGCATGGTTTAGGGACCGCGCCGTGTGCGTGTATGATGACCTGCAGGCTGCAGCGGTCCAGATGCTGCTCAAGCACATGCCTGTGTGATTGATGGTCACCAGCACTCGGCGGGGCAGAGAAAGAGGGGAAGAGATTGACCGCCGAGAGTCCAAGCGTTTGGTGGCTGAGAGCGGCCGAGATGACCACCACCGAACCGACCGAGCCGAGCTCCTTCCCCTTCCTCCACACTCGTCCGCATCCTGCAACAAGACACAGGTCATGCGACAACGACAAGCTCGTCATTGGTCACAATGTACCATCGTCGTTATAAGACTTGACGCCCGAGGTCAAGGTAAGCTCCACTCCACTGATAACCTGACCGACATCCACAAATATCAACTCCTCATGTCTTGCACCTCAATCTCCTTCAGACTCATTGTCCAGGACTATCACAAATGGCGATCGGGTCAGAAGTAGAACACTGGGATGTGGTAGTGGTTGGTGCAGGAATTGCTGGTCTCGCANGCTGTACGTACACTGAACTCGGCTTCGAAAATGACCAACTAATCCTTGTCTAGGCGATCGCTCTCCGACAAGATGGCCGCAGAATCCTCATCCTCGAAAAATCGAGCATGAACAAAGAAGTGGGCGCATTAATCTCTCTGCAACCCAACGCCTCGAAGATCATCAATGAGTGGAACATGCAACCATTCCTGGCAGAAAAGAAACCAATGGTCGACGAAGCCTTCCGCCTTCTCAATGTCGAAGGAAAATTACAGGTCGAGATGAAACTCAACTCTTCACAATTTGGTGCCGATAGAATGCTATATCATCGCCAGGATCTTCATGATGCTCTTCGCCAAGCAGCTGTTTCGGAGGGTATGCCTGGTTCTCCTGCCGTCATTCGTACTTCCTCTGGTGTTACTGGTTGCGATTGTGCGTCTGGAATTGTTCACCTCAGCAACGGAACCTCAGTCCAGGGAGATGTTATCGTCGGAGCAGATGGTATCCGCAGCGCCATCAGAGACGAAGTCATCAAAGACACCACAAGCGAAGGCTCAAAAGCCATACCGACTGGCCTCTCCGCCTATCGCATCCTCGTCGAAACAGACAAATTGCCAAGATTGGACGTCGCAGAGGATGTATTCGACCTCAAGCGCTCAGCAACAACCATGATAGTCGGTCACGACAAGCGAGTCATCATGGGTCCCGGTAGAGGAGGCGAAATGTTCGGCCTTGTCTGCCTTGTCCCAGATCCAAATCCAAACGGAGAAGGTACATCATGGAACAATGCCGCTCCTCTACAAGAAGTGCTCGATGCGTTTCAAGCATTCCCCGCTTGGGTCCGGGAAATTATGTCTCATGCCCCGGATGTTGCGCTCTGGCAACTGCGAGATATCGATCCACTGACCACATGGACAAAAGGACGCGCCATACTCATTGGCGACGCAGCTCACGCAATGTTACCCACACAAGGCCAAGGTGCGAGTCAAAGTATCGAAGACGCCGAAGCATTGCAAGCATTCCTGTCAGAAATCACCTCCAATTCTTCTGCCGATGAGATTCACGAACAACTATTAGCAATCGTGAATGCGAGATATGAGCGTGCATCGTTGATCCAGGCATATAGCAGACTGCAAGCAAAGCCTGCTGCATCACAGGACAACAAGACGGTTCAATTGAACCCGCAGGNNGAGTTTATGCAGTACAACTGCAACTATTCGGGCGCGAAGGATTGGGTTAAGAGACAGCGTGAGGCTGAAGAAATGGCGTATAAGCAGACTGCAGCCAGAGCTTGAAAATCATATTCATGAGCATGTCAATCTACGAAGCTATTCCACTATTCATGTTCTCGTCTTGAAGTGCTTTTTTTCGTTCAATAATGCATCCTGCTACACTAAACATAGCTACTTACACCACCCTTAAACCTCTCAAACACACCGAGATCGAACTTGTTAGCGATGAGTTGATATCCAGCCTCATTCGGGTGCAAAAAGTCTCCACTGTCGTAGAGTGGGTTCAGATAGTTTGGCGCATTCGGATCTGCCAGCCAAGCATTGAAGTCAAAGACTGCATCGAACGTCTTGGAGTTGCGGATGAAGTCGTTGACGCGATTCACTGTTGCCACTCGCTGTGGTTGAGTGTATGTTCCGGCGGTTGCGTTTGCTGCGCCGACTGTACATATGATTAGCTAAATGCCTAGAACTCAAGAATCGGGAGATGTACTAGGTGTGATTGTTGCTCCAAAGACGGGAATGCCAAAAGTGTGCATTCGGGTGACCATTTGCTTGTATGCTTGAATGAGTCGCTGTTGTATGTAAGCTTCTTGACGCTTCTTGACGCTTCCTGACGCTTCATTCCGCAGTCGCCAAACTCTTACCTGATACACCATTTCTTGACTAGCATCGTCCAACGCAGCAGTACCAATATCATTGACACCCTCAAAGATCATCGCATACTTGGCTCCAGGCTGAGCAATGACATCCCTCTCCACTCTACCCATAGCATTAGGTCCATTGCCATCAGCCAAGACACGATTACCTCCAGCACCTTGATTGCCCACTGCAATATTCGCAGTTGCGGGATTCTTCTGCATACGTGCAAGCAGATTATCAGTCCATTTGTTGTTGCCATTGTTCCAGGATCCGCGTCCGTCGGTGATGGAATCGCCGATGATGTAAATGGCGCTGGTGGAAGGAGGACTCCACACTTCAAGGCCAGAGATGAAGAACCAGTGTTGTTGCGTCATGGCATTGTCGCCGGTAATGTTGTAGTTGTTTATCTGGTTACCCATGCCATAGTAGGAGTTTGTGCGAGAGCCAGGGTGAGAAGTGATGATGCTGGAGTTTTGACCGTCTTTGAGATATATCGAGATGGACAGTTCTGATTGTGCGGCGATGGGAAAATCGATGGGGTCAGAAACTGCGATAGAGCCGTCGGGAATGATGATGGAGCTATTGCCACTGAAGGTGAGCTGTTTGATGGTGCTGGTGTCGATGATACGGGAACCGGTGCCTGCGGGATATGGCGCACCAAGCACAGTGCCATTGAGAGTGGTTTGCAGCGCGTTAGGATCTTGAAGTGGAAGANNCTTTGTCGGTCAGCGCACGCCCAGGATAATCTGGGTCCATTTCTGAACTCACGCGATCGAAACAGCTGTGATGGGCAGATTCACAACTCCATTCTGGTTGCTGATAGTCAATCTTATTTGCTGTCCACCGATTGAAGTGTGAATGGTTTGACGAATTGTGCTGTTGGGAAACACGAGATTCGATTGGTTGTAGTAGCCAGGGCCAGGTAGGTTCGTATACTCGGCTACTTGTTGCATGGAGACCCAAGTGTTGACCCAATGATAGTTTTGGGTGCCATGTTGAGGACCTGGAGGACCCGGCGGGCCTGGCGGGCCGGGAGGACCTGCGTTTGGGAAGCATGACACAAGACCAGTGTATGTTGCAAGCAATGAGATGACCGATCGGTGGAACATGTTCGGGGTGAATATCAATCTTGAGATCAGGATCCTAGGGAAGCTGCCATCTTTTTATATATTGCGTCCCACAAATAGGCTGATGAATTAGAGCTTCGTGTCGGAAGAGCAAAGCGGAGGAGCTCAATCAGTCGGAGCTCCGCATTTGCCATGACCAAACGCAGGCACTCGGTGAACCGTGAGCTCACATGGATCTTTGTGGAGATGGTGTTAGCCGATGCAAGCCTGGTAGAGATCCGTTTGGCGCGATTATTCTGCTCGTCATGGATGAGAAGGTGCGGGGGATAAACTGGGGGATAAGTCTGGTTAAATCATCAAAATGAGCGGGGTCCGGGCCGGCAGACGGCAACTCGAGGACAAGAACTTTGGGTAAAGTCATCGCATTCAGACACCAGAGGCATCCCCATCAAGCTTGGAGACCTACAGATCCATGGACTAGACTGCACTGAATGAGAATTCCTATCTGTTAAGTGAATCTTCTTGGTACAATAATGAGTCATTGTCGCGATGGGAGACCAGTCAGCGAGCAGCACTGCTTGCAGTCGTCGTTCTCTGCCCCTCCTTGCGAAAATTGATCGCGAGCATCGATTCCAGCAATGCCCTTCTGTATATCCTGGCGATGATGAATCTTGACGTTATCCCATAACATGAGTTTTGACATCTACAATAGAGCCCCGATACGAGGTTGACACCTGCAAAGGCATGGTTCGGAAATGGATCCAGGGTCGTACACGCACCATCCTTATTCGAGACCACAACTTGACACACTAATCTGTGAGTGTTGATAATCATGCCTTCTCAGCGAGATAATGAACGTGCTAATATCTCGGAGATATCCGCGTCATGGATAACGATATAAATCAGGGCGGATTCCAACCCATGAAGGTGTCGCCATGAGCATGTTGGATGAACAGATTGGGTTTGTTGAGATCTTGTGTGCAGATGATGTCCCACATGAGAAGAAGGACCGTACTTGAGTGAAGCGAACGCAGTGGTAGCACTGATTGAGTACTGCGAACGAACAATGTAGGTCGACGACCCCGAACGACGTAAGCTGCCATCTTGGCAGCTATATAGAAAAACCACCCACTCGACAATAAGGACAACCGAAACCTCTTGCATAATCGTGATTTGGAAATAATTGAGGGATGAAAATGCGCTGTCAAAGTGAAGTCTAAGCTTCTGAGGTATGGAGGATATCATACGAGAATATACAAAGCACAACGATGATGGTAACAAATACAGACGTCCATCACAAAGATTCCACACCTGGTCTTCAAGAAGAATATAGATCAATCGCACTCTGTAGCGCGTCATCAATCACAGCAACAGCAGCATATCCGTTATCCTTGTCGGCTGTGATCTTCGACACCAGAGCAGCCGAGAAGGTATCATGGTCGTTCTTCAACAGCTTCAGTCCAGCAAGAATAACAGCCTTCTGACTTGCAAATGCGTCGTATTTGGATTTGAGGACATTGACAGAAGCTGGAATATCAACGCCGACACTTGAAGCAGTGTACTCGACAATTGCAGTTGAGTCATCGGCATTGAAAGGTGTGGCCCGGAGATTCGCGTCAACAAAGCCTTTACGGTTGGCGACATGAATGGCGGCAATGTCTGCACCGATGGGCAGCTCAGCGATGAGACCGCCATTGTATGCCTCGATGGATGCGGTCAGGGCATTGACTCCGTCGTCGATGCCTTTGATGTCGGAGATCAGTGTTTGGGCTGTGATGATATCGCGAGATTGAAGAGGTGCTGCGAGGGCAGTGCACGCCAGGAGAGAGGAGACGAGAAGTTGAAGACGCATGTTGTGTGTTGAAGAAGAACGTTCGTGTCAGATGAAAACATGAGATTAGGTGAAAGCGGCAGGACCTAGCTATATGTTATGTTTGTCGACCTTGCGAAAAACCTGGACCCTCAGACTTAGGGCGTCATGTCTTGTCCAAAGCGCCGAGGGGAATCGTTGCTTGTTCCTGTTGAAGGCCGATCTGCAATGATCGCCGGTGCTGTCAATGTCGGCTTCGCACGTATTTTCAAGCCATACCGAGGCATGTATTTTGCGTCTCACACACATTCGGATACAGTGCTCAGGTTATAGTCCGCAATGCAGCTTGTCGCAGAACAATTCGCACGTATCGTCTTCGGTGCGAGCAAGCCAAAGACCTCGTGCCTGGCCGTTGCAAAACTTACACGCGAAGCGAGCTGAACTAGTCGCCATACCAGGTGTGGGGTTGCTGATCGCTCGCGACTCGAGATCGTCTCGGCCGAGTGGACCATCGTGGTCGCTTCGTCCGTGAGAATTACCAAATTCTGTCTATTGAGCTCGAGAACCATCTCTCTGAAGACATAAAGGTACTGACCGCGCAAGCCCAGTCTTTTTGCTCTATTGCACCTCTTCGCGTCCCATATCACCGTACCAAAATGCGCCTTCTTTCAACTCTCAGCGCTCTGCTGGTCTCCGCTTCGACCGTCATATCAGCTTCGGTTGACGACGTCTACAACGACATTACCTCCCTTGACCAAGATGTCCAGGCATTGACCGACATGGTCCGCGGCTACCAGGGCGGCCTCATTGCTCAGGGGCCACTCCTCCTACAATTGACAAAAGTCCACGTCGCGACCCGCAAGGGCGGATACGATGCATCGACTCTACCTACCACACCCCTCTCGGAGAGCGACGCCTTGCGACTCATCGAGCATGTCAACACGACTCTTTCAGTCGACAACCCAATCGCCGTCAATGTGCTCAAGTCGAAGAAGCCGTTGTTCGATACGAGCGGTACGGATCCATTCATCAAGGCAGGACTGCAGATCTTGCTAGATGATCACTTGTACTTCAGCAACGAAGTCTTGGAGAGGGCTCCTCAGGACTTGATTGCAGAGGCCAACCGAGTCGTGGATGTGATCAGCAATGCGCTGCAGGAAGGTATCGCCGCTTTTTCATAGACGTTTTGTCCTGAATCCTCAGCTGTCTCAGCTGCTATCTGATTGTATTGCCACCTCTTCCACGACGTATCCAACGATAATCTAGTGATGTTTCCAGAATCTAATAGCAGAGCGAAGTCCCTGAGCTAGCGAGGCATGCCCGAATATCGTGTCGAGATCGTGCCTCGTCATCACCATTCGGAGAGGCAGCGTTCGGAGTGGAGTCGCGTCAGGAGTAAGACCATGGAACACATAAGAGTATCCGAGGTATTACGTCTAGCGCCGGACAGTTCGATAAACCGAAAGACAAGGCCAGAAAAGGACAGGGCAGGTTGAATGTCTTTGCGGCTGAAAGGATTGATGGAGATGGACGGCATCGCGCGGTCGGCAGAGTCGACGAGTGCTCTAGACGGGAGTCGGTTCAGCGGCGACTGGCCTGTACAAGTTACGGAATACCTTGCACTCGTGTCGCTGAGGAGACACAATCAGCTGTTGCGAATGGTCTGAAGCAGACACATGATGGTCAGGTAGAGAAGGCACAAGTAACAGCTCTCAGGAGGAAAGAGCGAGACAAAGACGTTTGCTTGGCGTTGTGGAGAGCGCCCGAGGTTTCCAGTGACCCGCCCGAGGGGTTCTTCGTCTTCGGGGCCATCTTCCCCGTCTGCCGCTGGATTGTATACCTCGTTGATCTGGGACAGTCGTACTGATTGTAGTATCAGGGGATGAGCATTGGACTGACAAGTTCTTGTTCCTCACGCTGTCTTCTCGTAATCTCAAGGCTCCCGAGATGCAACACGCCGCGTTTCGCCGCCGACGGACGCTCACCAGATATCAACACAGGACGTGATAGGAATAGCGAACATCAGATCTAATATATCCTGGACCCTGACCTCGACTGTTCATCAGGATGGATCCGCCTCCAGCAAAAAAAGCTCGCCTTACGACGGCATGTAATGAATGTCGACGGCGGAAGGTCAAATGCGACGCCAACTATCCGAAATGTTCAAACTGCTGCACTAGGAACTCCGAATGCTTCACCAGTGACCCCAAAAGACCAGATGTCCCAGTCATCCGCGAGTGGGTCGAAGTCCCAGAGAAACCGACTGCTCAAGGTCAGCCCTTACTCGCAGCGCAAAGTCACCTTACGACAATACCTTCGGAACCGGATGGATCTAGACGCGATATTCTTGGACCGAACCACCTTCAATCCAACATTACGCAACATCATGTAACTTCTCCTCCAACACATAACAATCACACGCCAACCGTCAATGGCAATTTAGGAACCCCTGTCCTTACAGAGACGACGGATGTCTCGCCAGTTCAACAGCCACATGACATGACTTTCAATCTCGACTTTGTGAACAACAGGTTCAAGATGCTAGGCGCCAGTAGCGGTCAATGCTTGACCAAATCACTGGATGTCTACCTCAAGTCCTACAACGTAGAACCAGTTTCTGCCTTGTTTCGGCACGGCATGCAGCACGCCGAGGAGATGGATCTGCCTCTATCACTCGACTTGATACCGTTCCCGGACTACAGCACAAGACAGACCTTCATGGATGCCTACTTTACTCGTATACATGTATACTATCCCGTCACCGATATTGATGAGACCAAAGCCATGGTCCATCGGATAGCGCCACTGCCAGATCTCAAGTCTGTGTCGTACACCAAGGTTCCATTCCTCGCGATAGCTTATCTTCTGATGAGTATAGGCGCGGATGAGGTGAATGGTGGTCCATCAGAACTTGGCACGAGATATCTGAAGGTTGGCGCGATACTCGCTGGTCATGCCGTCAACTATCCCTACTTGACCACAGTACAATCTCTTCTCCTCCTTGCTATATGTTACCGAGGCCGCAACAAAGATGGTCTAGGCTGGGCAGCTACTGGATCAGCGATCAGGATTGCGCAATCTATGGGATTGCACCGACACTCTGCTGTGAGACCGTCAGATCAGCATGGCATCCAACGACGAGACCAACAGCTCTTTCATGCTCGCATTTGGGCAATTTGTTGCTGCTTGGAAAAGACAGCCCAACTCGAATGTGGAAGACCATCTGCCATCAGCGTGGTCAACACGGACCAAATGATGTTGGAAGAACAAAAAGCCCCGGGGCACGACTATCTAGCGTTCAACATGGCTCTCGCAGAAGTGCAGCATGATATATCCAGACATCTGTATGAACATCAGCCTGGTGAAAGAACGGCAAAACAAATCTTGCTGGACACTGCTCGCCTGGACAAGAAACTTCTACTCTGGCCCAATCTAGTGCCTGCCGAACTCCGCCCGGGTAACGATATCCTTTGCGGAGATAATCAATACCATCTTGCTGCAATCATGTCTTTCCAATATCACCAAGCTGTCATTGCTGTACACCGAGCTGCGTTGATTCAGCCCTTGGCAGCTCTACAGCGCGAGATCGACAAGGTCCTGCCCGATAATGACGCTCGATACAGACTCAAGGGTGGCGAAGCAATTTGTGTCAGCAGCGCCAGAGCAGTTGCCAGGATCACAATCGAGCTGCTGGAAAGGAAGATTGACTCGCGCCTCTTAAGTGCTGGGCCTGCTTTGTTGGCATGTGTAGTGCTTGCTACATATATCGTCAAGAATCCAGGAGGCAGAATGCAGCTTTCAGATATAGAGGTTTGTCTCCCAGTCTCATCACTGTATCATTTGATGGAAGCTAATGTTTGTTTGTTGCAGCTACTCAAAGCGGTCGCTGAATGGACGTCTGGTCAATTCCGAAAGACTGGCATGGACGAAGATTTTTCCAATAGTGAGTTCGGCCCCCCAGACCGCCGCTCAATTGACCTGCATCTACAAGATCTCGGACCATACTAACAATCTTGCANNGGCGCAGCTAACATATGCAAAAGAGTTATGGAGTGTCTGTCACGGTGGAAGTCAGCACAAACCANNAATGGACATCGCACAATCATCAAGCAAACGACTTCCGCAGTAATTTGGGAAACTCAAGCAGCACAACAAGTCTTAGCAACCACACCAACAATACCAATCAAGTCAACAACAACAACAACAAAAACAATGACAATATGATACAACCCTCACCGATCAACTACCACACATCGAGCAGCAGCGGACAAAGCCNATCAAGCAGGTGTATCAGGAGTATCAGACTCCTCGCCCGCATCCAATATACTGAACCGCGAACATTCTACAATGCAGATCGCCAACGTTCTGCTTGATAATGCAAGTCATACCACTGCAATAGGCAGTATTGACGACATTCCCGATATCAGTGCTTTGCCGTTTGAGGGCTACAATCTCGAAGAATTGTGGGACTGGATGGATTCAGGCGGTGATGTTGGAGGATTTGAGAACATCGACTGGACCAACGGCACTGGATTTGAAGATCATTGAATGTCAAAAGTGCGGTATCTACTCGCTACTATCATGTATCGGGGATCATCTATGTTGCACCTATTCAAACCTTGATATTTATGAATGGCAACATGATCTTGCTGGGGTGGTCAGGACCAGGGTGAATGATGTGTTCACCTTTATTCAACTCATGCTCCGGTCTCGGCCCCGAGAAACTGGTAAACTCGGTAATGGCAGGCTGCTGTCCACCAATCCTGACAGGAATGCTTTCACCAGCATCGTAATGCACACCCGTAGCCCAGATGCCAATTTCCAGCTTGACAATCTCGTTTGACGATATCTCTTGCTGGCGCTTGTAAAGGTGGACAGAGAATTGCGGGTTTATGCTCTTGTACTCGTCGATTTCGCGTTGAGAAGCGCGAAGGATGCCTGTTGCGCCTGAGAAGAGGTTCGAAGACGCCATNTCCCTTTTGGGGATCTCGTCGATGGAGTTTACGCGTGTGGCTTCGATGGGGAAGTTGAGACAATACAGGGCTCTGCCGTCCTTCTCTATCTTTCGCAAGATGATGAAGACGGTGAAGTCGTCGCGGGAGGTATCTGCGCAGGAAACCCAAACGATTGCTTTGGGGAGACCGAGAAGGCTGGTTGGTCAGTCGAAGGTGTGGATGAATTCAGAGAAGCCGAGTTGCTTTTTCGAGCCGTAGGAGAATTTTTGGAGACTTGATGGAGGTGCGTCGACGAGTTTCTTGTCTGGACCGAGGAATAATTCTTTGTAGTCTGTGTTTGGGAGGGGGAAGTCTTCGATGAGGACGTTCTCGATGGCTTTGCGATCGCCACATTGGAGGAGCGCCCGATTGAGTCTGGGAGTTCAATCCCAGTTGTTTTGCTTGCCCTTCAAGAAGCGGTCGAAGTATTTCTGCAGCTCGTGGTTAGATTTGGGCTGACCGTACAGCTCGTACCACCCTTGAGTGCTGCCCCAATGAATCCGTTTTCGATCGTGCTTGCTCTCGAGCCATCCTCCGATGGAACTCATGGTGTGCAAGGCGCTCACCTCTGAGCCTCTCATGTAGACGGGACACCGGATCTTTTTCACGTCGATCCTCTTGTCTTCCCAGAACTTGCTGTCCACAGGCTTTCTTCGGTACATCTCGTCCAAGTCGTCCAAGTCTTCCAAGCCAGAGTTTGGGTTGTAACGGACGATGGCCTTTGCAATCAGATCAAAGTTGCTCATGGAAAACCAGCCTCCTCTGCAGAGTTGTTCGCGGTGGATGTCGTCCATGCCCTCACAGGGACTCATGGCTTTGAGCGATGGAGGTTGTAATGAAGCAACGTTCCACTGTGAGATGGCAAGAGCGGAATTGCCAGCCATACCGATGCTGCCATTGCACNNCTGCAGATACTCAGCAGAATGTCATCGTACATCTCATGCATCGACTCACCAGTCCATCTTTGCAATGGCTTCTACNACGTCGTATCAGTCTTCAGCATCTTGAGTTCCCATGACGGAGATCTGACCATCGCTGTTTGCANNCTGGTAGCATATATCCGTCAGCTCAACTAACCAGGTATGCGACTGTATTACATGCGCTTACGCTCCTCTCGAGTCGACACTGATGATCGCATCTCCGCGGGGACACCAATGCGCAGGGTCAAGTCCCTCGAACNNGTTTACCAAACCTTTGAGCATTTCTCTGGAGACACAGCAGTTCCACACACAAATGGGCAACATGTCAAGCGCGCTGTACTTCTGGCCATAGAACGACCAACTCAAAATTGCGGGAATCTTCTCGTTCGAGCCGGCACGGCAGGGNCGGTAGATATCCACATAAAGGCAAGCACCATCACGAACGACGATCTCGACATCGTGCTCGACCAGGATATCTGAATCCAGAGCTTTTGCGTTTCCTGGCCTTGGACCAGCTTTGTGGACTTCGGTCTTGCCTCTGAGAAAACCGAGATAGTCGTTTGGACCGATCACGGGCTTGCCGATCTACTTGAATGCGACCTGGACAGGTGGTGGCATCTTGTCGTGTTTGAACATGTTCTCCTGGGCGGTGGAGAGTGGATAGAGAAGCTTGGACTGGTCTAGAGCTCCTTAGGGTGGTGATGCGACACTACCTTGATGGGGCGCGTCGCTCATCTTATTATTTTTCATACTGCACCGCTTTCGCGTTGCAATGATCCGAGTCCATCTTCATACACAACGTGATTCACCTCGCTGTGAATTCTCCGAACAAAAGCCCGGATGCGTTTCGTAGTAAGTGTTCGAGATGAGTAGCAGGAGGGTCAGCGACGGTGAGGGGAAGCTGAGCAGACTGCTCGGCCGAGTTTGTCGTATGACCCTCGGCGCCATCGGTCGCGTCCCTGATGAACCCTGCGGACTCGGTCTCTTCGGGCGCTAGTGGTGAGTTCATCAACGGCCATTCCCTGGCCCCACTTTAATCTCGTACCCCTGCCATGCACCGTTCGGCGTCCGACAGCTGTCTTGTCGGAAGAAGATTTTTCAGCATGCTGACTGTCGACTGAACTATCTGATATAGCCTTCGAGCAACCTCTCTGTCTGCAGAATGAACGTCTTGCGGCTTTCCTTCCATGTCAGCACGTAGTATGCCCAGGATGCCGAAAGACATGGTCTAATCGACGCTTCAATCATTTGCTGAGAGCCAGAGACGAACCTCCCGCTCGAGCGCAAACATGACTTGTGGGTGTCGGACGCTGAGTTTCCTCGAGAACAGCTCTCATAGCGCATGGTATGCAGATCTCTTGTAGCTGTATCTTGTCCTATACTGATCGCAGAGTCGCAGATACAGGTTCATCGCTACCCCGCACTTGCTACCTTGCCGTCCTCTTCTTCCCATGGCCCGACCACATTGTTGACGGCTTGATGTCATTTCTGAGATGCTGTTGACCTCACACAAGATGCCTGATGCGACATTCTGGAAGTGTATTCAAGCCTCTGACTCCATACTGCCTAAGAAGCTCAAGACTCGTCCGGAAGAGACGGGTAGCCCTTGCGACCTTTGTGAAGTTACCCATGGACGAGTCGCACACATAAAGCTTGAGGCATGCCTAGGACACTTTCTTCGATGACACTCGAGACACCATGCTTTTCAATCTCGTCGCCGTACTTGCTCTCCCTTTAGTGTCCAATCGTGTACTCGCATCCGCCATTGCCTCTGGTGGTGCTGTCACACAGATTCACGACGGTCAAATACAGGCTCCTACCTCGACCAGAGTGGTCACTCAGATTTCCGATGGTCAGATCCAAGCTCCTCCTGCTGCCGCCCCCTTAAGCCGATCTCCGGCGGCCAAAAGCAGGCCCCAAACGGCCCATGCTTCGCGCCAAATGCTTCTTTAACAATTGATGTTGGATACACCAAATATCAGGGTACGCTCATATCATTGCACGTCCTCGAAACCCCAGTCTGACAGCTGTTATGGGCTACTTGAACGGAACTACCAACATGTACTCATGGGAGGGCATGCAATATGGCCATGTAGAGCGGTTTCAACAGCCGACTACCCCCATCAATCTACCACCTGTCCAAGATGCATTCGCTCAGGGCACTTTCTGCTCCCAGTTCACCGCGAATGGCATCGATCCTAGCGGTATAAATCCAGGCGTAGAGCAATGCCTCTTTCTCAATGTTTATGTGCCACAGCAACTCCGCTGTTCTCACAAGCTCGCGCCTGTAATCGTCTGGATTCATGGTGGTGGCTACGGCTATGGCTACCCCGATGCATTCGGAACTGCCACGAATGCTATGGATCTTGACGACGGCAAGACCATACTAGTCACCATCCAGTATCGCCTAGGTATCTTTGGCTTCGTGGCTGGCGAAGAGATCCATACCAACGGCGATTCAAACCTTGGGGTGCGTACTTGCCTTTTCTGATCGTCTTTGCGAGGTTTCAAGCTTACGTCGCTATAGATCTTTGACCAGATCTTTGCCCTAAAGTGGGTAAACCAGAATATCGCAGCATTCGGCGGAGATCCCAACCACGTCACCGTGTGGGGTGAAAGCGCCGGCGCTGGATCCGTCATGTTGATGACTCAAGCTTTTGGAGGTATTCTTGGAAATTCTTACTGGCAGGGCACAATTGCCAACAGTCCATACCTACCTGTTCAGTACAACTACAATGATCCAGTCCCGCAGACATATTACGACAGGATGGTCGAACTCACTGGTTGCACAGGCTTCGACAACTTCACCTGTCTTGGCAATGCACCTTACGAGACTCTCTTCTACGCTGGCAGCAATCTCTCCCAAACACTTTCGCCATATGGGACCTGGAGCGCCAATCCTGTGACTGATGGTCGCATTCTTCTGGCGCCTCCTTCAAAGGCTCTATACCCAGGCAAAGTCAATGGCGCGCACATGTATGCTGGTCATCTGACACACGAAGGTCATAACTTCGTCCCCATGAACATCTCGACCATGGCTGATCTGAACGCCTGGTTCAACTCGGAGTTTCCTCTCGTCAGCATAGAGTTGAGAGACCTAGTCTGGGAGGTATATCCGGATCCAAAGTACAGCAACGGTGCGTACGACAGCCAGTATGAGCGTGGTGTAGCACTATATGGCGATTGGACATTCTTGTGCCCCGCGTATTGGCTCGCTAGTTCCTATCCTGGTGGCAATGGGTACAAATACATTGACAACGTAGGCACCGCGTATCACGGTTCCGATCTCGACGTCTTTTTCAAAGTCCCAGGCGTTTCATTCGACACAGTGACTGACAGAAGATATGTCCTGGGCTCTATGACAGCATTTTGGCAGACCTGGGACCCAGCAAAGAATCCTACTGTTGCGGATCTGGGTTGGATGCCGTTTGACAAGAACTCTAGCTACAGCGAGATCACTTATCAGCTTGTCAACAACTCGACAAATGCTGCGACCTTCGCGTTTGTGAGTACTCTTGGGGTGGCGGAGCCTATGCAATGTACTTTTCTTCGAGCGATCGGGCCCCAGATTCCCGAGTAAATACATATCAGACATTCTATGCAGAAGCTATGTGATGGAAAAAGTGGAGTGTTGGCGTCCATAGATGTATTCGAACAATCATTTCCACTCCATTCCAGAGTTTCCTGCTCCTTCGGTGATTCTTGATCGACTCGAGGTCTTGCTCGAGGGTATACAGTTGTCACAAAACCAAAGCCACAGACACCCACATCTCCTCACCACCACAGTCTTTCGACTTCGAGTTGGGGAGTCCAGACAGCTCCCACACTTCTGTCTCTCTTCCCATTCACCAGGACCACGCAACCTTTCTTGCTTCTGCAACAATGATCGGTAATCGTGTGGTGAACAAATATTTACCCCTCTGATCGGGAATGCTCTCCACATCTCCATGTCTATACTTCTTGGGCTGTGTTTTCTGGTCCACACTGCCGACGATGGTCGACGATAGTGTATCAACCCCTTCAAGTCATGAAGTTTGCCATGGCATCTCGAATAACCCCTCAATTTGCCCCGAGCTCCAGGTTGATGATCGCCGAAACCCCAGATGGGCCCCCACATCGATGGGATTCGGCTGTGGGGTAGGTTCACTAGCGGCTTTCGGTCGGCGAACTCAACGAATCGGAGGCCCTGCAATCGCTCTCGAGGGGTATACAAGCTGACAATTTGCCATTCTCCGCAGCTGGCAAGCCACAACTACCGTCCAGACTTCGCAATGACTTGCGTTTCGTTTCGCTCCTCCACACTTGGCCCAGCAAGATAACGCACACAATGGGGACTCGGTCGTGTTGAGCAAAGTGTATAAGTCACGCCTTCGGATCGACAATCCTTCTTGTCTTTTTCATCACAACCCATCCACCATACCACGACATCAGCCTCGAAAAGAACTCACCTTTTCTATTGACTCATCCAGTTGGCTGAGCGGTTCACCATCATGGGAAATATGAAGGACAACAATGTCGAGTTCGTCGAGGAGCTCGAGCACTCGAAGACGCTCGATCACACGCAGACGCTCGAGCAGGTCACGACGATGGGAACAGTCAAGTTGACTGACGGCGCCGTTGTCTACATCCCTTCGCCCACTGCGGACCCTCAAGACCCTCGTACGTGTTCTGATATCTAGTCTTACACGCATCGGCAAGACTTCGACTTGCGACATTTCCAGTATCATGCGCTACCGTATGAGCACGTTCACTGATCGTTGGTTCTTGCAGTTAACTGTCCAGTGTGGCAAAAGTGGGTGATCTTGGTTATCATCTCATGCNTGTAAGAAATACATGTTCGTCTCGATAATCTCAATTGACTAACGCGCCCAGTCTCGGCCGTCGGTCTTGCACTCGTCAGTGGTTTCGGAGGATTGCTCGGATTCTACATCCCAGGATATGTCAAGATTGGCAAGGATTATGCCGACATTACCCACTTGATGACCTATCCTACTCTATTCATGTAAGCTCTGAAAGTGCTTCGATTCGTTCCAGGACTGACAAGTGTCTAGGNNGGTATTGGTAACATTATCGGTATGCCTTTTGCCCTCGGTGTTGGCCGTCGCATCATCATACTCATCTCCACTTTGATTCTGGTCGTTGGAGCCGTCCTTTGCGCGACTGCCAAGAGTTACGAATGGCATCTCGCTGCTCGCTGCATGGTCGGTCTTGCAGCGGGCCAGAGTGAGGCGCTTGTTCCCATGATCACCCAGGTAAGACATCTCAACGCTAGCTGCTTTGATCGGACCCTAACTTTCGTAGNNGAAATGTACTTCCTTCACGAACGTAGCAAGTACCTCATGACTCAACAAGCCATCCAAGTCATCATCACCACCATCTACACTGTCTTTGCAAGCCCTATCGCTGGCAAGATCACACCCGAAGGCTGGTATGGTCTTGGCGCTGGTCTCTCGGGCCTTCTGTTTGTTTTCGCTTTCCTCTTCCTGCCCGAGACCAAGTACGACCGCCCTCTCTCGTCATACCAGGAGGCCGCCGAGCACAGTTTCGATGTTGAAGAAACCGCACGCAAAGCATCGCCCTCGGTCCATCTCTGCACTACCAAACCCGAGCTTGACTTTGTCCGCTATGCTCCTCGCACCTTCCGTTCCGACTTGAGATTGTGGGTTGGCAAGCCTGACATGAAGCATGTCCTCGATGTTTACAAGGTAAGCCTGCTTCTCATGTGCCTGGTACTCACTTCATTGACATTTACCTCTAGCNAAATGTGCGGCTTGCTTCTCTTCCCCAACGTCTTCTGGGCTCTTTGTCTCAACGGCCTGACTCTCGGTGCCAACATCGCTATCGGCACGACATACGGCGGTATTGTCACTGCTCCCCCATACAACTGGAAGCAAGATGCTGCTAGTTATGTCAACATTGGACAGATCGTTGTGGCCATCATCGCTCTTCCTCTGCTTGGACATGGTTCCGACAGACTTGTCAAGTGGCGTGCCCAGCGCAACGGCGGCATTCACGAGCCCGAGAACCGTATCCTTCCCCTGATCATTCCCCTGGTTGTTGGAGTGTTCAGCTGTGTGCTGTACGGTCTTGCTGCTCAGAACCCGACCCACTACCACTGGTTCACATATGTCTGGGTCGTTGCAGGTAAGCATATTGGTCCGATACTACCATTCGTCGCAGTCGCTAATTTCTGTCACANNGCATACTACTTTGCTTTCGTCGGTGCCAACATCGTCGCCATCACTTACCTTCTGGACAGCTACCCCGCTCGTGCTGGTCCTCTGTTGGTCATCGTTTGTGCCATGAGAGGTATCATGAGCTTTGGTGTCAGCTACGGCATTCAGCCTATGATTCAAGCCAAGGGATACGACGGCGCATTCGGTATCTTTGCCGCTTTGACTGCAGCTTTCGGTCTTTTGGGCGTCCCAGTCTTCATCTGGGGCAAGAACATCAGAGCCTTTACTGGCAAGTGGACCAAGGACAAGGAGGCATGAGTGGTTGAGTTGTGGGTGTACATATGAGGATGGATGAAGTTCGGGACTTGTATATAGTGTACAGTTTGTCGTACGTTTGATGATCGAAATGTTATCATGTTACTGTTGTTACCTGTATTATTCTTGTTGTCCGTTAGCGCCAGTGATCAGGAACAGAAGGAATTGAGCACTCTTTCCTGAGAGAATAACACAATGGAACAGGCAGCTTCTTGACAGTTTCATTGTAAAGTGCTCCGAAGCATGCCTATGATGAGCTTTATACGGCATGCATCGCAGTCCACTCGCGCGCCCCCTTGTCGAATTTCTGCTTGTCTTGCAAAAACAATGCCGCAGCCTCTTCATCAAGTATACATCCTTGTAGCAGAATTGGGTCCGAAAGCATCGCTTGGATGGAGAGCAAAAGTACGCGAATAGTGATCGCAGGACACCATTGGTCCCACTCGAATTCGGCCATCCGTAGATTGCCCTGCGCGGAAACGTTTGGATGGAACACAGGGGTTATGAAGGTGATACGAGGAGGTTTTTGCGGATAGTCTTCTGGAAATTGGATGTTGATGGCGAAGATACCATTCTCGTATGGAGTTGTTGGAGGGCCGTCTAACTTTGCGACCCAGTGGCGTGGGTCTTCGTCGCTGGCGAGGTTTACGGGGCCAGTCGAGAAAGGGTCGCGCTGGAGATCCGCGAGCTCTCGAGTAATGCGTCTCAAACTCATCTTGATCTTGCCAGATTTGAGGAAATTTATCTATGTCATGAGGTCGCGCTTGAGAGACTGTATGCAGCAGATAACTTGGGGTCGCATTCTAACTGCAGACGTGAGTCATACTGATAACAAGAGGTGCACGGGCTTCGTAAACTTGCGACATGCTGTGCGTACACTCGATTGTTTGCAATTGTTCATGAGTGTTTGAAATAGAACAAAAAATACATAGATATACTCCAATGACAAACTCTCTATACTCACCTAGACGTATCAGAATGAAGACTCCAAGCGTAATAATCTGAGATGACATGAAGATAGTTGCAAAACTCTTGTCGAGTGGGTAACCCGGCTCTCGATCTGCAGACAAGCTCGGGTAGTCATTGATCTTGCACAGATAACTTTCAACGTGGGCTTACAACAATGCGAGGCACGTGAAAGCAAGTTGTCTTGAGATCACAACCCTCATGCACAAATCCGACAACAATCACATTTGGCTATAATTGCACCAAACTACGTAGTTTCGGTCAAAATTGTCGCCCGAATAGCGGAGACCCCAGATCTGCTCGGGATGTGGGCCCGAAAGGTGCGTGGGTCTCGGTCGAGTACGGACTTCTTGGCCGCTCGAAGTCCTGGACAGAGTCATTCTCGCTTCCCTTTCCTGCGCGTCCTTCGCCATCGCGTGTCGGACACATTTATACCGACGCGGCGGTTGGTACCAGCCGTGCCGTTGTCTAGACTTGTGTGATAATGATGACCTTGTTGTCGTTGCCCTCGTTGATTGTCCACTTCTCCCTCCAGCGAACGCCATGAAGTCGGATAGCCTAGCAACATCGATGGAAGACCAACGAGAAGACCAGCAGGATCTGGAACTACACCGTATCCAGACCAATGCGTCGGAGAAAGTCGTCAACACTATGGGAACAACACGGAGACGACTTGTAATGCTCTCGCTATGCCTGTCGCAATTTCTCGCCGCGATCGACATCACAATTGTTGCGACGGCGCTTCCAACTATTGCAAGCAGTCTGCACGCCAACTCTGCACAGTACACATGGGTCGGATCCGCATATAACCTTGCGAGTACAGCATCAACACCACTCTGGGCCAAGTTGTCAGATGTTATTGGAAGAAAGTCTGCGCTTCTGGCAGCCAACGCGATATTTCTTGCAGGCAGTCTGCTGGCAGCTCTTGCTCATTCGATTGTGGTTCTCATTGGAGGCCGCTGTTTGCAGGGTATTGGAGGAGGAGGCATGATGATTCTCAACACCATCATCATCAGTGACATCTTCCCACTGGAGGACAGAGCAAAGTACTATGGTTTGTCCGCAATTGTGTGGGCTATCGCGAGCGCACTGGGTCCAATGCTCGGAGGTGTTTTTACTTCAACGATTGGCTGGAGATGGTGCTGTAAGTGACAGGAATATCGATCGAGACCTTCTGAGCTGACAATACGAACCACAGTCTACATCAATCTGCCGCTCGATGGCATCTCGCTCGTCTTGGTAGTCCTTTGTCTCAAACTTAACATCAAAAGAGCTCCCGCCAAAGAAACGCTTGCTAGCTTGGATTATGTTGGGTGCATCACCATCGCGGGAGGTGCTATCCTCTTTCTGTTTGGTCTCGAAAGCGGAGCCAGTCATCAGCATTCGTGGACCTCGGCCTACACTCTGGGCATGCTCATCGGTGGTATCTTTCTCCTAGCTGCATTCATGGTATGGGAGTGGAAGTTTGCCAAAGTTCCGCTTATCCCGATCCAAGTTTTTGCCTCACGCACGAGTAGAGCTGCTCTCGCTGTGGCTTGCTGTCACAGCTTTGTCTTCATCGGATTCGACTTTTACCTCGCGCTATACTTTCAAGCGGTGCTTGGTCGCTCGCCAATCATATCTGGTGTACTTCTCTTCGCCTTGATCTTGCCACTTTCGGTATGCACCTTCCTGACCGGGATCGTGATCCGCAAGACTGGAAGAGTTAGACCGGTCATCTGGTTCGGATCCTTTTTCATGACGCTCGGTACCGGTCTCTTCATCGACTTTGGTCCAAAGATGGTACTCTGGAAACTTATTTTGTTCCAAATCATCGCCGGTATTGGCGTCGGACCACTTTTCCAAGCACCCATGATCGCACTCCAAAGTGTAGTGAAACAGAGAGATGTTGCAGCTGCCAATTCTGCCTTTACCTTCCTCCGCAGCTTGGTCACTTCTTTGTCTGTTGTCATCGGAGGTGTCGTACTCCAGCGAGGCCTTGGTTCGAGCTCATTGACGGGTAACGGACACGTATCCACGGGTGGCGGCGAGCATGCAGAGAGATATGCAAATGCATTGAGCAACATGTGGATCTTTTACACAGCTTTCTGTGCAGTCATGCTGCTCTCGACGGTATGGATCGGCAAGATTGATCTAAACGCGAAGTCTCGAAAGAGTGAGGATACTGATACAGTGGTAGAAGAGATTGTAACGGTGCAGAAGGGTACAGAGATGGGCACAGAGATGACTGAGAGGAAGGCGGAGGTGTAGATTCACAATGTATCGCTATTGACTAAGGATAACAGCACGAATGATTGCGAGTTTGACTCGATCATCCAATCCATAACTCATGTGTACGATCAGTCTATGCATTGTTCACACCAAATTGATCAAGATCGAGCAACATACATTGCAGTCCGTCAATGCTACTCTGTGATTTGCAGTATAGGAGCTCGGGATGCGGGAGCGAAGCCACTCGAGAGATGTATACTCTACACCAAAGAAGGTCGCATTTTGTTTGCCTCCGTGCAACTCTTTGCCTCGAGACCGGTGATTCGGACAAGTTCAGAAAGATTCATACTTTGATAATAGCATCCACTGCCTAGCTTCTGCACCTACGAAGATCTACTCCGGATCGAGATCCCCCACATTTCCGCTGGAGAGAGGCCGATTCGGTCGCTTCGGTCAGTCTCGCCATCGGTTCGGCGAGCGTCAAACGCCCAGAACCTGACCCCCGCACCACTCCAAATTTCCTCCAGCCAGTCCGAGCCTCTCTCACTCCTACAGCACCGATCGAGTGAGCTAGTGTACCTCCGCTCCGTTCATTCAATCAGGCGCAAGGTTCCTCAGCCGCCTGTGAACCCCCAGAAAAGCCAGATATAATAGGACTTTCTTCTGACTGGAACATCCGACTTCTCCTTTCCATCACAACATCACAACATCTAACACACTACAATGGGTTTCTCTGAAGTTTACACCGAAGTTCCCAAGACTGCCATTCACCTTGTCGGTACCAACGACTGGCAAGCTGACTTGGCGAAGAACGGCTATGCTGTTGTGAAGGGAGCTGTTCCAAAGGAACGCGCTGAAGACTACGCGAACCGTATGCACCAATACTTGGAGNAACTTGTACGTGTAATTCCTTGTCGAATCTGAGTGGAGACTGTTCGCTAACACAAAATCAGCGGTCTTGGATATGACCGAAACGATCGCAGCACCTGGAAGTCAGAGCACCTTCCTGAGATCAACAACAAGGGCATGTGCCTCGACTACGCCGTCACCCACGAAGACTTTGTTTGGGAGATTCGCTCGGAGCCTGGTGTTCTGGACGTCTTCGAGACTGTTCTCAACACTCAAGATTTGATCGTGTCGTTCGACGCAGTAAACTTTGGTCTCGCTGGTAGAACGGATTTGCCTCCAAACAAGCCCTGGCCTCACCAAGATCAGGATCCTACAAAGAGTGGATTTAGATGTCTGCAGGGCTTGGTCAACCTCTTGCCCAATGGTCCGAATGACGGTGGCTTGATTGTTTGTTCGGGAGCGCATCTGCTGAGCGAGAAGTTCCACAAGGAAATGCGATGGTATATTGTCTTCGGGTAGTAGTGTCAAGACCCTTGCTGACATACGCAACCAGGGNAGACCGAACAAGGAAAGAACATCCCTGCCTGGAATCCAGAATGGTACGGCTTCACAAACGAGGGCATGAAGTGGCTGGAGAAGGAAGGCTGTACTTGGACCAAAGTCTGTGCCGAACCCGGCGACCTCCTCCTCTGGGACTCGCGCACCNCCCACTACAACCTGTCTTCCACAACCGATCAGAGTAGATTCTGCGTCTACACGTGCTACATGCCTGTCACAGAAGCGACAGAAGAGGAGTTGGCGAGGAAGAAGGTCGCCTTTGAGGGCTGGTTTGGTACCACCCATTGTAAGTCACATTTTTGGGCACCCCATAATGATATCACCACTGACAAGAGTCTCAGGGNNCCGAATGCCAAAGTGATGGGACGTAACAAAGCGACAAGAAATGGTGAGCCGGATCCTCACAATCGAACTGAGCCGGTCAAGAAGCCAAAGTTGTCGGAGCGTGTCTACAAGTTGACGGGTATCCCCTACATCAAAGCAGGATGAGATGGGTAGATCTGATGCTATTGAGCTAGTTGGACGTGAGCATTATGTTGCAATATAATGTGGTCGTTGAAGATATCCATAATCATACCCAAATTTCCATATCACGTTCCATCTCACCGGACCATTGTGACTCGAGACCATACGTCGACTGGCAGCGCCCGAGCTACGACTTAGCCATGGAGCATATGATCAAGCGAGGGGGGGAAGACTCAAGAAGTAACCTTCATCCCCAGACCCATCAAAAAGTGCGTGTCCAGCCCAAGACCCCTTGCTCAAGTCCCTGCCTATCCAGATTGCAATATCGAGCTCTCTTTTCCTCGTAGCTCACATTCTCAAGCTCGCCCTGCTCACGCTGAAGAATTCCTTGCCAATCAGGATATCGATGCTTTGCTGGCGTGCGAATCTTCAGCTCCACATTCGTGCGCCAGCGATCGAAGAAGTAGAAACCAAGGCGAATTGCTCTCCTGGAACTCCGAGTCTTGATATTCAGATTCACTGGCCTCAAGAAACGAGACAAAGCGCTTGCTCTCGACACGGCTTTGGCGTGTTAGTCCCATGCCAGACGTTTTGGAGTCGGTGAGGACTTTGGAGCTGGCGGTTGCGAAAACTGGGGCGAGGGCGAGAGTATAGCAGAGCCCAGGTGTGAGTGACCATACACGGACATCGGTATGTGGTACGTTTGCAGAATGGATTGGCTACCCCCATCCTGTAGGCCACTCAGATCAGTCCTGGAGGGCGATGCCAGCGTAGGTCCAAGGCTCATGCTATCATGTATCTCTCCCAATTCACCCTCGATGCCAGCGTGACCCTTGGAGATCTCCTTTTCAATACTGCCAGAAGATTATTTGTCCTCTAAGATGTGGTCCATCCTGTAAGACGCTGCTATCCTCCAGGGTAGATCCATGACGCGACTTTCTTCGACCCAACTGGGATCTTGCAGAACAGCGTAGTTGCGTGCATATAAGAACCATTGTCCTGTGGCTGTGCAATCTTGCAGCGCAATGGCGACCCCTGTGTACTTGATCCATCGCTATGTAAGTGCCGTACTCTGCGAATAGGCGACTAGATGCGTAAGCAAGGGATGTCGCAGCGATCGATACATACTGCCAGGACGCAGGTAGAGAAAAAGAAGCCGCCGTGGCCGACAGCTCTGTTCTCACTTCACAAACGTCGCTCATAAATTTGATCCTTACAATATCCACTCACTTCCAGTAAGCTATCAATGTCCGGACTGCGAGCACTTAGGGCAAGCATTGTGGAGTCGTAGATCTCATGGCCGACCTCGACCTTGATGACACTGATGGAATCTTCCTTCTGTTCTGCATCCTCGGCAAATGCTATCCATGCCCAATTTTTGTCGATGCACTCCTCATCCAGCACCATGAATTGGACATAGTTAAGGTCAGAACCGTTATCCAAGCGGAGTGTTCTGATAGCTGTTGTAACATGTTCAGAGTTTCTGTCAACAAAAGGCGAATGGAACCTGCCATTACCGTCGAGCTGGACTGTCGCTGCTTCGTATGACTTCGAAAAATCGTCGATTACCACGAAGTAAGGTTCCCTGTGAAAATTATGGTCATTCCTTTGCTTGTAGACAGTGGACAATACTGTATACACAGACTGTAGCCTGGGTTAGACTCGTGAGTCTTACCTCCACACAATACTAAGCCGTGCAACACACCGTATACAACTTGCCACTATCCGACGGCACAATTATGATGCTGTTGGCCTTTATTGCAAGATGTCGAGTCGTGAACGCAGGATTCTCAACGATGGAGCATTGACACGATTCGAAGAAAGCTGGATGGAATTTGCTATTTTATTGGTAGATCGAGTCAAGGACGATTGATGGTCGCACACAGGCGGCACCTCTGTTTTGTAGGGTAGAGGGATCTCGCAGATCGTTCGATTTCTTCCTTTTGTCATCTCTCTGGCCGTAGGCTCTTGACTCTTCTTTCCTCTTGTAGCTTTCATTTTTTTTTCTCCAAGAACATCAGACATTGTATCCTACGCTTATTTCGTATGACAGAAGAAAGAACAGGCGGCATTCGCTCATGTTCATTCAGCGCTAAGCGAAATCGCGAGTATCTGCTTTCCACCTTGATGGACAGAGTTCAACGGCAAACCAGTCAATGGATGAGAAAGACGTCAGCACAAGCCTCTTAGGGGACACTCCTCGAAAAGGCTAACTTACACCCGGTCAAGTATGCTAAGCATTGGCTGCTCATCCACACATGGCAGCTCGGATTGCTTATCTCGCAGGCTCTCGTAACGACGATAAGAATTGGAAGCGGAGCGAGTCGCGAAGAACAGCGATCCTCGATCCACCACTTGAGACATCGCTCGCACATAAAAAGACACTGTCCATAAGGTCGTCGAAAACTCACGTCAGAGAGACACATCCCACCACGTTGCGCCAACGACAATCGTCTGATCTGTACCCTTGCGCTCTACGATGCTCATCTCTTTAGTATCGAGGATCATAGACACCTTATGTGTTCAGGGACATCTTTCAGTGGTCTCCTTTCAAACAGCCCGCTTTGTGAGTTTGAGCTGGAAGATGAATCCTTTCGCTTGCAATCAAGTAACAACTATCCTGGGACATCACAGTTCTAGGGTGTCGACAGAGGGAAATTGGGTTCAAGCGGCATGTTCTTCCGTATTGAAGCCGCGTGGCCGGCAGAGTTTTGCTGCATGCCCATCAAGGTAGAAATCCTCTCGATAGCACGCCGGATACATAAGCACATGCGACTGTCACAACACAACATGGACGATCACACAGACACAGCTTCTTGGACAACCTCGTGTACATCATGGCGTCCAACACCTTCGACCCCGAACATGTCAATCTGTTGACTGCAGATCCGGCTCGAGTCGTTTGTGCTCTGAACGCTTCCGGCAACGAATACGACGGCAAACTGGGTGCCAGAGTCTCGTCGATCTTCGTGATCTGGATCATCTCGACTCTCGTCACAGTGTTTCCCGTTGCCGCGAAGCGCGTCAAGCGACTCANNAAGTGCGTTGTCCTGCAGCTGCGAATCACCACCACGCTGACCCATGTATGTTAGATTCCTCTCCATGTGTATCTGTTTGCACGATTCTTTGGTGCTGGTGTCATCGTCGCAACGGCATTCATCCATCTTCTCGACCCTGCTTACGGAGAGATCGGGTATGTTCAATCTCGAGTTGTCCGATGATGGCAATCTGCTGATGACTGAACCAGGCCCAACACATGCGTTGGTATGACTGGCGGTTGGGCCCAGTACTCCTGGGTACCGGCCATAGCTCTGACAGCAGTCGCTGTCATCTTTNTGATAGATCTCATCGCAGAGAGATATGTTGAGATGAAGTATGGTGTTCAGCACCAACACGTTTCATTGCAAGATGCGGTCACAGGTCGCGCTAATTCTCGAGCGCCACATCCAGAAGAGAGTGAGCTACCTCTGTTCCAACTACNNCAAAGAATCTCAACTGATGCTGTGAACGCAGCCTACCATGAGAAAGATGTCGAACAGAGCACAATGGACATTACGGATATTGAGGAACACCAATTCCGTACACAATTTGCCGCCTTCTTGATCCTTGAATTCGGTGTCATCTTCCATTCGGTTCGTCTCTAGCAGGCTGTCTACATCACTGCCCATGCTGACAAAATCCAAGNNGTCGTCATTGGTCTCAACCTGGGCGTGGCGGGAGAAGAGTTCTCGACCCTCTACGTTGTCCTTGTCTTTCATCAATCATTCGAGGGCTTGGGCATCGGTGCCAGACTCTCCGACATACCCTTTCCAGCACGTCTGCGTGGATGGCTTCCTTGGCTTCTCTGTATCGCATACGGTCTCGCTACTCCAATCTGCATTGCCATTGGTCTTGGTCTACGCACATCCTACAACCCCAACTCGTTCACGGCCAACGTTGTCAGCGGTATTCTTGACTCTATTAGTGCAGGTATCTTGATCTACACTGGTCTTGTTGATCTACTGGCCAGAGACTTCATATTCGACCCTGCTAGAACGAAGGACAACAAGCGTCTTACCTTCATGGTTGTTTCGTTCCTGCTTGGTGCTGGTATTATGGCTTTGCTTGGCAAGTGGGCATAGAAGTGGAGGTCTGAGCGATGTGATGAATGCTTATAGATGTCAAGAAGCAGGATGTTATGCATCGGAGCTGAGGGCATCGCGGAGGGGCACAAAAGTTGTTTGATACACAGGGATGCTGATAGATTGCGCTATTTGAGATATGTCTATACACAAGGTTTCTAGAACAGAGCCAACACATCGATCTCGGACGACCATAAACAAGCAAGCCATAGAATCTTGCTCTCTCATCTGTATTTACCTTCAAACAACCATAACATCAATCCAATCGACCACATGCTGGACACGAATGTCACCAAGACGTGTCCCAAACGCCATGCTCCAGGGGTGAGACGCCACCAATTTTCCCCTCTTGGTATGATCTGATGGACCACAATCAACCAGAGAAAGAATTCGTTGATATAAAAACAAGCCATCCAAATCCCAGTATTCCTGTAATGTCTCCGGGAAGCTTCTTGTAGTGCGTCAAGCAGACAAAGAGGAAGTGTAGTTGCCAACGATACAACTGCACTCTTCATAGCAGCCAGAACCGGCCAGTCCATAACTCCGAACAAAGGTCTTCGGCACATTGGGCATGCAGTCTGACAATGCTTGCCCATGAGTTGCAAACAGCGCTTGCAGATCTCGTGCTCGCAGGGCAGCTGCACGAGAGTGAGCTTGTCCCAGCATATCATGCACTCTGCCGGCTCGCCCTGTATCTTCATGTTCCGCATGAAGGTAGAGTGACTTGGCAGATTCAAAGATGAGAAGGAGCCAGGGAGAAGGTTACATGTCAGATAGGCCAGAACAAAACAAAATGCCCAGACCTCACGAGCTTGAGGTTGTTGATGGAGCAAGAGCATACAGATAGAACCAGCCACGATATCTTCGGCGAATTGATGTCGCCAGGTCGGTTCGCGTCGCAACAAGGTAAGGACGATAGAGATTCCAAGGATGCTGTATGTTATGGCTGGCATATGAGGCACAAGGCTGACTGGGTCGTAGTACGTCTTGTCTCTTCTTTCCATGGTGAATAGCAGGTTGATGATGGATTGGAATGCTACTGGTAGCAAGTGAGCACGGATGTCAAGAGTTTTATTCTTTTCGGTGTTTCTGCGCACTCACTAAGGATCGACATCTCGCACGATCGTTGGCGTGAACACAGTACTTTTTTGATCCATTAGGTACCTGATTTTCAGAAGTTTGGTAGACAAGGGGATGGTTGAATACACCGAGAGTACTCCGGGACCACATACGCACCTTGGAGTAACCATGGTAATGACAATATATGGTACCCCACCCCGCAAAGAAAGCTTGTCAGACATTTATGGCCAACTCGGCTGTTTACCGGAGTAGCGACGTATTGTCCTTGACCATGACTCGGATTCCAAATTCATGATGTTATAGGGTCCCAATGCTATCAAAAACGACGGAATCAGTCATAGCGTTGCTCGTAGAGGTGATCCGATGTCTACCGTCCAATTTTGGATATTCGATTCCACGGGACGATGCCATAACACAAGGGTGAGATCCTGATTCTTTGCTTCGCATGGCGGTCTCATTCCTTCAAATTCTACTCGGCTGACACATCTTGGTCTTGCAGAAAACCTAACTCCTACGCATCGTTCTGTCCACCATTTCCGCAATCAACATGCACATCGTTCTTCGAACAATCGACGGAATTGAGGTCAGCTCCTTGTGCACCAAGGGTGATGTATGCGCCATAAGTGCCATCGCCGTGGTTTAGACGCACGCAGTGAACACCATAGATCAGGTTGCCCAGATAGTCAAAGTACCTGTTGAGTCCACCTCGAATGGTTCCTTTCTCAGCAGTCGTGTCACAGCTAGAGCTAGGTCCTGTGTACAACCTATAGCTGACGCCATCGACTGTACCAGAGCTCTGTGCACAGTTCTTCTGATTGGAATTGCTGTTGAGGACTGCGGCCAGTGTTCCAGAGAGTGCATCACTGATAGATTTGCAGTTTCCTAACGGATAGATCAGCGACGGTCTGGTAGTGAGCATAACGGGCAAATATACCATTGGCCGAGTCTTGGTTGGCGCAACAGGTCATGGCTTTGCGCTTTGTGATACGCTCAGCTGCGAGACTGTCTAGATCGATGTTCGCTGCTCCGTGGGGACGTCCGATGATGTGATCAAAGAGGCTGTAGAATTCGAAGCCGCTGGAGAGTCGGCTTGGAGAGCACTGACAGTGCTAACAAGGGCCAGAAGGACAGCGCTTGGATGCATCTTGGATAGAAAGTGACTGAGGGGTAAAATTGTAGTCGTGTGTGATTCCAGAGGCAGAGGCACACCGTCGTTTTATATGCCGGGCATTCTTTCGCAACCGAACTTGCGCAGGGCATAAGAAGCACTTCCAATCGTTACCTGTCTCGCACTGGCAACTTTTTGGTACGGCCTTGTCCTCAACGAAACCAACTCGAGTGAGAAGATCTAGTATGGATCGAGGTACGTCGAAGGTAAACGTTGCTTCCTCTCTTACTCCTTTGGCGGTCTCGTCGCCTGTCGTCGACACCCGCGCCCGACACCCTGATGGCATGCTGGTCGCAGACAGCCATGACCGCATCAACCTTGACTACTACGATCCAAGCATGCATAACAGCTCCATGATAGAGAAACGCATCCCTGGGGATATTTGCTTCCAGTCTGAGGGAAAATTTGGTGATCCATACCCTTGGAACCTGGCTTGATCGATCGCTAACACAAGTGCGTCAGCAAACTGTGTCGCAGTCATTGCAGTCTCTGCTGGCACTATCCTCAGCATTGCCAGTCTCACCAAAGGAGACTCTGATAACAAAGATTGCAGCATTCACAGCGGCGAGTCTGACGGTCTCTCGTACCAGATCCACGCAACAGGCTCTGGAGGCTGTGGGACCACTGCAGAAGAATCCACTATCGCTGGAGGTCTTCAAGCTTACTTCGACGCCACCGAAGGACAGTTCTGCAACGTACGCTGCCTTGATCAGACACACGGTGGTTCATACCACGGGTATCTTCTGATCGGCCCTACTGGCGTTGACTTGACGCGTTACAAATGCGATTCATCCATCAATTTTCCCCAGGACACTTGTACCAGAGGAGGAAAGAAAGATGCTCCTTAAGATCATCGAGACCAGTGAGCCGCCCTCCGATTGTGCAATCTGGTAGCTTTTCAGACGTATCCAAAGTTCATTCTGAGAGATTGTGATTGCTTCGTACCATGTCATGAAGGGTAGAGGAAGTAACGATAGTTTTTGTAGTACAGTACTCGAGTGGATACATCCAAGAGTGCATTTTGAGATTTGTCACCATGAAGCCCTCGTCCATGATTTCGATGTTATTTGCTTCTGTCTTTCCTAGTTGGAGCTCAAACCGGGGCTGGACGAAAGAATACCACTGCGACTCCGGACTATGCGCAATGTCTGCGAGATACCGCACTGGCATTGGTGACCCGCTCGAGCCGATGAGTGAAAAGCTTTTCCGAGACATGATGTTCGTGCAACCCATCGTACTCAAGAAGACTTGGTATGGAATGCCAAGCTGGATCGTGGCAAGTGGTTCAGGAAGTCGGTCGAACTTTTCGTTGGAGCCGCTGCTGTGTCCAGGTCGGCATGACTCGATATGGCGCAGGCATGCGAGCAGGCGAGTGCCGATAAGATCGTGTCATCCATAACGCTCTGCGTACAGAGGCCAGTCAGAGCGTGTTGGCTGCCGCGGCTGCTGGCCTAGCTGCCTGTTCTGCTGCTACCGCCATATGGAATGCCTATGAAACCATCAAGCGCGGCGACATCGACGACTAGGTTGCGGGTTTGAGCAGAGCGGAAGCCCTCCTTCCAAAATCTTTGCACAAACAACAGTAATAGCGAGTTTTCCACAGAAGGTCTTGAACTTAGCGACGTCCTGTGTAACTTTGTGTACTGGTCAATCTACACTGAGCCCCGTGATTCGCATGTGGTGAAACTCTACAAGCCCAGGTACAATGACGCAAAGTACGTGCTCGGTACTCTGGTTGCAGAGCGTAATGGCCCCGGTACAAACCCTGAGGGATCTCCTTATGGTTGGGCGTCTGGCTGATACGTCGCTTAGCATGGTCAAGAAGTGTAGCGATAAACGGACAGGCGATTGTTGTAAAGAGCGATGGGATCTCGGAAAGACCAGTTGTGGATGTTTGATGAGACGTATGGAATATTCTGGTCGACATATGTTGGGTTTAATATGTCCTCTGTTTTGCAGTCAAGGGTTGCCATTCTCCAGTCAATAGTCCGTATATAAGAGAATCTCGAATCCCAATATGTGTTTCCCACTCTGCGCGCAAGTGCCCCTCTAGCTTGAAGCCGAGCGCTGTGAGCAGGGCGATGGATGGTTTGTTGTCAGGATCAACATCGGCAACTATTCGTCGCTGTCCTGCCGCAAAGCATCTATCAATCAAGATGCCAACAGCTTCACGCCCATAGCCATGACCCTGCGCTTCACGGGCAACAAGGTAGCCGATCTCAGACACACCTTTGCGTTTCTCACACGCAGCCACAAAGCCGATGGCTTCGTCCTCGCCGGCCTTAACAATCGCCCAGCATTTCCAGCCTGAGGTGTCTTCCGGCGCGAAGTACCTGCGCAGTTCTTTTATATCGGTCCAAGGAGCGCGGGACGAAAACCGCATCGACTCTAGGTGAGACATTGTTGGGAATAGGGCATCAGCGTCGGATTCCCTGCGTAGTCGCAGGTCAACACGCTTCGCCTTGGGCATGGTGACCATGTCGACCACTGCGCGGCAGATGCGTTGTGGTGACGACGCTGAGAGGATCCGAGGATCCTTCACAATAGGAAGTACTGCGTATTGGTGTTTTGTAGAGGAACAGGCAGCAATCCTGCCTGCAATCGAGGCTTAGCAGCTTGGCACGCTTAAACTTCGGCATGACAAGCTCAGCTAAGCTCTGCTGACAGACGCCATCACGATCAGGGGCAGAACGAACAATGGAGATATCTATGTTCGCCTAACAATGCAGAATGACACCCTTCGAAGCAGGTGCAATGAACAAGTGCCTACGCATGACATGTAGTCGACCAGACACAGTTCGAAGATCAATCTACCATGCTCTAGGCTCCAGCTCTAGAAAAGGCGAGTCGCAACGTCTCAACTCGTATACAGACTTGTGGCTGCGGCTGTGTACAGTAGTCGGTCGCAACCAGCATGCGACACATTAGAGCGATTACTGCGGAATATTTCACTATCGGCCAGTGAAGCTCGCCCATGTCGGCTGTTCCTGCTTGAGACATGTGCTTGATCCAAGCAAGGAGACGTAACCTGCTTACCACAAGTGGGTCTCAATACGAAGCTTATGGCACATTATCTATGTACACCGGTCAGCTCTTCAATAACTTAATAGAAGAATTGCCAATGAATCGTCGACCTATAAATCATCACATCCGCCCTCAATGTTTGGGTTTGTGCGCCTCGAGATTCTGACCTGTTGCCCAACATGATGGGTCTTGCTCTCTCCATCTGTGTCACGTTCCTGTTTGCCAGGGCTTTGGCGTCAAATTGCTATCATCACTCTGACTTACCTTCCCCTTATCGAGGACTCAATGTCGCATACAAGAAGGTACCCCATCCCTAGGACTTGCAACGTTTGATAATTGTTCGCTAATCGCTCTTAGNNACCAGTATATGCGAGACGACACCTGGAGTCAACTCATTCTCTGGCTACGTCCATCTGCCATCCGCACTCTTGATAGAAACGCAAGACCCTTCCGATCCTTACAACATCTCGACTTTCTTCTGGTACTTTGAGGTCAGCATTGATTGTTCGGATACATCGCTCACATTGCTGATGTGCGTTAGTNCTCGTAACAACCCCAGAGCTGCTCCGCTTACCATCTGGCTTGCGGGGGGTCCAGGAGATGCATCTTCCTTCACTGCCGTGACCGAAAATGGTCCCTGCTATGTGAACGAATTCTCCAATGGCACTATTATAAACGCATACTCTCTGAACGAACATTCGAATGTTTTGTTTATCGATCAGCCTGTCCAATCAGGTTTCTCATACTCGACGTTCTTGAACAGCACTTTCAACTTCAACAATCTCGATCTGTTCGCTTCTCCGATCTCCCCAATCGACTCTTACAATGGCACCGTTCCTGCAGAGAACGCGACCTTCAAGTATGGTGTTTGGGCCGATCCAGATCCAAGTCGTACGGCTAACACTACCGAAAATGCGATGAAGCCATTGTGGCACTTCCTCCAAGGCTGGTTTGAAAAGTACATGACTCTACAATTCGACTGTCGGCTGGAATGCGCTAATTTTTATCCTAGCTTTCCAGAATACAAAACTCGAGACAAGCGAGTCAATATCTGGGGCAATTCCGTACGTACCAATACCTCTCACTGTCATTGTACAGGGCTGACTCTGCATGTACAGTATGGCGGCTTCTGGACCACAGGCTTGACCAGCTACATCCTGAATCAAAACGCACGCATCAGCAACGGTACCTTGCCAGGCAAAGTCATAAAAGTAAACACCATGGGTGTCACGAATGGTTGTGTGGATGCATACAATACGGCATCCTCCATCGCAGAAATCCTCCACAACAATACGTACAACACTTCCTTCTTGTCCAGCGACATCTACGCCGAAGTCCAGAACAATCTTACACAGAGCGGTGGCTGCTATGATCAAATTAACCAATGTCGTGCGCTCGTCGCTGAGTCTGATCCAGAAGGCAATGGCACAAACGACACTGTCAATGCTGCCTGTGCTACAGCCACTGCATATTGTTTCGCCTATGGAGGAAGTGGAGCTTACACCGGACTCTCTGGCCGCAGCGTCTTTGACATGTCACAACCTGCTCTAGCCCCATTCCCACCATACTACGGCATCGGATACCTCAACCGTAATGATGTGCGCAAAGAGCTGGGTGTACCGGTTATGTTCGCCCAAAACTCGGCAAGCGTACAAGCCAACTTTGTCGGCATCACGGGCGACACCGCACGATTTGACGGTATTCGACGCTTGAACCAGATCCTAACTGCAGGCGTCAAAGTGTCTTTGATATTCGGCGATCGAGATACCAGATGTAATTGGTTGAACGGAGAAGCAGTCGCCAATGCTGCCAAATGGCCAGGTCAGCGCAACTTTGCATCTGCTGGCTACGAAGACACGAAGGTTAATGCAACATACGTCGGTGGTCTGACCCAACAATCCCAGAACTTGAGCTTTACCAGAGTCTTCCAGGCAGGTCATGCAGTTGGCTACTTCCAACCTCAGACCGTGCTAGAGATCTTTGAGCGCAGTAGTATATGGGACCATGATGTTGCTACTGGGACTCGTGATCTGGCCGTCAATGGCAGATATCGTACCAGTGGACCTATTAGTGCTTGGAGTCATTTTGAAATTCTGCCAGACGAACCTGCCCCGCTTTGCAATATTTGGGCTGCGGCAGTTGCTTGTACGGATGAGCAGTTGCAGGCGTTGTTGGATGGGAGTGCGGTGATCGAGCATGACATTGTTGTGAGCCCGGCTGCTTGAAGTTGGTTTCCCACGGCCGGCGAGACTAGTCGCTACCTTGGTACCAATAGTGAACTCTGACAACCATCAAATTGGGCTACCGAGAATGAAACGCTACAGACACATCGCAATGAAAGCAAACCTGCCAGAGCTTCGTCACAGAATCTAAATCTTCATCATGACAAGAGACACGACTTCGTACTACAACAATCAACAATCTGTGAGTAGCGTGATATCGAAAACAAGAGACATGTGACACTAGTAGCTAATCATATCGAGGCCACTAGCCAAACGGCCATCAAAAACGCAACGAATGTCGAGCTATCACACCTGATTGAATTGGCGTCTCCTTCCCGGTCTGCTGTACCGGTCCCATTTGTCTCTGTACTCGCGCTGAAGTCGTCGGAATCCACAATCTTCATGCACGTCAGATTCACTTCCACCTCGCTTTCCGTGATGTTGTCAAAAGGGGCAAGAACAGTAATCAATGGCGTGTATCCTAGCCAAGGCACCGTCTCATTCAGTTGAGCGACATGATCGTGTTCGAACACTTTGGTCAGATCATTCGTCTTTGGCAACGTGGGCCAACAGTTGCTTGTGCTGTTCTCACCCAAGGTGATGGTCTTTGGAGCACTGGATCCCGTCAACACGACTGCTTCTATGCGAGGCTTCTGGCTAAGGATGTAGCAGCTGGATGGTGGAGTCTCTTGGAGGGCGTCTGCGATGTTCCTGCAGAAGGTATATGCATTTGATTCCGAACTGAGCCGGGCCAACTGCTCAACCCTGGCAGTCAAGTCGCCGACGCAAGTTTCGCCCAATGAGCCAACACAAGAGGCAGTGTTGACGTATTGTGAAGCTCCCTGGTCATAGACTTGGTATGCTCCAGTTTCGGGTGATATGATGAAGATTGCGCATCCTTTGAACGCAAGATCCGACGAAGTCAGATCGAGCTTTTCCGGTGTTCCTAGGTAAAAGGACCGTGTGACTGTTCTTTCGTCGCCTTGGATAGTGCTTTGTAGCCCAGAGTCACCGATTGTCCAAGTCAGGTCAGTTTGGGCAAGTTGCGACTCAGTGGATAACAAGCCGACAAGTCTCATATCCGTCGACTCGACCTGACATGTTGGCGAGAGCATGTCCACGTAGCGATTGGGGCAGTCGACGGCTGCGCAGCCCTGCAACGTTTGTGCATAGATATGCTTTGAGAGGCCGAGTAGAATGATTGGACAAAGGGCAGCTGGGGTTATTGATGTGTAAACCATGGTGGAGCAGTATGTGGATTACGCCATGCAATTGACTGGGGATGAGAAGGCATTTGTATCTTCACAATAGTCTCCCGGGAATAAGCCTCGAGTGTGTACTTCCGAGGAGCTCTGACGTCGGACTGCCAACTCTCTTGGCGTCTTGGCTCCTCCTCGGAGCATGATAACACTCCGCTATACCACTGATCGTTCCTTCTTTCGATCCAAGACAATCGCAGCGGCGGCCAAGCGGGCAATACTTAGATCGTCAGCAGTTTCTTCTGCAAAACTAGATTCAGCCCTACACCACGACTTCTCTATGCTTTCTCAAGCTTGTGAAGGATTTCTTGGGACGTTCTCCACCTCAGAAGGTTCGGGTATAGGCAAACATCGTGATCAGGTGGACTCCAAGCTGTATAATTTGATGAAGTCGAAGAATCCTTCGAAGCCTTTTGGCGGCAGCCTGACTTCACTGCGCATCCGCTTCCGGCTCCATGGAACACAGTTCGCTCAGAAATGGGATCTATGCTATTCAGTAGTGGGTGCGAAGGATGCACTGCGAGCCGTGGTAACAGCAGACTCGATGTGATGGCCCAGAGCATATAAAAGGAGTTGTCACACTGGCTGGAACATGCTCGATCCACCTCAGCCATTCCTTGCACATCTGTCCAGAGCTATCATTCCCTGAGCAACATCCGTCATGGCTGCTACCGTACTGAGAGTCATTTCTTCTGCCATAAGCATCTTCAATTTTGGCGAAGATCTTTTCGAAGCCGCGGACAACTCTGTCTCTTGCAACCTTAACGTTTATGCTGGCATCGTTGGATCCCCATATGTGCCTCCAGGCCAGAATGAAAACGGACCCTACAAGTACAACGGCAACGACGGAGACCCCAACCCCGCCATGAATCTTGATGGAGACGCCCCCGACGTGCGTGTCTGGAACGATGCANGTCACTTTTTAGGTATCAACGCGGATCCTGGATACATCGGGCCTGGCAATTTCAAGGATATCAAGGTCAATCAGGGAAGTGACAATTCTGGAGCAGCCTATGCACTCATGACTGTCAACAACAATGCTATCTGTCTTGCTTACACCATGATGACGTGGGCGGATAATCAGAAGTACGGTTGGACAGGTGGCTGGGGTCGTCAGTGTGGTATCAATTGGTATTCATCATCACTCCGATTTGTTACCATGACTTCTGACACTCGTTAATTAGGTNATCCTTCAGGTGTCGCGATCGATGGCCAATATTCAGACTGTGTGTGAATCGAAGGTGACGGCAACCTGCCAGTCACAGCCATCCAAGTCCACCTTACTCGTTTCAACGACAAAGGGCAATATCAAGCCAGCCGCGACATCAACTCGTACTGCAACACAGGTTCACTTAGATTCCAGTACGACAACGACCCGAACTAAATTGTCACCAAGCGCGATCCAAGCCTCATCGATAACGTCGCCGATAGTATTGGTGGTTTGGTGCGCAACATCACCGGCAACGTCTTGAATGACTCCCGCTTAGTCNAAAGCATGAATCCCGCCCACAGTGCTGTTGATGTTTGCGAGAGTGATACCAGCGTCGGTCCGGAATTTGTCTCTATGGTTGATGGGATGTATTGTGACATGGGCAAGAAGGAATTGATGCCGCTATGCGTCCCTCGATTGTTGGGAAGATGCTTCTCACTCGAGACGACCAGCGTGCTGCTGGACAATGTCCTTGGGCTTGTTGAGTCTGTGTTCAGGTACAGCTCTATCGAGGAGTGGCAAGGCTAAAGCTCGATCTATGTTATTGTGCCATGGTTGCCCATGAGCTATACAGTCTGTCCTCATTATCTAGATATCTAGATCGGCACAAAGGTCGAATATGGCGGGATGACCCCAAATGTGACAGTTCCATCTTGTTCTCTGAAGTGCTTCTCTGTGTCCTACTGACGAACAAACACCGGCATAGATTCTAAGGGACAATCGACTTCCACTCTCCTGCCTCCCTCGAACGTTTCCTCCGTATCAAAAGTCTTCCATGTCTCCCCAGCAGGCAGATACACTGAGCGTTTCCTCTGGGAGGCACTCAGCACAGGAGCCACCAGATACTTCCAACCAAACATGAACTGATCTTCAACATCATGACCCCAACACTTCTCATCCTGGGGAAAATCATAGAACACAGGTCGTATGACTGGAGAACCTCGTTCATGAGCATCGCGCATGAGTTCGCGAGTATAGTCTCGAAGCATCTCACGGATACGCATGTACTTTTCGCAAATCTTGTACACGGCTGGGCCATACGACCATACCTCGTTTGGTGCGCCGGATCTGCATGTAGCTCCTCCAGTCGTTCCTTGTTGTGATTGCCGTGGCTCTCTATCACCGTGCAGGCGGAAGACTGGGAGAAAAGCGCCCCATTGAAACCAGCGGACGAAGAGTTCTCGGTAGCCCTCATCGTTAGGATTGCCTCCGTGGAAGCCACCGATGTCTGTTGTCCACCAAGGAATTCCAGCCATACCCATGTTCAATCCAGCGGCGAGTTGATTGCGGAAACTGTCCCATGACGATGCAATATCACCGCTCCAGACAAGGGCGCCGTACCTCTGACTTCCTGCCCAGGCACAGCGGAGAAGATTGACGATATTCTTTTGGCCTTCCTTCTCTTGTCCGTCATAAAAGGTGCGGGCATAGTCTCTCGGATAGACATTACCCACACTTTGATTGTTACCAAGCCAGTATCGGTAGTTGTCAAAGTCGTATGCGGTATACTCGGGCTCGGCCACATCTAACCAGAAAGCCTTGATCCCGTACTTGGTATAGTTGGCTTTAGCTTTCTCCCACACAAAAGTACGAGCTTTGGGATTTGTAGCGTCGTAGAAAAGACCATATCCCTCCCAGTCCATTGTGATGCGAATACCCCGATCGGTACGTACTAGGAAACCTTGTCGAAGCATCTCGCCGTAATTCTCGCTTCGACAATCAACTGTTGGCCAGATGGAAACCATAAGTTCAATGCCGAGGGATTCGAGTTCTTTCACCATGGCTTGAGGGTCTGGCCAGTAAGTCTTGTCGAATTTCCAGTCACCTTGCAGGGGCCAGTGGAAATAGTCGATGACGATCAGATCAAGGGGAAGTCTCCTGCGTTTGTATTCGCGTGCGACTTCGAGCAACTCCTCTTGAGTTTGGTACCTCAACTTGCCTATGGGAGGACGGTCATGTCAGTACGAACCACGCGGAGCGTATTCCAACAGCGACTTACATTGCCAAAACCCAAGTCCATACTCAGGCATCATGGGCGCATATCCAGTCATCCCAGCATAACTCTCCACAATCGCTGCTGGGGAATCTCCCGCCACGATCCAGACATCCAGGCATTTAGTCGAATAAGCTTCAAAGGACATGACATTGTTGCCAAAGATTGCTCTTCCCACAGCAGGATTGTTCCACAACAACCCATACCCTAACGAACTGACCGCAAACGGAACACTAGCTTGAGAATTGCGATGAGCGAGTTCCAGGTCCTGGCCTTTCAGATTCAGAAACGGTTGTTGATATTGGCCCATACCGTAGATCTTCTCATCGCGGCTGAGGGATTCGAGTCGCCATGTCAGATGAAACTCGTCGGTTCCTTGTTTGGCTTTGAATTCTCGGGGTTCGATCTCTATGGCACTGCACTTGTCATCCAGGATATTGCGTCTGTTTCTTGCGAATTCTTCTAGCAGAACTTTGCCTTTGTCGTTGCGAATGGTGAGTTTGCCGGTTTTGGAGATCTCGGCAATGACGTTGCCGTTACTGATCGTCGCCTTGTCGGGATGAATGTTGATCTTTGCTGTGCACAAGTCGCGAGGTTTGTCTTCCAGAGCCCAGTCGTGATCGGGAAAGGAGCTGAGCTTCGTGGCACGGATGCGAAAGGCATGAGCAGACCACGGTTGAATGAACAGAGTCTCTGAGTCGTAGCTATAGATCAATCCACCTTGTTTCTCTTCGAAGATGCCAATCTTCTCGGTCAACAGAGCCATGTTTGACATTGTGGGTGTTCTAGGGACAGGTAACGATTAGGAGCAGTGGAGGTCAGTGATTGGTGCAGACTTCCAGGGGTACAGAGGTACAGCTGCCTTTTATAGACATCTTCAGGCTAAGTCTGAGGTTGCAATTAGACAATCAAGCGGCTTTCGCAGCGACAGTGCCACCGGAGAGAGTGTGGCCGAAGACGGAGATATTGCGGGGCAGGTGAAGAGGGGGTGCCCCGTCGGAGACAATGTGGGGAGAGACACCCTGACAGAATATTCGATGACAAGAAACGAACAAAAGTTGAGGGAAATGATCGAGGAAGATTGAAGAGGTGAATGAGCTAACGCTGAATGATGTGGATCTAAGATGACTGACATCGTGACTAATAGTAAGCCTGTCAGCTGTTGGCCGTAGGCATCTTGCGAAAAGTATCATACGACGAGACGTGGACAGACACCAGCGATAAGCACGAAGGTCTTTTGTCTAGCACTGATTAGGCTCTGCATACAGCATATAAGTGCTTTGGATAGGTCGGTATAGGTCTGTTGATGTATCATGTCCATTTGTCATAGTTCAGTCGGTTCGTCGTGGGTCGAAAGGGTTCCATCACACCTTGATGTGTTGCCGTCATAAATTAACGTTCGACGCGATCCGGAACTTTTCGAATAGAGATCGACCATATCAGCAGCTGAGATATGAGCATAACAATTACACGTCCAGAGAGACCAATTTCATCCATGAGTGATGGACCTCTATATGATGCTTGTACTCAGTATGCCAAAGAAACCCTACAACTGAGCGAAAGTTGTTTCCCGGTTGCCAAAAGTCGTAGTCTCGCGAGTTCGGGCAATCAGCTCTAGCACTGCATCTTGCATATTCACCCACAAAGCGACATCACCCATGTCGGAATTGCTAAAGACGCCAAAGACAATCAACCTAACAGGGGCCACTTGTTACTATCAACGCATTGGATGCCCTTCCGCCCTTCATGAATGTCGAGACAGGACAGAACGACCCCGCTTCAAGACGATTGCGCCGTCGTCATTCCTTGACAGATAGTTCTACAAAAGCAAAGGTCGATACTGGACGCATAATGGATGAAGTATCGTGATAGGCTGTGCGTAGCTGCAGGTAGGGTTATAATCCATGCTATACTGGCCAGATCGAGCAGGTACACATCCACGATTGGCTTGCTCCATACCGTAGGTGCATATGTGCCGTGTACGGTCAGCTCCCCTCCAGTCCGATCGGCCAGGACACCGATACTTAAGGTGCCCCCTCGACCGTAGTTCGGTAGGCAGCTTCCCTTTTTCAACAAATTGCAACTATGTTGTCCATGTCCTGTTCAGTTCTCGCCTTCTGCCTCCTCTTCTTGGACGGTGCTATAGCTGCACCGACCTCGGCTGGCAAATCATACGCAATCAAGGAAAGCCACAATGTGCCTCGAGGGTGGAGTAAATCTGGTTCTGTTCCGGATTCTCATTCGATCAGCCTGCACATTGGACTCAAACAAGGCAACCAAGATGAGCTCGAACAGCACGTTCTGGCAGTCTCAGATCCATCGCATCAGCGCTACGGCCAGCATCTCTCTGCCGCGGAAGTTCAAAGTCTTATCGCACCGCCTGAAGAGAGTGTTCAAATGGTGAATGACTGGCTTTTGAACCATGGTGTCAAGGCCGCAGTGCTCAGCCCTCGCAAAGATTGGATTACCGTCAGTCTACCTGTACGACAGGTTGAAGCTCTTTTAAACACCACATACGCCGTGTATCGTCACACAGATGGCTCTACATTGATTCGTGCGCCCGAGTGGTCGTTGCCGCTGTACCTGCACGACGCGATTGACCTCATCCAACCCACCACCTCGTTCTTCCGGACCTCAAGACATGCATCCAGCGCAAAGCCAGAGCGGGGACCTATTGAATGGAATGAGTCGCTCGAAAAGAACTGGTGGAAGCCAAGACCCAGTAATGTAAGTCGAAAGTCCCCAGACTGGNATCGGTTCAGATGCTGAGATTGTTTTACCCAGCTCTCGTCCACTTGTGATGTCAACAAATTGTGCAATGTCACTGGCACAAATTATGCTGGAGACGCCATCATTGCCACTAGTCTCGATTGTTTGCGTTGTCTTTACGGCACATCAAACTACATTGTCAAAGCACCGAAGCAAAACATGATCGGCGTTACAAACTACTTGAACGAGGTGTGTGATGAATCTTCCGAGGTTCGCCAAACCAAATACCATTACTGACGATGGATCCAGACTCAGAAACGTTCTGATATCAAAACCTATCTCCAGAACTTCCGTCCGGAGGCTGCAGGGGTGGCTGACACCTTTCCAGACATCAACATCGCAGGAGCACAAGATAATCAAGGAACACTGACCGCAGATCAGATTGAAGATGAATTGAACCTGGAGGGCGACCTCGATGGTGAACTAGTCCTCGGTATCACCTGGCCAACATCGTTTTTGTCTTGGTCGACTGGTGGATCACCACCTTTCATCCCTGATCTCGCCACTCCGACAGACACAAACGAGCCTTATCTCGAATGGCTAACATATGTGCTTGCACAAGATGTCTTACCACAGGTTATCAGCACCTCGTACGGTGATGACGAGCAAAGCGTGCCGTACTCGTATGCAAAAAGAGTCTGCGATGGCTTCAAGCAGCTAGGGGCCCGAGGCATTTCTGTACTTTTCGCTAGCGGCGACGACGGTGTAGGTCCAGATGGAACTTGCTTCTCCAACAGCAAGACCTCTCACCCCATGTTTCTACCTGAATTCCCTGCCTCTTGTCCTTGGGTCACCAGTGTGGGAGGAACAGCTGGCTTTGCGCCCGAAGTTGCAGTATCCCGATTCGGCAGTGGCGCTGGCTTTTCGAACTATTTCCCTATGCCGGCATACCAAAAGAACACTGTAGAGGGCTACCTTGGCAAGATAGGGAACCTTTACCAAGGTCTCTACAATCGCTCTGGACGCGGATATCCAGATGTCGCGGCTCAAGGCAATCACGACATCATTGTCTGGGAAGGCAACATCACAACAGTCGGAGGCACCAGTGCATCGTCACCAACTTTCGCAGCCGTGATAGCGTTGGTAAACGATGCACTGATCGTAGCCGGCAAGCCGCCTCTGGGATTCCTGAACCCGTGGATTTACGGTGGAGCTTTTGCTGCTCTTACTGATATCACGAGCGGATCCTCGATTGGCTGCAACACTAGTGGGTTTCCTGCTGAAGTTGGCTGGGATGCCGTGACTGGGTTTGGAACACCAGTGAGTACAATGACTTCTTCTTCCAAACTATGACCTACTAATCCGTATGATAGAATCTTGGTAGACTCATTGCTCAAGCGTTTCACGGACGCAAGGACTAGAGTGGAGATGATGTATAGGACGTGATGTGACAATGACCACGCTTAGGTTAAGGGCACGATGGTATGGTGTTGTTTATGAGCAAGTCAACGACTCGTACAGTTACGATTGGAGTTGAAGACAGTGTTCTGAATAAATGTTTCCACAATCTATTCATTATCAGCAAATGACCATTCTACGGACCGCACTTCCTTGGGACGCGAGCTTTGGTACGACCAGGGGTATTGAGCTGTGTATCGTTGATGTTGCAACAAGTGGGTTTTCAAATGCATGCAAAGAACAGCCCCGACAAGGACCATGGCAAATGAGTGATCACCAAGCTGAGTACAAACTGTGCAAGCCGAATCTGGAGCCATCCAGATCAAGCTTGACACGGTGTCTCAGGCAACCATACCAATCATCACTTCAAGAGCCACGAGCGGTCAAAAAGCCTTCGTCTTGGTCTTTGAGTGAATAACCATTCCACATGCTTTTCTGCAGTGATACAGCGAAATACGGCGTCTTGAGAACACACCTCAATCATGGTCATCGCTTGCTCGAGAGTCTGTTGACTTCCAAAGTTCTTATTGCTAATCGCGGACGTCGTCTCAATTGCCAACATTATTGATTGCACGAGGATAAATTTGTTGGGATGTTGCAGATGGAGTTTCTGGAGAGAAAAAGAGGTTGACGACGAAATTCAACGTGAGGGTGTCTGTTGATATTGGTGTCAAGAACGAAGACAGACTAGAATCCTGGACACCTCCGCCAAGCGACAGCAGTGTAGACTCTATTGATACAAGTGTAACTGTGGTTTGATCAGAAGGATTTTTCTTGCAATCCGAAAGCTGAAGCTTGGTATCTAGACGCCGAGTCGAGGTGACACGGGTAATGTTGCTGATATGGCTCAGTTTGACTGCTCCTCCAGCGATCAGCTGTGACTGTGTCGGATTGGCTGGAAGCTAGTGATTGAGTGAGAACAAGTGCTAGGCGCGCCAACATCATGCAACCTCTACCAATCGACTGATGACAGAAATTAACTCCGGTATCCGGAAAGGTTTTACGATAAAGTCATCCACTCCTGCATCATGGGCCTGCTTCGTCTGCTCGGTACGAGCATTGGCCGAGACTGCAATAATGGGAACATGCCTGACAAGTTCTCCCGAAGCCTGCATGTCGCGGATCCGCCTTGAGCAGATCAATCCATTCATGACAGGCATCTCGATGTCCATAAGAACCACGTCAACATCTTGTAGGGTGCTTGTGGAGTTTTGATTGGCGTGTTTCCAAGCACTGGTGGTTGCGAGGAAGTCCAGTGCTTCTTGGCCATGGTTTGCTACCTGCACTTTGTGTCCGAGCTTGGTGAGGTGTTTTTGGAGGACCTTTTGGTTGACAAGGTTGTCCTCGACCACCAAAATAGAAAGAGTTGAAGAGGGCTGACTGGCATCTATTCCATTGACCTGTACAGGAGCTGAAGTAAGAGTCTGAGATCTTGTGTGTATTGCGAGATCCGGCTTTGGTGGATCTGAGGGTTCTGTAGCCCGTGTCGCGGGGACGTAGAAAGCGAATCTGGAGCCGACGTCGACTACAGAGGAGAGACCAATCTGTCCGCCCTGGAGTTCCACGAGCCTCTTGCTAATGAACAGTCCCAATCCAGAGCCGCCGTATTGAGTGTAGGTTTTGGGAGAAGCTTGAGAAAAACGGTTGAACATGCGTTTTTGCTCCTCCTCACTCATACCGCAGCCGCTATCGGTTACCGAGAACCAAAGGTAGATAGTTCCGTCATTCGTGAGCTCGGTTTGCACTCGAGCGTCGGAAGTGTTCATCGTGGCGTAAGTCACCGACAGATTGGAGGGCCGCTCTTTCGATGCTCCGAGACGTACGACAACTGTGCGCTCGCTTTGGGAAGTTTTTGTAAACTTGATGGCGTTGGTGACGAGGTTGACTAGTACTTGGGATATCCTTCCGGAATCCGCAAGAACCCAATCAATGTCGAGCTCGCTTAGTGAAGTGTCTAGCTCTGTCTGAAGTTGTACACCCATGCGATCAGCTTCAGCACTGAAGATGTTTGTGTCCAATATTTCTGTTGCGCGAACCGTGGTTGGAGTCACCCGAACAAGATTGGAATCGAGCTTCGACAAAGATAGAATGTCATCGGTTACCCGTTTTTGGTGCATGGAGCAAGAAAGAATGGTGTCAACCGTCTCGGTGCCACTCTTAAGATGCTCTTCCAGTCTCCCTTTTGTATTCTGACGCGTTTCCTCGTCCAGATTGCCCTCGGCGAGTGTGTTGATAAGCTGCCCCATTTCGACAAGCGATTCCCTCAGCATATCAGCACAGTGCATTGTCGCTCCAAGCGGGTTTCGAATCTCATGACTGGTAATATCAATGAAGGCCTCGGCGCTCCTCTTCGCTTCTATGGCTGCTTCGAGCCTCTTCTGTTGCAGATGTTCCTCGAATTGCAGATGTGAGATGTCAGTCCATGTAGACATAGCTTTGACCAGAGTGCCATCCTCACTGTACTCTGGAAAGCATATGACGGAAACCCATGCCTGCCCTTGAAATGAGCCGTCAACGCTGGTCCAAGTCTTTCTTAGTCGAGCTCGGAATTCGACGGATTTTTTATACTCGAGGCACTCTGCAATCTTCGCGCGGGGTATCCATAGATCGTCAGGATAATATACAGACGCGGGATCCACGTCTGAAAATGCTCGTCTCGGATGGCCAGTCATTTCGTACCAGCAGTTGTTAAAATACAAGTCGTCGTTAGGATATCCCCGTATCATGATACCGATGGGCGCAATATTCGTGAATTGCAGCAACCTTGCTTGGCTGATTCTTACCTGTTCAAGCGCCTCGGCTCTTTTGAGAGCGTTCTCCTGAGCGAGTTTTTGCTTGCTAAGGTCTGTTGTACAGCCCGAGATGCTGACGATGTTGCCTTCCTCGTCGAAGACTGGCGTGCAAGCGGCCAGTACCCATTGGCCGGAAGGAGTATTGTTCTTCCATCTCATCTCAAATGTACAGGGCACACCGGACATGAGCCCAGTCCATTTTTCCATGACTGTGTCGACGTCGTCTGGCATACAATAGTCCAAAAANGTGTATTGCTTGTTCAAAGCTGGATCTTTTGGATATCCACTCAGTTGATAGAACGCGTTGTTGGCTTGTATGAGCTCTCCTGTCGGTAGATAGTCGAAAAATCCTACATCGATAGTCTCTGCCATTGCCAAAACGGTCTTTGTCTTTTCTTTAGCAATAATGACTTCTCGTTGCCGGAGTTGAAGCTTTTTCGAATTGAGTTCGGCCTCTTCCCGCGCCCGATCGGATGCTTTTCGCTTTTCAGCCTCTCTCGCTTCTATACAAGTGATTGCAAAGGTGGATTCTGCGATTTGTTTCTGCACCTCTCGCATCCAGGCTTGGTATGCTTCGTCATAAGGTCTGCGAGGTGCTATGCCAATCACGACGAGCGCTTTGACGCCATAAAAGGCTGTAGAGCTTGCGGTAAAGATGATAGCTTGCTTGCACTTGTCTCCATAGCCCCGGTTCTGTGAAGCATTGCACCACTCTGCCAACATGGTATCGTCTGTGGCTTGAATCTTGACGGGTTCTCGAGAGGTTATTGCTTTGCGCATTTGCTGCAACAAAACATCCTCCCTTGCGCCGAGTTCAAGAAGTTCCGGAAGAGGGTGGTCGAAATCTCCTACGCTTCCATTCAAGCGCAATTTGACATCGCCTCCATCGCTTGGGGGACTGTCGAACACGACGTTCCTGATCGGTTGGTCTTCAACTCCATACACGACTGCAAACGGAACATCAAGCTCTGATGGAGCAAAGCTTTGGAGGATGGATTGCAGAAGATTTGGCAAAGCCTCCGCGGAGCTACATAGGCGCTTCAGCGTGGCAGACACTTCGTTTCTTCGTTTTGTGACGACTTCGAGTGTTGCGTCGCGGGCGGTTGCGTGGTGCCCGTGAAGATGAGGTGGTAGTTTGACCACAGTATAAAGNAGGAATACTTCTTCGACATCATGGCCAATGTCGAAAAAGAGTGGCGTGGGTATCAGAGTCCTGCGAACCCTGTTCTAGACCGTGTCGGCCCCACGCGAGATCTGCCGCCGTCCACCGAAAACACTTAATTCGTCGAGAATGTGAGGCCTTGGCACTCGGAGTGCGAACCGAGAGTGGAAATAGGTAGCTCCCGCCGCGGAAGTGTTTAGGTGAAACGGTAAAGGGATCTTCGAACTTGACTGCCTCAGGCAAATAGAAAGAAATCCTTTATAGCATCGATAATGATGAAGTGACTTGCTTGGGTCAAATCAAGCCAGGAGAAGGATTGTACTAGCAGAAAGAGGCGACTGAACACTCATGCATCCTGGTGAAGCGCGCTAGGGGCGAGTATATTCATGACATACGAGTCGACATCCTTTTGCACACCTCGTCGACATTCAATTGTGCTAATACTCGTACTCGAGCGCGTCAGAGGGAAGAAACCAGAGGTATGTGATACGCGGTCTGGAAGCTGTATGTACTTGCTGTTCATACTCTTCGGAGCATGCCCAGCTGGAAAAATTTCAACGCCCATCACACGGGGCGAAAGTCGTTGTCGTGACAGCCAGAAAGTTTCATTATCGGTCGTTTCCTCACTCTTGCACAGCTCTATCAATGGTCGTCTTCTCGTGTTCAACACAACATCATCTTGCTTGGAATATCGCATGACAATCCGGCGCATCATCGATTGCCCTTGACGACGTGAGAAAAATAATGATTGTACCGTCTTCCAGCGCAGTCTAATGCCCATGGTTCTAAATGACCAAATTCAACCGGTGGACATCACCACAAACTCTTAAGCTGCACACGTGCACATGTCGTCGCGGAACCCCGTACTTGTGTAGAGACAATGCGCCATGTCTCTTGGCCTGGACTGTGTCACCTGCTTTCCGATTCATTCTCTTCTTGAACACTTGTTCGGCCTTCTCGCCGCATCGGATTTCGCTCATCAAAAATGCTCGGCGGGCAACAGCTATCGCCAATGAACTACAAAAGGTCGCTTCATTGATCAAGGCTCTACGAATTAGTACTAAGTGCTCTCAAATCATGATCCAAAGCGGAAATACCACTTTGCAACACAACCAATCATGAAGCAAAAGCGGACGACCTGTCGCAAGCCTGCCTAAATCGTCCAGGCTCATCAGACAACCATGGAACAAGGAGTTTCGTATAGATCAAACAAAGCCTTGACAGGATTCTATTCTTCTCAATGTGCATACAAGATTGTCAAGAGAGCCGTTGCCAGAAAGCCATCCCATGCGCCAAGCGATTGGCAGACATCAGGAAGGCTTCTCAGCCCCATAACTTCAACCAAGGTCATTGGTATGGGTCACTGAAAGCACCAAGATGATCACTAGCCGTTGGTCATTACTCCTGTCCATGCGAACAATCGCTGCAGATCTATCGAAGTATTCCCATGGGGCGACAAACTCTCCATGTTTTCTCCCCAGGCCAAGACGACTGTCGCTATAGTGGACTTGGCGAGTGCATGGCGCATAAAACCATACCAACAATTGACGACGAATTTGCGGGGTCGACTCGACGGTTAGTACCATTTCGGTCATCTCGCTCATGGATACAACCTTGACTGGATGGAATGGAGGTGCGGGAGGATTGACCGCTGGCAGAGTCGTCGGGATAGCATGGGGAACGACTGGGTATAAGTATTGGAGCATCACGCACGATCGCTCACCGATAATCCATCGTCCCTCTCGAGCCTGACATCGCGCCTTTGGTTCTCTCCCCAACTCAGTCCCGCATGTCGACCATGAACGAACCAGCCGACCCAATCGCTCAAGGCGTTTTGCCAACAGCCAAACAGTCTTGGTCCGACCTTNTTAAATGGAAACAAAGAGTAGTCGTCTTCGGCGACAATGGCGAAACATCTACAGAATGGCAAGCGCCTCAGAAGTTCATCAATCCCTTCAGCTTGATGGCACAGCTCACCGCCATGAACTGGGTTTTCTTCGTCGTCGGTCTCGCCGCTTGGACCGCCGACGCCTTCGACTTTCACGCTCTGTCCATCCAAACGGTCAAGCTTGCAAAGTACTACAAGGTCACCAAGACTGATATATCTGAAGCCATCACCCTGACTCTTCTGTTGCGATCTGTCGGTGCTGCCATGTTTGGTTTCGCAGGTGATAAGTGGGGTCGCAAGTGGCCGATGGTTGCCAACATGATCATTCTGGGTCTTTTGCAGATTGCCACCATCTACTCCAAGACCTTTAACCAGTTCTTGGCTGTTCGCAGCTTGTTTGGACTATTCATGGGTGGAGTGTGAGTTTTTTCTTTTACTTTTCCTCCCTCTTTCTCTCTCGAGTCTCCAGACCCATCCTTCCAATCCTATATCCTTCAACGAAGCTGACTCTATCATAGCTATGGTAATGCAGTAGCTATGGCCCTTGAGAATTGTCCAACCGATGCCCGTGGTCTCATGTCAGGAATCTTGCAACAAGGCTACTCCATGGGCTATGTCTTTGCCGCATGCGCCAATCTCGGCGTCGGAGGTGCAGTCGAAACTTGGAAGACTGTCTTCTGGATTGCAGCCGGCTTATCCATCGGTGTTGGCCTGATTCGCTGCTGTTTCCCTGAGTCTAAGCAATTCCTCGAAACCAAGAAGAATGGCAACAAACATGCTCCTGGTGCTTTCTGGCAAGAGACGAAGGTCATGCTCGCCCAGCAATGGAAGATGTGTATTTATTGCATCATCTTGATGACTTGGTTCAACNTGTAAGTCCTGGAAAGTGTCTGTTCATTGTTGGTTACTGATATCATCGCAGATTACAGTCATACTTCTCAGGATAGTTATACCACTTTCATGCTCACACAGAAGGGTCTCAAAAACGATGGTGCCAGTCGTGCTTCCATCTTGATGAAGACCGGTGCCTGTGTCGGTGGAACAAGTACGTATCCCATCCCGCGAAGGACGAAAGACTGCCACTTGATTGAAGTTTTACTAATCAGCTTCTCAGTCATCGGTTACCTCTCTCAATTCGTCGGCCGTCGTCGAGCCATCATCGTCGCTGCCCGTAAGCAGATTGAAGTCGCCGGCCAAACATCAAGCTGATATCCATACCCAACAGTAACCAGCATGTGTCTCATCCCCGCCTGGATCCTGCCCACCGGCGAAGGCTCCCTCTCCGCCTCGGGCTTCATGATGCAATTCTTCGTCCAAGGCGCCTGGGGCGTCATCCCCATTCACCTCAACGAACTCGCCCCTCCCGCCTTCCGCTCCACTTTCCCCGGCCTCACATACCAGCTCGGAAACATGATCAGCTCACCATCAGCTCAAATTGTCAATGCAATTGCCGAATCCAATTTTGTCACCGGTGCCAAGGGTAAGAGGGTTGAGGCCTATGGACCTGTGATGGGTATTGCGACTGCGATCATCGCGGCGGGGATTGCAGTGACTACGGCATTTGGGCCTGAGAAGAGGGGAAGGAGTTTCGAAGTGCCGGTGGCGATCGATATGATGCAGGCAAAGGATGTTGAAGAGGGAAGGGATAGCATGGATAAGAATGTTGTTCGCGAAGAGCGTGTTGAGAGGACCGAGACTAGGTGAAGGACACACTGCTTGTTACGGCATGCGGTGACCTGGAGCGGTATACCATGTCAAACACCAGCTCCGCCAGAATCAGATGATGGATGCAGAAGAAGAATAAAACTTGGCATTTGAATCACCAAAACACCGCCGCTAATATCAAACCCCTACGTATCCTCCTGACTACCCACTCCCAGTCACATTCAACGTCATGTACATATTCAACCTGTTGGGTCCACCACAGTACTCGGTACTGTTACCCTGACACACCATACTACACCCCGTATCCTTTGGCGTAGCCCCTGCCACCAACACACTTCCCTTCTGCATAGTATTACCACAGAAGCATTGACTCGCATACTCGACGCCAAAGTATCGATACTTTGAACAAGCAGCCCTACAAGTCTCCACAGTGACATTTGCAGCTGAGACGGCGTACTGCACATCCGTCAACGCTCTGCTATTTGTAGCTTCAGAATAGCAACCAAGGTATGTTGCTGCAGTGGTATTGCCAACCGTGATTGGTTGCGAAGGTGCAGTGGCAGAAGACTTGTACACAGTCAATCTGTTGCCTCCGCCACAGGTCTCTGCACTGTTGCCCGAACAAGGCATATTGCAGCTACTGTTGTCTGCAGCCACAGATCCAGTATTGAGTTTATAGCCGCAATAGCATTCTGAAGAGTACTCGGTGCCGAAATAGGTGTAGCCTGTGCATGCTTTGGCGCAATTTTCGTTTGTGACGTTGGAGCCTGAGATGGGGTTTTGAAGGTCGGAGAGGGCGCGTGTGTTGGTTGCTTCGGTGTAACAGCCATAGGCGGTCCATCCGCCGGCGATGGTTGTGGCGGCAGCTGAGGAGGAGGAAGTTCTGCTCGTCGTGGTGGAAACAGTGCTTATGGTCGAGGATGCCGATGGTGAAGAAGTCGAGGTACTGGAGCTGGACGAGGTGGGACTAGCGCTGTTGCTGCTGGTGGACGAAACAGTGGAGGAAGCAGCTGAGCTTGACGACATGGACGAGCTTTTTGATACGGATGAGCTTGATGACATGGACAAAGTCGACGAAGCAGACGACCTTGACGAAACAGATGAGCTTGATGACACGGCTGAGCTTGACATCACAGATGAGCTGGAAGATGCGGACGAGCTAGCCAAGGTGGATGAGCTCGAGGACGTGGACGATGTGGGCGTGCTAGATGAACTCGAGAAGCTAGATGAAGCAGACGAGCTCGACGCAGTAGATGAGGTTGACGAAGCTAGTGAGCTTGACGAGCTGGACGCTGTGGACAAGCTGGACGAGCTGGACGATATGGACGAGCTGGAGACCAATGACGAGCTGGACGAGACAGAAGTCGAAGTGATACCATTCGAGGCGGAAGCAGTTTGTGATACAGAAACCGTCGAGGTCACGTTTGCCGAGATCGAAGACGACAGCGATGAGGACGAGCTTGAAGTCAGCGAGACTGTAGTCGAGTTCGGATATAACGAAGACGACGAGGAGGATATAGAAGACACAGAGGATGAACCACTCGTAGTTGACGACGACATACTGCTCGAGGTGGTCGAGTTTGCCTGAACAGACGATGGAACAGTCGAAGATACCGATGTAGTGCTCGACCCACTTGACGTGCTAGGAGAAGGGCTGGTTGATGACAAAGATGAACTGCTAGACACAGTCTGGTTCGTCATATAGAGGTTCAAGCGGTTCGGTCCACCGCAATACTCGGTGGAATTAGCAGCGCACAACATATTGCAGCCAGTGCTAGCAGGATCTGATCCAGCCACAAGGTTAGATCCAGCAGAGATAAAGTTAGAACAGAAGCACTGCGACGCATACTCGACACCAAAATAAGTGTATCCAGAACACGCAGCAGCGCAACTCTCAACACTAACATTGGCGCCAGCAATAGGCATCTGGAGTTGAGAGAGTGCTCGAGTATTGGTGGCTTCCGAGTAACAGCCTTGATAGTTCCAAATGCCGAAATTGCCAACAGTGATAGGATCCTGGATACGAGTGATATTGGCGTTGGCATTGAGACTGTACATGCTCAAGCGGTTGGGACCTCCACAAGTCAAGTTCGAGTTGCCTGCGCATGCCATGTTGCAGCCATTGAGTGCTGAGCTGTTGCCTCCTGGTGCGAGTGTTGAATTACCTCCGATGGTGTTTGCGCAATAACATTCACTTCCGTACTCGATTCCAAAGTATTGATAGCCTGAGCACGCTGTACCGCAAGTGTCGGGTGTTACGGTCTGTGCAGTGAGAGGTTCTTTTGCCAGTGCGCGACCAGCGACGTTGTCGAGCCAGCAGCCATAGTAGCTATAAGCACCATTGGACGTCGTGTTCTGGGTAATCGTAGTGACTGTCTGTCCAGCACCCGCGCCATTACCAGTGTTCGCACCATTGCCTGTGTTACCCGTACCAGTAGTTGAGATGGTAGGAAGTGTCCCATTGTATTGGAAGACATTCATGCGATTCGGGCCACCGCAATACTCCGAGGAATTGCCCGCACAGAACATGCCGCAACCGTTGACATCTGGATTGTTGCTGGCTTGAAGCACGGCACCATTGCCCACAGTGTTGCCGCAGAAACATTGGTTGGCGTACTCTACTCCAAAGAACTCATAGCCAAGACAAGCAGCGGCACAACTCTCATAAGTGGTCCCGTTGGCAGGGGGNTTGGGCGCAAGACCGTTCAGTGCTCGACCATTGACATTGTCTGACCAACAGCCTGCATAGGTGAAGTTGCCTACATTTTGCTCAATTGGCAATCCACCGGGTCCAGATGTTGCATTGCTGCCTGGTGTGTAACGAGTAGCGTCATAGTAGACCGAGATAAGTCCAGTACCATAGTCGCCTCCGCAAGTATCGTTCTGGTTACCAGCGCATGGATAATTGCAGAGCGAATCCTGGACTTGAAGAGACAATGGNGGAGGAGTATTACCAGCATAACACTCGATTTGGTACTCGGTTCCTGTGAAGACGTAACCTCCCGAGGTGGCCAGGTTCTGACACATACCATTGGTGTTGTTACTACCAGCATACAACTGATTCGGCATAATCTTGCCCTTGGTATTGTCTTGGAAGCAACCTAGATAGGTGTATGCAGGACTGCCAGGGCTTCCCTGAGGACCGACATGAGTGCTTTGAATGACACCTTGGATCTGAACTACATGAACACCAAATTCGAGATCGTCAGTGTTCAAGGTCCATGTATTGTTGACAGGTTGATCTGCTTGGTTGAAACGCTCATTGGGTGGCGACATTAGCACTGTTCCATATGCGCATGTGTTAGGTGCAATTTGCAGCTCTTCATGAAGCTCGGCTGGGTCGCTGATGTAGAAGATCCCGTTTGGTGGCTTGCTCTTTGAGATGTCGAGAACCGAACCACCCTCATTGCAGATCTGGATCTTCAAAGATTGAGTTGTGCCAGCTTGTACATAACCAAAGTCCATGACAGGAGCACTTTGCGTCGTCACATCAGTCCAACCATTTTCGCTGGTCGAGATGGACATGTTGGCAATAGGTGCTGTTGATGCTGTTCCTTCCAAGATCGTGTCAGTGACGCCACCATTCGTCCAGATATTGAAGAACGAAAAGTAGTTTCCAGTGCCATTGTTGGGTGCAAAGATCAGATTTACAATGATCGACTGCGACGAATTGATGATCGAGTTTACTGGTGGAAGATTGGTTGCATAGAAGCCAGGCCCCATCATGAATGTTCCATCGTCAGCCTGAGTAATATTGGTCCAGTCAACATCATCGTCATCAATCTCATCCTGTGTCCATGCGTAGCCGGTAATCAGCATGGGAGCAATACCAGCATTCCGGATCGTCATGGTCGAGCCAGTAGTTTCTCCATCAGAGTCTGCGCCTACAAGAATGACGCCTCCAAAATCGACAGTAGACGGCGTTGTGTCGAGGAACGGATTCTGACTGACTTGCTTGCCAATTAGAGATACGGGGAAGACGTTCGCATAGCCAGTGACGGCATTGTTCGTCGTGATGGTCATGGGTGTTGACTTGAAGCCTGGGGTGGTGCTTCCAAAAGACGCATTCACAGCATTGGCGACAGTAGCTTGAGTCAGATTCCAAACTACAGGGAAGCTGAACTGCTGCCCCGCAGTGATGGCACCTTTAGGAAGGTCGGAAAGATGAACGGCAAAGTTGGAGTCGGCAGTCTGAATGTTGGTGATCTGGTTGATGTTGATTAATGCTGTGCAGTTGACGAACTGCTTACCAGACGATCCCAGAGATACACTGCCAAAGTCGACGGGGGAGCTGCAGTTCAAAGGCAGATTCACAGGAGAACCCAAGCAATAAAGATTGCCTGAGGCATCCGTAGTATAGAGTCGAGTGTCGCCAAAAGCCGGACGCTGGAACTTGTTGACGCCCTGAATCTGAGGCATGGCGATGGATTTCATGGTACCATCGGATTTAGGTACGGCATACCAAGCGCGGATACCGGCGTCGGGATCTGTCATCCAAAGAACAGCAGTACCAGGCTGACCATTCAGACTCGTGATAGTAGGAACACCAACTCCCACGCGGCCAGCTGAAGTCTCTTTGGTACTGGCAACCTGAGCGAATTGAGGTACACCGGCCCCATCGAAGCCGAGCTGATATACGTAGGTGGGATAACCAACTGGGGTCGAGTATAGGAAGCCACCTTCGAGAGGATAACTTCCACTGCCTCCAAACACAGCTTTCTGAGTGTTAATGGTCTGCACCACACCGTCGCTGCCGCCGGAACCTTGTTTGTAGCCGCCAAGGTTATCTGCATTCATAATATAGATCTTGCCATTTTTGCCAGCACCGACAGCCATACGATTGACTCCTGTTCCCTTGAAGACAGTCGGGTCAAGTAGTGTCACGCCGCCAGAGCCAAAGTCTTGGTCGCCGCCGTCCATGTTCTCGTAGTCGTAGGGTTGGAAGTAATCTTGCGTGCTGAGCTTTCCAGTCGAGGTATCGATGGCAAGATTGATTACCGCTTCGCCTAGTGTTTGACAACCGCTGCGGCCTGTAGCTGGGACACCTGAGAGGAAGTAAGCATGTGATATGGGGAGTCAGAACTGGTAAAGTTCGGGTATGGTCACTTTACCATTATTCTGATCAGCATTGCCATTTCCAGTCGCAAAGAAGAGTCGATTGCCATCCGTAGAGAGACCAACACCAGATTGCCAGATACCAGCTTCACCGCCTGCGCCGTTTTGCAGAAGCTTGCCGCTGTGAGACACTAAGGGCCCAATACTGGCAGCCCACTGCGAGGCAATATTTTTGTTGACAATATCGATACCTATCACCACTCCAGTATAGTTGTATTGATCACAGTGACCACCGAAGCCGCCGTAGATATAGTTACCGACCTGTACAAGCGAAGGTCGCTGGAGAATGACACCGCCGACGAAGTAGTCGAGAGGGTCATTGTCTGCAACACTGCCATCAATCAATATGGGGTAGCCTGGCACGTCTTGGAGCGTGTCTAGCGAGACGCCATGGAAGTAATAGACACCATTTGAGACTCCAGTGTTGCCTGGCTGGCGGTAGTTTGGGATGTAAGTCTTGGAATAGAAATACGCAATCTCCGTGTTGGGATCAATAATAGGTGTGCCGATGATACCAATCGTGTTAGGGATGTCGGTACATCCAATATCAGACTGCAGAAAAGGTGTATGTACTTGACGTGTGTTGATGACCGCTCCAGTCTTAGCATTGAGAGTGCGGATGTAATTTTGAGATGAGGCAAGGAACAAGATTTGTACGCCAGTTCCTGCTGGTGTAAAGACCAGAGGCTTTGCATAGAATTGTTCTTTTGCGTTAAAAGAGACTTTCCAGAGTTGTCCGAATTGAGCGCTGTCGACGACGGCAGGGTCCNNTGATTTGTTAGTCGGAATCGAGAGTAGTCGGCACAAATTCTGAGCCTCTACTTGTAGAGGTTTGGGAATGTGCCCGACTGAGGAGAGAGGGGAAGGTCATACCATATTATGGTTGGGCAGGTAGCCCGTTTGTGCAACGTCCGCGTCTCGGTAGCTGTCAGTCGAGGCAACGGCCACAGCATAGTCGACACAACACGTTAGTGCCCACAAGACACAGTTCGCCCACGAGTACCTCATGACGCCGAACAGAAAAACGAAATGGGTGTTGGGTGTGAATAGGTTTATGACATGTATCTTGCCGTAGGTATATATACACACCAGTGCGGGTACCTCGCGGCCCTCGCTGCAGGAACTGGAATGACCAGAGCAAAAGCTTGTGACGACTCAGCTCTGGTTCTCGATTCAGCTCGCAGGAACAGGAACACTCCGAGATGAAACTAGGAGGTATCAGCTCAGATTCTTCTTTCAGCTCGTAGGATTCTTATCACAAGAGCGGTCGAGACGGAGGGCTGTTCCTTATCGGTATGTACACATAGCCACGTACCCATTGCCACCTGAAAGCTCTGTCCAATCGATACCAGCTTCGGAAGAGGTATAGCCTTAGGAAAATAGGTCCTATCACGCGAGAGTTGACTGTCTCCGGGGTGCATGAACCCTGGAAATCTTCCGAACGGTGTCCCAGAAGTTGCTAATTTCGGTATGGTGTACGAGGTGACTTGGGGGAAGTTTTGTCGATTTCACGGAAATACGAATGTGTCCCGTAAAGCCACAGTTCCATCACATCTTGTGACCTGAGCTTATTGGCTTCAGACACACACCTCATAATAATCTTCACTTTCGTGTGTGTTCCGGTCGTGTGATGGAGGTGCACTATGTGTGACTGCTTCGCTGTCGAGATCTCTCTCTCTCTCTCTCTCTCAAACATATGAATCCTGTTCATATTCCAGCCCAATGGGACACACAGGATTCACCCGTGAACCACATGCAAAAACATCGCACGTGGCAAGGTGAGGGATCTGTGCAGCGACCGCTTTGAGATCTGGACAGTAGGATCGCAAGCTCCAAAACATCCCAAAAAGCTACCAATTGGCAGGGTTGACATCTGGGAGCGGGACCACATGGCGCTTCTTCATCGGCGGTATCCGGCGGTAGCCAATACACTCTATTCATAGGAACAATTGCAGAAGCCAAGGCTAGTCAAGCACTATGCTTAGTGCTTATACGTGGTACTTTTGAAAGATTTGACGGTAGCCGAGCGGCTCTGAGACTGGAGCGCCAGCGTCGAAGGAACGCCGGTGACGCGGCCATCGCTGACGATGAGAGGTCTGGCTTTTTCGAGACACACAAAAGGTCGGTTGGCGATGAGTATAGCAGCACCAGATCAAATCCTGGAGTCCATTGTCACCTAGAGGCACAATTTTCTAGCCTGTATCGCGAGTTGAGTGTCAGGAGTGTGAAGCTAGAAGGTCATGTGGTGGAGAAGGAGATGGAGTCGCATCTGGTGGCGTCCTCATCACCTCCGCAATCTCAGCCCTGGACCCCGCAATTCCCGCGTTCGGCGATTAAGCACGACTTGTCATCGTTCGTGTTAGCCGAATAGCCGAGACATGTCTAGAACGGACATAGCATGATACTCGGTAGGTTATACGTGGTATCTCTCCGAAACGAGACGGTCTCAGATCAGGTCGTACATCTATCGTCTTTTTGGAAAGCTGAGATCGAACGCAAACAAGTTGTGCTGAAGCAGCCTTCTTGCGGTGTCATGGAGTCTGCTAGTTATGCTGCACCACGTCAAGATCGCTGTTGAAGATGCTCAGTCAATGCGAGATCGAAAAAGAATGTCAGAAGAGGCACAGAACAAACGAAACCCATAGTGATCGTCTTGGAAATAGGATGCCACGACTTTTCACAAAAGGATCTAGAGTGTCAGGGTGATACCAATAACAACCAAAAACATGGACATCAACAACCACAGGCGACAACTAATCGATAGGACTTGCTGTGATGATGTTGTTGTTGTTGAATTTTCCAAGAGTTGCTCTCGCTGCGGAGATGTTCTCAAGACGTTAGGTATTGCAGCTGGCAATCTTGTCGTCAGGCTTGGGTGAATCGACGAAACATGTCTAGGATGATCCGGGCAATGCCCCCACCACGTGTGTCAAAAGACATAACGTTTCGTGTCATTTGCCGCCTCCAGTCTCGGAGGGCGGCCGTTATGCTCATTGAACCTGATCATCTTCTTCTAGAACAGAGAGTGGCCACTCTCCATAGTCCAGCATCCATAGACAATCCCTGCTGGGAGACTACCTCCACTTCTCGGGGAGTACCCGGTGGTGGGTTGGGCTTGACGTCTTTGGTCATGCTGATCACGCTCTTTTGCAGTATCAGCATTACCACGGCAGCGAGTAGGTGCACATGGGCAGTGGCCCGTGTTTATGCGCTGCCATTCACTGGTACGTTTGCGACGGTAAACGAGAAGCAAGTTGTTACGGCATCACAGTGCAAAACTGACGTCTGAATGAAAGGGAAAACAACGTACTTGATGTGACATGTGTATCATTTCGTGTGATTGGTCAAAAACAATCAAGAGAGCAGGGAGGCTAAAATACAGGAAAATTGGATGCTCGCAATCCAGATAGTACAAAGAATGAACGACGGAGCAAAGTGCTCGGTTGTTGGAAAAGAGGGGAGAAAGTTTACTTTCTTCTGTTCTGCTGCATGGCCAAGATCTGGACCATGCGAACGAAGATGTTGATAAAGTCGAGCTCGAGACTGATGGCCTCATTGACGGGGTCGCGCTTGATCAGACCGCGCTCACTGAGACGGGCGTGGTGGAGGATCTTTTGAATGTCGTAGAGGGTGAAGCCACCGAAGACGACAAGACCGCCGTAGAGCCAGAGGTTCTCAGAGAACATGAGAGCGCGCGTGGCGGTGGCGGGAAGAACCAGAGGAGCGAGACCGGACAGAGCGACGACAGCGACACCAGCAAGAAGGGGGCCACCAATGTAGAGGTACTTGTCAGTCTTGGCAGTGGCACCGACAAAGGCAATGCTGCCCATGAGACCGACAGTGTAGAGACCGGCACGGGCGAGGATGGCGGGGTTGTAGAACATGAGAGGAGACAGAAGGGCGGCCTGGGTCAGGTTGAAGGCGGTCCAGAGGGCGTACTTGGCGACGTAGCTGCGGATCGGAGTTAGTCTTCTAAGTTCGGGTATGGTGGATCTGGAGGGGACTCACTTCTCAGGAGGGCACATGCGAGTACCCATCATGGTGCCGATGGAGCCAACGAGACCGATACCGAGGATCAACCAGGGGTTGGCAGCCATGAGACGGTAGCTCCATCCGTTTGCATGAAGAGCGCGAGCAGCGATACCGATGATTCCGATTCCGAGGCCAGTGTGCAGGAACGTGTCGTTCAGGTAGGCGCGTTCGAAGGGAGGCATGCCGCCGTCCTCTCTGGTTTCACGGTTGAAGACGAGGCTGTCGTAGAGTCAGCATTGCGCTTGAAGCATGTGTGCTTGGTGGATGGACCCTCACTTGATGGCAAGAAGAGTACCGCCGAAGATGGCACCGCCATAGAGAAGACGCTGAGTGAGGTTTCCAGAGGCGGCAGGGTTGGGGAAGGCCGCGGGTTGCTGGTAGTTGCGACGGAACGAGGATTGAAAGGCGCTGCGGAAGGTTGCTCGTGATGAGGCAAACTTGGTGCTGAAGCTGGACGGTGCGGGTGCCTTTCTGATCGGTCCTTGGTGGAAGGCGGCGCGGAAGGCGCTCGATGTGATGAGCGTGGGCGTGGGCGTCTGCTTGAGTGCAGCCGTCACGGCGAACGGTCGGCGCATGAGGAACGCCATGATTGTCTTGGGTCTTGTGTTTGCGTGTTGAGTTGGGAAGGTGCAAGAGGCAAGAGCGCCGCAGCTTCCAGTTCCTTTGACGCTTCGGCATGACGAAATGCCGACCGCCTCGTCCAAATTCGGAAAGCACGACCAAGACCAAGACCAAGCACTCGGAAGCTTCCAGACCCCTCCATCCTCATTCTGCCTGCCGCCGCCTGCGGTGCCGCCGTCTTGTTTCTTGCATGAACCCGCCCAGCGTCTTGTACTGCTTGCTACAATGTACAAGTCGCCAGTGCCACGTTCCTTGCACACTTCACCACCTCGACCACCACCTCACGACTGGTCAGGGACATCGCGATAGCATGCCGCTGCTGAAACATGGCTCCTCGGCTTTCCACACTTGGGCAATCGCGATAACGGTAGCTTTGCTCCGTCTCAAACGTCACCATTCGACGACGCTTTCCTTAAACATGCCCATCTTTCCCTGTTCCTGTCCCCGTTCCTGTTTCCCCGTTTCCCCTTTGATATCCCCTGCTCAGCAACCTACTGCACCCTGGTCGTTATTCGTATCTGCACCTACGCCACCTTCATTGATCCATCATGTGTGGCATATCCTGTATTCTTGCCCTGCAGCATTCCCATCATAAGCTTCCGGACCTTGCCAGTCTTAAGAAGCCTATCCCCGGCGTCCAAACAAACGGTGATACAGATCACACAAAGCTCGCCGTAGAGCTTGATGCTTCTCTTGACCAGATCAAACACCGTGGACCCGACTCTCGCGGCCAGTGGATCAGCAATGACAAGCGCGTTGGTCCTCTGATCTCATGCCCCCTGCCTCTGCTTTGCCCAACTCCCTACTAACACCATTCCCTCTGCANNGCTTTTGGTCACGTCCGTCTAGCCATCAATGACCTGTCGCCTGATGGCATCCAACCCTTCCATGACAACGAACGCACCGTCCATGCTGTCGTCAATGGCGAGTTCTATGACTATGATAACATCCGCAAAGACCTTGAAGCCAAGACCGACTACAAGTTCCGCGGTCGTTCAGATTCTGAGCTTGCCATTGCCCTGTACAAGTACTACGGCCTCAACTTTCTGCATCACCTGAGAGGAGAGTTTGCCTGTGTCCTCTTCGACGAGTCGCAACAGCTCTTGATTGCAGCCAGGGACCGCTACGGCATCAAGCCACTTTTCTGGACTGTTCAAGATGGAAGACTGTTGATAGCTGCCGAGATCAAGGCCTTCTTGCCGCTGGGCTGGAGGCCTGAGTGGGATGTCAAGAGTCTGCTCGACGCTGGCTGGAACCACGATGAGAGGACTCTGTTCAAAGGCATTGCCAAGGTATGATGGATAAGAGCGAGGCGGAAGGGTGTCCTCTAACACAACCCCAGGNTCCGTCCTGGCCACTATCTCACCTGCCAGTCCTTCGACCACATCGAACAACGCCCATATTGGGACATAAGCTACCCCGACAAGCATGCTGTCGATGTCCGAACTCCAGAAAACATGATTGAAGGTGTTCGCCAACGTATGCTTGACGCCATCAGACTACGACTCCGAGCCGATGTTCCCGTCGGCATCTATCTCAGTGGTGGCATCGACTCATCAGTCATTGCTGGAATGGTCACACATCTTGTCAAAGAGCAGGGCATAGCCATGGGCAGCGCCAACGCTACAGACCGCGTCTCGTGTTTCAGTATTGCATTTGACGAAGAGTCTGGTTTTGATGAATCCGCCATCGCCAATCGCACCGCCGAGTGGCTTGGAGTGCGCTACATCAAGAAGCACATGAACGAGCAAGAGCTTGCGAAACGTTTCGAAGATGCTACCTGGCACTGTGAGCACCATAATCCCGACTTCAACTTTGTCGGCAAGTATGCGCTTTCTGAGGTCCCTCAAGAAGTTGGATTCAAGGTTGTCTTGACTGGTGAGGGAGCTGATGAGAATTTTGCTGGCTACCCTCTATATCTGCCAGACTACCTTCGTGAGCCCGACTCGAGTTGGGAAAAGTACAACACTCTGCCAGAGAGTGAAAGAGAGCATCAGCTTGATCTTGCAGAAACGGCAGCCATCGACTATTATACATCCGTGGGTGCTGACGTGTCAAACCGAGGTCCATCTGTTGCGCGCCGCATGCTTAACGACATCACCACTGTCAGTAGTATGGCGGCTTTCCAGCTTGACATTTTTGCCCCCTGGACGAATTGCTATGGTGAATGCGATCCTCAAGTCACAATCGCCAACAATGCCGACGGACGTGTTCGTAAACTGATCACCGAATCTTGGCACCCTCTTCATTCGGCGCAATATGTCTGGTCCAAGGGACACTTGGCCAACATTTTCCTGACATGTCTCGGTGACCGTACAGAGATGGCGCACAGCATTGAAGCACGAACACCTTTTCTTGATCATCCGCTGACAGAATATGTCAATCATTTGCCGCCGTCAGCCAAACTCAGGTGGGATCCCGAAGCGAAGAAATTCACCGAGAAGTGGGTTCTTCGAGAGGCATCAAAACCTTTCATCACAAAGGAGTTGTATGAACGTAAGAAGCACCCGTATTCTGCACCGACAACCTGGCCCAAGGGTGGTCCCTTGAATAAACTGCTGGATAGGTTGGTCAGTGAAGACAACATCAAGCAATTGGGCTTTGTCGATTGGGAGAGGTGCAAGGGACTGACAGCCAAGGCATTTGGTGACAATGGTGACCCGATGGCCATGAGATATGCCATTGTCGTGGCAGAATGGGTTGTCCTGGGTCAGCGATTCGGCGTCGCAACGGCCGAGAAGCCCAAGGGATATTGATAACATGCCATGCAATGCATGTACCGAGTGGCTTGCTAGGGATTGCGACTCCTTGACTGGCTACCTGTGAAGGATGCATTATCCTGCAAATCAAACTCTATCAATGACGTCCGGTTCTTATACTGCATGCAAGTCATCTCCGCAGAATTGGTTACAGCGAATGAAGCACTTTCTTCCAGAAGCAAAAAGGAAGGCTAGAGGTGAGGTGGCTGTTTCATGTGTATGCAGCGTCATGATTTTCGTGACAAGGCTGAGATTGTATGAGCATCTCCGCACGATCATCGAGACGCGCCAGAAGATGATTGTGCTCATGAGAAGCTGAGGATGTTTTCGTGCATCAAGAGAATACAGAGTTGCCTTGTATGTGATATTCTCGAGCGGGAATAAGATGCTCATGCTCGGGAATAGACCAATCTTGATCTCGGCAGACGGAGCGTGCCGGCCGACGGGTCGGGGAGCGGAGGTCGAAAGTATGACATGGGGGACGGTAGACTCGGTCATGTTTCTCCTTTAACACCTGCATACTGTTTCTGATGGTTTGATATATTCCTTCTACTGTCATTTGCCGTGCAGCTTAGCGTGCATTTTGTTAATGCTTCAAGGATCTGGTTACATCTGAGGCGAGAGCGTACCTAGTCTGCGATACATCTGCCGTCAGATTGCACCACCGGCGCAACCATCGCTTCACGCGACTAAAGTCCGACAGCATCAAGACCATGATAAGCTGAGACATTTGTACATGACCGACATGTCCAGATCATGGCCAACGACGATGCATACACTCACGATGCTCACGATATACGACCCGATGACAGCATCAGCCGTCGAGGAGACCAGGCCAGCGTCAGAAGCGTCGGTATGAAGTCGACGGCCTCTTCGTCTGACGATGGCCCAGCAGACTCGCACATATCGCATTCGACCTACAAGAATGAGCGACCCATGACTCCACCCTCCCGGCCGACGTCGATATTCTCGTCTCAACCACAGACGCCAGCCACCGTCTCTGGCAACAAGGAAAGAGTGAGGTACAGTTGGCAGTCGATACACGAGGATGAGCCCAACAGGCCACGCATACACATAGTCAAGATTGTCTCGAACACCGCGACAGCGTCGGCAGCCTCTCCCCAGGGTGAAGCCTTGGCCTTTTCGCTGTCGCCTGCTGGAAAGAGGATCGCTGCATACAATTCGGCCAGGCTGTTCATTTTCCAGACTGCTGCTTTGCCCGTCAACGTGTCGCATGAATATGCTTTGCGAAGGCGACCACTGGCTGTCGAAATCTGTGACGAGGCCAATGTGCTTGCTGTTCTGGTCGACGAGCACACGGTCAACGTCTACGACTTGTCGCGCAACAATGCTCGTCGCGTGAGGACCGTTCGCACCGACTTGCCAACATCTACCATCGCTTTGTCTTCTACTGGTGGCCTCCTCGCTGCGGCATATGAAGGAGGTGTCGAGGTCTTTTCTCTGGCTCCAAATGCCCTCATAACCGATCGACGCGCTGTGAGGGCGCCAAAGATGGACAGATTGCTCTTTTCTCACGACGACTCGACTCTGCTTGGGACGACCACTCGCATCTTTGTCTCTTCTACACTTGTCATCTCCGTGCCAATCTTTCCTCACAACTCTTTGGCTGAACCTTCTCACCAAGAACTGCAAGAAGCCTGGTGCACGGGTATGCTGGAGCCGCAGAACATCAAGAACAGCAGTCATGCTACTTTTATGCGTGAACAAGGAGCCATGACCAACGATAAGCTCTTTGCTTGGAATGGGCTAGAAGATACGTTTGGTGTTCTTGATGCTCACGACATGGTATATGGTCAAGTCGACTTTCCGGTAGCCATATCTCCTCCACTATCTACTTGTGGAGGTTTGGGTGCTGCCATTCACCACTGCCCCTCTATCGACGAACATGGAAAGATTGTGGCCATGATTGTCAACGATCGCACAATTCGCTTGTATCTGGTCCCTCAGGAGGCTGAAGATGGTACCACGAAGACGGAAGCACACAGTATCGACCACGAGTTGGATGAAGAGTATGGTTGTCCATTTACTGATCTTCGGTGGGTGCATTCGCGTCTCAATTTGCCGGCTTCTGCACATTCGCCTCATCAGATTAGAGGCCGATTGGTCGTTACAAGTCCTGGGTCCTTGGTTGATCCAGAACAAGCAGAGATGAGTGTTCAAGATATCGAGGGTGGCCGGATCATCCTATTTGACTTTGATCCGCAATTTGCTGGTCAGCCTGGTCAGACTTTTGTCTTTCATGTTGGCAAAGCACCTCCAGTGACACTCGAGGAAGAAGAAATGGACGTTGCCGATGAGATTGCGTTGGTGCGACGGCGGACTGTGACCTCGACTCGTAGCAATACACTCGGCAAGAAGACACCTTCGCTTGGCCGAGCTGCCACAACGGTGTCGCGACGCCAGGACACTTCTCCATACCGAAATGGAAGCCCGGCTGGCTCTATACAGCAACTCTCTTTGAACACCTCACCGTGGAGAAATCGTCGGGTCAGCTCTTCTGTGGTCTCTTTGTCTGCCAATGCAACTCGATCATTACCCGATCTACTCGAAGCAAGCGAGTTGGCTGCCGAGTCGCTTGAACAGCCCTATACTCAAGGAGCACCTCGCTCGTACATGTCGATTGAGCGTGCAGCCACTGCCGCAAACGCACATCGCTTCCAAGCTCTTGAAGAGCATGGAGCCGAATCAGAACATCCAGGCGATCTGCCATTACCTGCCTATACAGAGCATCCAAATCAACCACTACCAGGGAAATATCGCGCGCTTGCTGGCTTGGATATACCGACACATGCACGCTTTGCACAGCAGAACAGTGCGCCTCCATCCACAATCCACACTGCACCTCCAACAATCCCAGAGCATCGATTTCCTACTCCAACTTCGACTTTGTCTCCTGCATATGCTGTCCCCCAAACCACGCCCTCGTACACCACTTCTTCCAGTCCTAGTAGACCTACTCCCACTTCAGCTGCCAGAAGCGACTATAGTCTCAGTCCTGTCACGACTAGATCTGCGACACTGCGCACTCAGCCTTCTTGGGAGACAATCAGTACATCTGCCCACACTACCCCACACGGCCCTTNNCAACCCTACGCTCACAACCAAGTTGGGAAAGCGGACGAACGATGAGCTACTTTTCCCCAGACATTTTGTCAACGACAGGCAACANGAACCGTACCCACCAGCCCAGAACACATGCGACCAGGCCTCATGATGCAAGGACTGGGTCTCCAAGACTTTCGTCCCGAGCAAGAGAGGCCAAGGACAATGGTTGAGCAAACATCGATACATCAACATCGACCTCCGCATGTGGCCGCCATCCAAGCAGTCAATTTCGCTGCTGCCAACACACTGACACCCGCAACATCAGGTGCGTCGAGGACAAGTGCTGTAAGCGCTGTTTCTGCAATCTCGGACACTGGCACTCTTCCGCGCCGTCCTGTCACTTCCGCCGGCGCCGTGGGCTATCAAGTCACCGCTTGGTTCCCACCTGCTCCACCCACCCCTCTTGACGATACCCGACCAACTCTTGCCTCTAGATCCAGGACCGTAGGCGCTAGAGCCGCTTCCTCTGGTATCCTTGGCACCAAAGCAGCAGCAGAAGAAGAATCGGGTACTGGAGTCAAGAGGAGCAAATCTGTAGGCACGGGACGCAAAGCATGGTTCGCCAAGAAAAAACAATTGGAAGAGAGGATTGGAGGTGAGGTGTTGCCGACGATTGGTAGAGGTGTCAGAGAGGATTTACGGAATTATGAGGCACAAGGGAAGAAGTGTGTGATCATGTAAACGAGGCCGGATCGCCCCGACATATCTTTTGCAGAAAAAGATTTTTCCCCTAATTGTTTTTTCTTTTCTTTTTCGATCTGAGCGAGTTGCATAGTTGATAGACGAAAGAAGAATCTCTCAAAAATGTTTTCGATCAATTTGGAATTTGAGCCCTGGTGTGTCTTTTTGTCCGGTTTCTCTGTTGAGTCGCAAAGATTATGGTATCCACAAGACCAATGAGCTGTGTGCTAGCCTGCAGATATTGCAGAGTTGTTGATGTTCTTCCCGAAGCCTCTATACCGCGATTGACGATTCCGGGTATCCAGAGCAAGATGTACAGGATAGGGTATACAGTCATTTGTGCCACGATCCGCATGCGGGTGTCCTCGAATGATGCGGGTTGCAGGTGTTGATTGGCTTGTGTGTCGAATATCTGACTGCCGCTCTCGATTACGAGCAGACTTTGTGGCTGCTTGGGGTTGTGGGTGGTGGTGATGTACTGGCTGCCGAGATTTGCAGGTGCTGTTGGGATCGTGAGAGAAGTAGGACTGTGTGGTTCTTCGGACACATTGACGATCTCGCTCATGTCGATATCCTTGCTCGCGCCCCCGAAAGACCCCTCGTTTGAAGAATCCTCGGGACTGACGAACTCGCGCTTTGCTGCAGTCTGTCCAGCATCAGTCGATTCTGCGGTACTTGCCAAATCTCCCGCGTACGTATGTCGTCGCAGCCAGCTATACTGCCGACAAAGTCTTCTCGTGATGCAGACGTAGATTCCAAGAATTGCGAGAATGACGCCGAAACGCCATCCATGTGCTAGACCATAGCGAAGCGCGAGTCTGTCTTTTTCGATCCAGCACCAGTTTCCACTGACGGGTCCAAAAGCTTGCAGGCCTAGGATGATGCAANNCCTGCAATGTTTCGATACTTGTCAGTCGTGGTTATTGGGATATAAGATTTCGCAAACAAAGTACTTACTTGTCGTTAGACCGATCAACCAAACTGAGCCACAAGCGATGCATCTGAACAAGAGACTTTGCTTGCAGTCACGTGTTGGCGAATACACTAGAGCCAGCGTGGATATCGCAATCGAGAGGACTCCGAAATCAATGGCCNNTGTAGGAATTTGGAAAAACCATCAGCCATTGTTATATCATCACCACGGCACACTTGCTCATCAAACATCTTTAGACAAGTGACTGACTTGAACGGAAAATTGTCCCAGAAACCCATTGGCTGTGCAAGAGGGACCGGCTCTCAAGATGCCAGCGTGCATGAGGGAGATGATTCCCGAAACACTGTTGTTGGTACTGTTGATGAATTCNTGTACTTTTGTAGTCAGCATTGGAGAAATGTATGGGGTTAGACATGTCTTTTTGGGCTGACCTGCAGTCAAGAGATTGATCACAAGTGCATATCGCAATGACTGCTGCGACCGCCTTTGTATAAAGACGACATGGCAAAGAGCGGCAAAAGTCGCGGTGCACGACAGAATGCTTGCAGTGAGTGTAAGTATCTGTAGAGAAGGTCGAAACACCATTGCCGAAGATGTAAAGATTTTCGGCGACGGGGACATTGTTGTCAAAAAGACCTTTTGAATGCATCGACTATTGTGAGCGTATATGACTTTGGTCTCAAAGTCTAGAGTCCGAGGGGAATGACGCTCTGGACTACTAACTCTACGCCGTTGTCAACGGTATGGACAACGGTTGACGATTGTAAAAGGTAGCCTATCTTCCTCCAAGACAATCAATAGACGGCGTTTGACAGTGACGCTTTGGGATCATCCAGGACGGTCAGAATATGGAGGAGCACAAACAAAGTCGGATATCTAGCGTGATGCTTGCGGGTCTTGCTCCATCCACTCAACTATCTTCACCAACTTGGTCTCTCCACGCTTGTTTTATAAGAAAAAAAAATCGAGGAAATTAAGCTTAGGAGCATGTCTCGAATCTCTGAGCTTGGTAGTCAAGTAGTGCTGCAACACATGGTGATTTTCAGCGCGTGGAAGCTTACCGGAGATCTTCGCTCATCGTCTCTCTGGAGATTCGTCTGGCCCGGTTCCGACTATAGGTAGTGGTGGTTTCCAGTTGTGCAATATAGTTCAAACGGTACTCCGATCACCAACGGTCGCAGCTTGCTCGTCATTGCCGCCCTAGGAAGTACCCCAGTGGTTCGCCTCTGATTTGATTTGATTTGATTTGATTTGATTTGGCCAAGCTGTCTATTCCTCAAGGGATGTGGGTTGCCCATAATTGACCTGCTGTCTAGCTAATCGCAATCGCAAATCGTAGGCCAAAAGTCGACCGTCGAACAGCGAACAGCTCTGACCGCATGTCTCTCGAGTATCGTATCAATCAAGACCAGCAAGCATACCAGAGTTTTCTTTTCGCAAAACCTCGCCGACCACTGTCCCGTATCAAGATTAATCCATGACCGTATCATATCTCGCAGCATTGGAGAATTCATGGATTCGTGTCTACAAAGCCGTCTTGGGATCGCGCGGTGGGAAAAAGTCAGTAATCTCGTGTCCTTGTCTTGTCCAGACGCCATAGGCAAGTAGAAGAGGCAACAAAGTCCCTCATCCCCATCTTTGTCCTGTCATAACCCCCTTGACGCAACGTGCATATCAGTCCACGAGACCCAAGAGTCATGGACCTGATGCTCTGCTCTCTTTACCTTGACCGGACTGGAAATTCAATAAGAAAGAAAGGTGACGAGGTTCGTGGCTTACATTTGTTCGGCAGCTCGTAAGAGTCAGATGTTGAGAGCATGGAACAGGTGTGAGAGTAGCAATGAAAAGGCAAAGGGCCAAGGACCTAATGACTTGCCTCCTACACCTCTCACGCAGTTACAAAAGGGGATGACAGTAATTGCATCTCGAGCATTGCCGTCGGCGCGTCGAGAGCAAAAGACGCAGACACATCAGCAACTTGTCCATATGTCAACCGATGATCATGATAGATATAGATGTAATAGTGATTGGTTGAAGCTCGCCGACGCTCTTCTCGGTATCTATCAGAGTAACGAAATACTGCTTGTTGACTACCTTGACCATGATAGTGTTGGTCATGGTTGCTCAATTCGTTTGTCAAGCGATGAATTCCTGTGCCGCTGTATGTCATGCGCGAGAAGAGTGGACCCACAGGCGAGAAGATACCAGGTAATTGCTTGGGAAGCATAGAACAAGTGCAAAAACGAACGCCGTGCATCATCGTGCAGTCAAGCAATATATAAAACAACGATTTCGGTCAAACTGCAGATTGTACTTCACCACCTCTCCATCGGGTCCAGATCTGCTTCGTCATTGCCAATCTATCCCTTCATTGACAATATCCAGGAGCCACTTGAGCGTGTTTCAAGAGACCCAAATCGATAAAGTTTTCATAACTCCAGTAATCACTTCTGCTGCCTTGTCCATCGAATGGCTTGAATGCGCTCGGAGCCGCCACTTTGGCAGTCCAATAAGCACTCCCCGAAGTCTTTTTGCTGAACGCGTATAGACCTGCAGCCAAGTTACCCTGCCTCGAAGCAAAAGTGTTGTTGTATTGGGCTTCAATCGCCCACTCGCCAACAAAGACGGGAAATTTGCCATCGCCTACTGCAGCTTTGGCATCGGTGCAGATGTAGGATGTGACGTTAGAGGCATAAGCGTTTCTACCTGCGAAGTAGTAACTGTGGATGTCGAAGACGAGGTTTGTGGATTTGGGAAATGAGGGCGAGAAGTAGGATTCGCCTTTGAAGCCGTCTTGGAGCATGACTGGGATTCTGGAGTTGACTTTGCCTACGCGTTGCAAGACGCCTTTGGTGAAGTTTGTGAGGTAGTCGGCTGCAGAGTCTGAAAGTGCATAGGGAGAGCCAAAGGCAGAGAAGTCAGTGTTGTCGACAGGTTCGTTGATGGGAGCGATGGTGAAATGGGACGGAAAGCCGGAGGATTGGATGAAAGCGATGACAGCGTCAACAGCTTTGTAGGAGTAGGCGAGGGCAGTCTGGTTGTGGAACCAGCCATAATGGCCATCTGCTTCGCCAATGCCTTGACCGTTGACACCGCCGGGCAGGGAGTGAATGTCAACGATGATGTGCATGTTATATCTCTTGATGGCATACAACGCAATATCTCTGAGATACTTTTGTTGATTGCCAGAGTACAGTTGGGTGCCTGGAAGTTTGATCCATGCAGCATATGTGGTTGGAATGCGCAACACATTGATGTTTACAGTAGCCAACTTATCGATGTCGGCGTAGGTGATCCAAGTGGCATATCTCTTTTCCAGCACAGGGCCGCAACGAGAGCCTAGGTTTGCGCAGAGACCCCACTCATCACTTGCGCCGCCGGAATTGGCGTCCCACCATGCTGTATCGATGAAGTATTCTTGCACCAGCCAGCCACCGAGGTTGACACCGTTGGCCTTGAAGTTTCTCCAGTCAATGTAGTTCGAGCTGGGAGGGCCAGGAGGTCCAGGAGGTTCTGGGGGCCCAGGCGGACCAGGCGGACCAGGCGGACCAGGCGGACCAGGAGGGCTGGGAGGACCAGGCGGTGGAAGAGCACAAGACTGTCCGAGTAGCGAGCTCACAGTAGCGAGGATCAAGAGTGGAGAGAGCATGGTCAACCAAAAGTCCAGAGTATTGTTGTGTGGTACTTGTTACGAGCAAGTAGCGAGACCACGATCCTCTTATAAGACTTCCACCCATGTGCATTATGACCCAAATGTCCACCAGACTGCCGTCTTTTGAGGCTGGCCAAGACATAATTGATGGTGGCAGGTGCGGACAAGGGCCACCGGGTGGTCCGAAATCGAAGCCCCGCAATATCAACCCCGGACTTCCTCCACATGTTCATGTCTCATACCGTGTTCTCGGCCACACTCGCCCGCAGCATGGCCATCAGTGATCACTGCTGTAAATCTCGAGCACTGACATAAGAAATTTGTTGTCGCAAGCGAGGTTCCTCCCGAACATGGCGAGCGCGGAGAGATATCGGTCAAGAGATGATGTTAGAGGTATTGTGTTCTGCCGAGGTTAAGGCAGCACATGAACGTGAGCGTTATGCAATGTTTATGCAGAAACCTGTATGCCGACATACGAAAGGGGAAACTTCATCCAGCTGTGGCGACATTTTGTAGAAGACAGGCAGAAGCAATACACTTTGCTTTGATCATCAGAAACTTGTTCATCTTCTCAGCCTTGAAGTTGGAAACGGAGTCGACTACCTCCATTGCAGCTCCCACCAAAACAACAAGGTCATGCATCAGTATAACGTCGGCATCGAATTTGACACCATTGATCCATTGGACAATTTCTCTGACGTGATGTTCAGCATCAGCTGTGCTGGCCAGGCAGATCGGCGTCGCGGATTCTTTCTGACCTCGTGCGACAGTGAAAGCCAATCGTGTAGAGCACTCTACTCGTGCTTGCGAGAACATAAATCCATTGGAAGCGGCACCGAGAGCCAAGAGGTTGGAGCGGAGGTCATGATGAGCAGATGGGAGAATATTCCAAGCACTATACAGCCAGTTTGCTATCTCGTCGGCCCTAACTTTCAACAAATTTTTCTCGTGAGGCGCAATACTTGTCGACTGGTTGAGTGCGATAGGGGGAGAACTAGAAGTTTCGCGATTGAGTAAATCAAGCTGCTCTGAAGCAATCTCTTCAATGCTTTTTCTCGAGGACTTTGCATCGTCATGCACGTCAATCGTCGCCTTCTCAGATTCGAAGAGAGGAGCAGGTGTCTCACGGATCAGAGGTCCGAGCAAGGGCGAGCGACAGAGGCGTTTCTGCTTTTCCTGACGTGCATTAGGCAGGGAACCAACGCTCGCTGCACGCTTGAAAGTGTGTCCCTTGTAATACTCAATGCTCGGAGATCGGTAGTCCAGAATCCGGCGCATGCGGACCCAGAAAGGAGTCTCCGGTACACCTTCAGTGTCATTCTCCTGGTATATCGGCAGAGCTGGGACGGCAGTATCGCTATAGGGTACTTGTATTTCCAAGAGCGGTGGAGTTGTGTGAGAGATATAAGGTGGTGGGCGAGCGTATCCTTGTGGAACGATGTCCAGACCTTGGTTGAGCCAAAGGTTTATACCAGCTCCACGGCCATCATACATGCTGTCGAGCAGCAAAACAGGGGTTTCAAGCTGACGCTCGTCTATATGTGCAAATATCTTGCGAAACTCAAGCTGTGCGAATGTATCGAATCTGAAGTATATATCAAAGGAGCATATTTCAGATAAGGACTTGAGCCTCGTCATCAACTCTTTCGGCGTGCCTTTGACAGGCTTCTGGCGCTTGCTTCGAGGCATGATGACATCGCATGGCATGTCGAGGTTGATCGGTATGTGGAACAGGTTACAATTCGCGAGACCCGCGCCTTCCAAGTCGACTCTTCCATCTGATTGTACAGGGCCGAAAGTCATATCGATGCTCGACGTATCGAACGTGCAAGGAACAATCATAAAGAAATCGCGAGGATGTTTTGAAGCGCGAATGGATATCGGGAGATGTAAAGCTATCAACAGCTCGTTGTTTTCAGGTCGCCAACCAATATTGATGGTCAACTTGGATGTCGAGTTCAAAGGCGACAATTGCCCCAGACATGACGGTCCCTCCTCTTTGCTGTTCCAGGAAACAAAACAAGGCTTTTCGGCGACCCATCTCCATGGCGGATCGCTGGAGACAAGGCTATAGTCCTCCATGGCTATATTAACATGCAGGTACACGACCTAGATTGCACGATAGCAGATGACGTCAACACCCTGAACCGAAAGTTTGCAATACCGTTGTGCCCCTTCTCAAGAGAAGGTAACCCGCCCACCCAGGCTTTTGTACGGGAAAGCAGCCTTGACTCTGGCGTGACAAGAAGAGGAATGACGGCGTGTTCAAACAATCAAGATGGCAGACGGCAAGCAGACACACGTCGGGCTCGGAGAGGTACAAGCAATCAGTCGTCGCGGTCGCGTCGCGTCGACTTTTCAAAGCGGACGAGGGCGTGACGGCTAGGAGCAAATTTCTGATACGAAAGCGAGCACACGACTGGGTCGGTCTGGTCTATTCTCTTGATGGTGTGAAGGCGTCGACGGGTGATAAGTTGATGAGAGTTGAATGTGAGTGAGGAAGTGTGGATAATATTAATGCAAGGCAACAACGTCGTTCTCGAAAGCTTGGCATTCGACGCTTCGTAGCCATCATCTTGACTTCCGACTGAGAAGCAAGGCGATGTTCCACGTGGTCTTCCAATATATCAAGTTCAGTCAATTGAGTCTTTCGGTATATGACCTCTATGCTAGGATATATCTGACGATTTAGCACTTGCCCAAGGTTGTCCTCGTGGGTTAGGGTAGGGTTCGGCACGTCCCGCTTACTCAGCATCAGGGTCCAAGCTGCCCGACATCAACAACACGACGCCCTCGGTCATCACATCTTCTTCCACCACCTTACTTTCTCCTTTACCACACTCGCCAGAGTATCCTCTTTGCTAAAGCTATGCTAGACCGACCCTCTCATGTTCCTTGTCATGCCCAGCAATCTGTTCTAATCCGACTGTCCTGTTTTCCAGCAGGCCTCGGCGTTGACTGAGCGCTTTGTGCATCTCATCGATCCTCTGACGCGTGTCGGTTTATGTCGTGGTTGCGGCAGACGTGCTCTTTTCTTTGTAACCTGTCATTCTTCAGAGTCAGGGCTGCTTTGTTCACAAAAGCCCGGGTGGGTGGGTACACCTTTCACGATTCCAACATTGTCGAGAGGGGGGCAAAAGGTATTGTATGACTTTCTGTCTACGCTTCCACTGACGCTGCTGTCTAGGGTCTTGTGCTTCGCGACAGACTTGTTTCCAAGTTCTGCTCGGCTGATGCTGTTTGTCGAGGCAGAGGTGATTTGGTGAAAGCTGCGAGATTTTCAAGACGGATGGCAGTTGTGATGCGTATATAGTGTCAACCAATGCAGACGATCACCTTCCGCCAGTAGTACAGTAGATCCGCGTGCGTGGAGAGCAGATCGTGGATATTGTCATGGGAAGAGCCCAACTTGCCGTTCATCAGATCTATTTAGTCTATAGTATACGCATATCAAGTTTTTCCCTTCAAACAAAAGTCGTTGCCCTCGTCTGTCTACTTTTCAGTCTTTTGACCTTATAGCTTGCTCTCTGTCTTTTCAATGGGGCGCTTGTTGTAGAGATCCTGGTTCGCATTCGCACCAAGAAGAAAAGCATTTTTGATACACAACAGATTTTGGTGATGGGGTCTTGTTGACTATCTTTCATCTCGGGTGGACGGTAGTTCTTTTTGCGTCTCTCGAGATTGGGCTTTGCAGGCCTTGACATCATCTCTCTTGTCTCCTTGTGCCTCTTTGTCTCCTTGTGCCTTCTTGTCTCCTTGTGCCTCTTTATCTCCTTGTGTCGACAACGGGTTGGGACGGGGACAAAGTTGCTTCGAGGCAAAATGATTCTCGGCTATAGAGAATGTATGCGTAGTGGACATTGCTACCATGTGCTCAAGGTTACAAAAAGCATGAGGCTTGAGGATACGTGACGGTGATTAGCATCAACATAAGCCTTGGGAAGTAAAACCTTCCCCATGTCCTCTGAACACAGTGAGGCTCACTTGAAAAATCTCTTTTTTGTGTTGCAAAAATTTCCTTTGTTTAGTTTTTTTGGTATAAAAGAAAACATCTTTTTGTCTTTCTCCCCGCACAAAATCCCTACTCACATCCCCCATCCCACTTTGCTTGCTTGCTTGCTTGCTGCTCCCCAAGAAAAACAAAACAATGCTCTTAATCCTTGTCGAGTCTAACAGCGGCATTACTTTCGATAAAGTTCAAATCCACCTTGTGACCCAGCAAATCGCGAATATTCGAGACTGCATATTTGATCATCGTCGGCCTCTCCAGACTCAATCCAAACCCATAGACCCTCAGATCTTTGGGCAAGCCCATGGACTCCAACATTTCGGGTCTGAACATGCCAGAATTGCCGATTTCCACCCATTTACCTAGGCCTTGGTGATAGCCAAAGACTTCCATCGAGGGCTCGGTGTAGGGGTTGTAGGCGGGTTTGAAGCGCAAGTTGGAAATGCCGAGTTTGGCAAAGAAGCCTTCGAGGAAGGCCATGAGGCCGCCGAGGGTGAGGTCGTAGTCGGCGATGACGCCTTCGACTTGGTGGAATTCCGCCAGATGGGTGGCGTCGACGGTTTCGTTTCTGAAGACGCGGTCGATGGAGAAGTAGCGGCAAGGGCGAGGGTTGGCGGCGAGACGGTGCAGGACATAGGTGGACACGGCGGTTGTGTGGGTTCGGAGCACGAGCTTTGTGGTCTCGGCGTCGTTGTAGGGGTATCTGTAGCCGATGCTGCCGAAAGCGCCGTCTTGGTGTACCTTGCGCACGTTGTCGTAGTATTGCTGGTAGTCGAGTTTTGGTTGCTCGGTAGAGGCGAGGCGAGGATCGTAGAGTTTGGCGTCTTTTTCCATGGCTTCCATGGCGGCGTCTGCGATGGGGTCGGCGCGGGGGAAGTCGGCGGATACAGGGTCGGAGACGTAGAAGGTGTCTTGGAGGTCGCGGGCAGGATGTTGCTGGGGCACGAAGAGGGCGTCAAAGTTCCAGAAGCCAGTGTCGACGAATCTGTCGAGGAGTGTCAGTTGAGGAAGACAGAACGAGATTGTTCAGCGTCGTTCTCACCTGCCCGTGGGCATCTCAATGAAGCCCTGGTGGAAGAAGATCTTGCGGAACTCCTCGCGCACCTTCATCAACGGATGCAGCGCACCGGCGTGCTGCTGCGAGCCGAGTGCGGCAAAGTTGTAGGGCTTGAAGTTTGCAGTCTTCCATGCGCCAGTCTCGAGCATCTCAGGCGTAAGATCTGTGTGCTCGACGGGCATCTCCTTTGCGTACTTGTCGCCCTTGGTCACAACATAGCTGATGACCTTTGTGACGGTGACCAACTTGCGCTTCTTGAGGTCGGCCAGCAGCTTGTTGTCCGCCAGCGACTTGGAGCTCTGGATGGCGGCGAGCGTCTCGCGAGTTGTGTCTTTGGGCGAGTCGACCAGCGACACGAGCACATCGCCGTCCTTTTTGATCCACTTGAGCTTGAAAGCGTTGCCCTGTCCAACCTTGGCCGAGTCTNNGGCAACTCGCTCTGTCAATCCCTGAATCAGCATCCACTCCAAACATCATCAAACCTCAGTCCAAGAAATTACCTGCAGCTCCTTCAAAGGCATCTGGCCCTTTCTCTTGACAGCCTCCCACACCTTGAACTCGTGACTGCCCTCATTGGCAATCTGCTCGCCCTCGCTTGTGAGCACAACCTGCTCCTTGTCGTTGGTCTCGTAGACGACCATGTTTCGCGAGGCCAGCCTGTCCAGCGCGGCCTTGATTTCTGCTTGTGCTACATCCGGCAGGTCGCTCTCGGTCGCAACGCTCTGCTTGGTGTCCAGGAGGTCCAGCACTTCCTGGGTGAGGTCGCGGGCGCCGGCCTGAGCCTGCACCGGTACGGGTCCACGTTGTCCGGCCATGGTGTGATGATTGATGGTCGATGGGGTGAGGATGCGCAAACAATTGACGCTTGTGACTGTTTCGACCGCCGTCGCTGGCGTCTGATTTTTGACTGACTCGTGGCGGGGGTTGCTGCAGGGGAGCCTCACCGTCGCTATGAGTCATGTGCCTGGCTTCTTTTTTTCTTTTTCTTTTTTTCTCCTTTTTCCCTTTTCGAACCACTTTCGAACAATTCATCCTTAGGAAGCTTGGATAAGACCATCGTTGTCTATTCATCTTGGAATATATCTGATACGCCGTGCGATCAACGCCGTGTGGCGCTCGCTGATGCTCATCCATACCATGCTATGCAGCAATAAAAACATCTAAAATGCAACACATGAATCCCCCTCTCAAATCTTCCTTCTCAATTGAAACACCTTGTTGGTCGTCGCTGCCGGCAGCCCTTCTGAGAAGCGATCGCGTTCNTACGAGTCTCGTCAGCATCTTTGTCTTTGTCGTCCAGTCACGGAATCACTCTCACCTTCTTCCGTCTCGAATCCAATGGTGATATCATCATGCTCTCCTGCATATTCCAATCCTTCGAGGTTGATGTACTTGCGGCGCACGCCTTTGCCCCAGATCTTTGAGTCTGATGGCGGTTCATCTTCACTTCCTTGAACGTCCTTCTCTTTCTTTGGCAAGCTGAACTTGGCATCCACAAATTTGATACAATATTTTGCTGGCTTGTCTCCTTTGGCTTTTTCGAACGTGTCTGCTGCTTTGATTTGGAAGACCATGGCATCTGCATGGCTAAAGTCTTCGAAGAAGGCTGCGATCTTGGTCACATTTCCAAGTGTCAGGATTTGTATGCGGACCTTTGTCGCTTCCCATTTCTTGTAGATTGGCACGACCATTCTTCGTCGTGAAATGGCGAACAAGGTAGCCGACCCATCAAATCTGACAGAGTATCTTGTGAGCGCCTTTTGGAACGTGTGCAGATCTGCCATGGATGGGAACGTCAAGGTGCGAATGGTTGGTGTTGTTGCTGCTGTTTGCACCAGTCTCTTCAACCCTTCACGTCCATGTTGGGCCTTGCCAATGTCGAGCGAGGCAGTCAGGTCTTCCTCAGGTGCGCGCAAAAGCGTCATACTGGGCGTACTGACGGCTGGAAGTCGCAACAAGAGCTCGCCAGGACCTGTTGAAAGTGTTAGCAGATATCAGCTTGTGATATTGGAAGAACTTACCAAGNNATTGAGGCGGTCGGTCACTGCGCCACTATTATGCGTGGCAATCAAGCGGAAGTGCTCCGACATTGTCATGTCGCCTTGATCTTGTCCAATTTCTGCATTGGCGTCCGTCACGACTCGTACGTCTTGCCAGCTGAGACCCTGGAGAGCACCTGCGATCGTATCTTGTCCAGTCGACGTCTCCGCAACCATGCTTCGGAGTCCAACTCTGGCGACAACTTGCTCGTTCTGATCAGTAGCAATACCCTGCAGTACCTCATAAAAGTCCTGGCGTTCGTGGTCACTCTTGAAAGCTAGAGTGGTCCTACACTGCCGCTTCGAGTCTTGCGTGTGGACATGCATGATTGGAGGTTCGGTCTCTGCTGACATTTCGAAGAGTAGAGGCGTTGTCCTGCATAAAGGAATGCCAGCCATGGTCAGAGACTTGTTGACAGGATTTGCCATCAACAGAAGTCGATAACCACGATGTAAATTGGTCTCACCAAGCCCAGTACGAACATGAAGCCTCTTCTCAAACACAAATGCCGTGCATGACCGAACTTTGTCCTTGGAAAATGCGCTAGGATTCGTCGAATCAGTGTGTGCGATTTCAAGCAGATGCGCCTTGTGTATCATCCGCTCGTCACCTTCTGGCTTCATACTGCTGTAGATTTTGTTGGTGTAGTCGACCATGCTCCACAATGACCGAAAGTCTGGCTCTTGGAACGCGAGATTGAGTGTGAAGCCTCGAGGAAGACGAATGTAGAGACCATGCTCCTTGGACTTCCAGCTGACATCGTGCCATGTTGGTCCTTTACCATATCCACCGTCTCCAGGCCTGATCGAGAGGTTCACCAGATCTGCTTGACTCGAGATGACGACCGAAGTCTGGAACTCGGACTTGCCTCTGATCATGGTGAGAACACAAGGCAAAACGACACGATCAGTGTCTGCTTCTTCCGTATTGATCGATGCGCTGACAAACATCCTACTGTAGCAGAATGTATCTCTGGTGTCACCGAGCGGCAAGGCTTCCAGAGGATTCGCTTCTTCGAGCTGTTCCTGAGCAATGAGCGTCTGAGAAGTGTTGCCGCGGAGAAGCGATGCCACATCTGAAGCAAAACGTGGATACTCGACCCACATTGTCGTGTCTTGACCTTGAATCAAGGACTGATGAGGAGGCATGACATTGTTTCGACTCATTGACAAATTAAAGGTACGCAGGCTCGCTCGTACAATGTCCATATCGCGCAAGAGAGTATCCTGTGGAGAATCGACTTTGGAGTGCGGCGAGTCTGCACCAGACAAAACATCGGTAAGAATCCACCACGTTTTGGCAACATCAACGTGTGCTTGTGTCAGAGTCTCTGGTCTATTCAATCCCTTGGGAGTGTTTCGAATCTGAACAGTCAGACCTGCACGGCCTTTGTGCAGCCACCAAATAGCAGCACGAATCCACTCCCGAATGGTACAACTCTGGATGGATCTCTCGCGCTCGGCTGTCAAACGGAACACACCCCTCATATGTGCAACCCGCATGCCAAAGTCGAAAAGAGCGTCATGCTCGGCAGTACCTTGCACGTGCTCAGGGGGAGAAATATTGCGGTAAGAAAAGGCAGATCCAGATCTGCCATTCGCGTCGTACGAAGGTATAGGAAGACTACCAGGGATGCCAGGGGTGAGTCCAGGAGTTATACCCGGAGTGAGTCCAGGAGTAAGGCCATTGACATTCAAAGTCTGAGGTGCTAGTGAACGCTGCGAGAAGTAACTTGGGCTAGGACCGCGGCTCGGTGGTTGTGGCAAAGGATGGACACTAGAAGCATGCGGCGGTCGCGAAGCGTTGCTGGGTTGTAGAGAAGCTGAGCGGACGGAAGAAGCAGGAGATGAAGAGGCCAAGAAGTCAGAGGGAAGCCGTTGTCGATGGCTTGATGCTGAGTGTGTTGAGTCGTTGGTGTAATGAGAGGAAGAGAAGGATGGTTGCACGTTCCGTTTCGTGACTGGGTTGGAATCATCGTGTTGCCCTGGAACATCGGGAAGTGGATGTACTCTGTGAGGTAGCACTATTGGTGGTGCTGGCTGTTGAGGGGAAGCGGACCGAAGATGATCCGGAGTGTCGAAGTTGAAATCAGTCGGCACGATTGATGGAAGCTGTGGACTACGAGACCTGCTCTGTCGAGGAGGGGAATTCGGGCTGGGTGGTCTACGCGGGTCCAGTACATTTGGAGCGACTTCATCATAGTCGAGTCTAGACAAGCGACGTAGAACTCGGCCCTCCTCTTCTCGGATCATGCTCTGTCGTTTAGCCTCCCTTGGTGGTAAGGAACGAGGATGTGGTGGAGAGTCTTGCAAGAAGGTGGCCAATTCGCGATTGTCGATTATGGGTGGTGAGATGGGAGATTCTAGAGGGTATATTGTTTTCATGGGAAGTTCAACGTGCGGTGGAATGGGTGGCACTTCCTCATCGCTCGTGGGGGAAGCTGGGCTATCTTCCAGGTTGGTAAAAGTGGTTGGAGCGCGCTTCAGCAACCCTGGCCTAGGGCTTTGTTGTACAGGGGCATGCTCTGGAACTGGAGGAGGTACAGGCTGAGATTGTGGTTCGAAAAAGGGGTGGTTGACTGGATGCGTCGGATCGGCCAGCGAGTTCTTGCGTTGATAGGCGTTGCGGACGGCAGGAGCGCTCATGGGGTAGTCCGCAGCCTGACGGTCTTGTTCTGCTACCTGCGTGTCCAGCACAGGGGCTACAGCTCTCCTTTCCGTCTGTGACCTGGCCAGTCTTGCCCTTGCTCTTGACACCTCGACCACTGGAACCTCCGAGTCGTCACCGCCCTCTCCGATGATTTCTGGTGGTGTCCTTACGAATGCGACGTTGACATTCTTCTTCCTCTTTGGCTTGGATGTATATGTCGCAGGGGGACTGACAGTAGCTCTCCTGACATCCGAAGCCTCTGGCCATCTCTGTGCAGCGGATGTGTCGATTCGTGGAGCAGCCAGCTGTCGCGTGCCTTCGCCAGGGATTCTCTCCTTTTCCGTTGATGGTTTGAGAAAGTCGACGACATCTTCGTTGAGCCTGAAGTTCTTGTCGGATCCGTCAGGCTTGCGTAGCAGCTTGCCCCATTTTGAACTGCCTCGCAGACTCATGTCGTTGTTGTCGGTGTTGGTTGTTGGCTGCCCAAAGGGTCGTCTATCGAGATTGCGGGGAACGAGGGACAAGGTTGGAGGACAAGGCAAGGGCGTCTATAGAGTTTGAGTGTGTTTCGTCTTGATCGTAGGTATCAGTGGTATCGTCTCTCTCAGCTCCTGCCCAGCTCGGTCCATTGACTGACTGAGAACAGCGTACAAGGACGAACAGGCAGCACAGCGTGGCAGGGGCAGTCTCGAGAGATCTCGCGACATGCCAAGGCCACTTTGATACATAACACAACGGCCAGAGTGGAAACTGCGCTAGCCAGGCACAAACAAGGGTCCGCATCCATCGCCCGTCCCTCTTTCCGCGCCGTGCGCTGCTTGCATCGTCAAGTCTTGCTCTTGCACCCGCTTCCTTCGACCATTGCTATCTCAACTCTTCAACCTTCTGATTAAGACTTGCATGCCGTACGTTGTGCTTGACTCGTCATGAGCTGCGTCATGTCTCGGTATATGTTTTTGTTGTCTTCTGAAGCCTTGAGCTCGTTCAATCTTTGCTATATCTCCAACATCCATACACCGGTGTGACGCTCAATTGAGAGCCGCGGCTATTTTGAGCTCCGACACGACCCCATCACGAAACCTAATTCTTGAGGCCGCCCATTTTCCTCACCTCTGGCTAAACAGACACAAGATAAGAGACATCTTCCAACACGCTCCTGGTCGATTCTGGCTGTCAGATTTATCGCCCTCACTCACCGTATCGACGATTCGCAACGCCCCGTTGACAGGGACTTGCAATCTTTCATGACTACCGCCGCAATTTCATCTGACCCACTTGCTGCCTCTTTGGCAGTCCTGGCGCTCGTATGAGTACAACTCACTCTTGCGATATATTTCCTGCTGCTATAGCATGGCGGCACGTATTTTCATGATTGTTGGGTGGGCTACTTCCTCCATGTCTGACACACTCACATGACGGCGCTCATGCTTACTCGCTACTTGTTTCGACTCCCTGGATGTATCGGTCTCGTTTACAAGACTTGCTACAGGTTTTCTACATCACACGGAGCAAGTACATCCGTCCACAGCCAGCTGAAGACTAAATACCTATGCTGACCACTGTACCGTTACAGAGCGGAACATAGAAAAGTATCTAGTTTCTCAGTCGCCAATATCTTAGACGGGGTTTAGGTCACGATGTTGGATGCTTGCTCTGTCGCCTCGACTATGGGTCGCCGAGCTGGACCCCTATGTCAGACGGGTAAGCCGCCACCCACAAGGCAAGTGACATTGGCGCTCTACATACAAGCACTGTTCAGCCTTCCAATCCTGCCTTGTGAGATCGCAACACGACCTAAGCTAAATCGTGTTATTCCTCATAGTGCAATACTCCAACGTCGTTTCAGGCAACGCCGAAAGATTCCTTTCCCGAACCACATGCATATTGTCATAGGGTGGCAAGCGTAAGTGATAAATTACGCCATCTCTAGGACATTGTCTATAGATGGACTCTCCTTAAATATCGCAGACTCTCGCTCCAGGCCCAATCGAAGGCTGAGTTAGATCGAACCATGCTCTACCGATGTCCGACAAGCACTCACGACTCTAGTGCTAAAGACGGCCAATTATGACTAGCTGCAGTTGTTCCACAAAGAGGTTTGACCACGATGACGTTCTTAAAACCATGCCAATTGCCTCTGTTTACCAAGGGTTTAGTATTGACAATATGAGTCTTTTCTGCATCTGCTGCCTGCGAACAGAACAGATCATAGATGCTTTCTTGGTTGATCACGTCTTTTTGTTCTGTTCATGGGTATGGCGCGAGGACTCTAGCTCTCCAGACAACCTTGTGTGGAAAAAGTGCCATGGTAGATCCAAGCATAGGAGTGATTTCTGATCGCAGAAATGAGCTCTGTCTGACTTGTCCGCTTTTCGAGCAATCTGAAAACATGAGGGAAAAACAGACACAAGAAGAAAGACGAAGGGATTTCAAGATTGACGAGAGACGCAGAAGAATACAAAACATGGAAAGAACATGTCCTTTGCGTACGCCGTTTACATTTGCGAAAGAGGGCAGACCCCAGCCTTGGGCTCGCAAGGTGCTGTACGAGACCGTTATGTCACGCCACAAGTCCAAGAACACTCTTCAGCTGCGGCTGACTTGCTCCATAACGGTGGCTCAATAGTCACTACTTGTTCAATGTAAATTGATCGAATATTGATCCTGACTGAATAGTCTACGGCCGCAGTGATTATTGTGTTGGAGTATCCGAATTTGGGCAATGGTAGTCGAAAGCGAGGATATAAGAATGCAACGAATGTCCTCGATATCTAGAAACTGAACAATACCATCACCTTTACTCGACTGATTTATCACTTTGTTTTCGCTCCAGCCTACTATGTATAAAATCACAGGTCTCCAAGGCATGCAGTATCCCCGTGAGGGTGACGCATTTCAAGCGAAGGATTATGCCTTTTTCAACCAGCAATACGCATCCTCGTCCTATCAGCAAGCACACGACATGAACCCAGCCCTTATCGTCCAACCCAAAGACGACGATGACATCGTCAGAGCTGTCAAGTGGGCCCGAGAGCAGAATGTAGCTGTCGCCGTCAAGAGTGGAGGACATCAGTACAGCGGCGCTTCCTCCACCGGTGGAAAAAATATCCAGATCGACCTGACCAACACTTACAAGGACATGAAAGTTTTGCCTTCCCAGACTTCTAACGCGGACACGGAATTGGTCTTTGTAGGAGTCAGTAACCAGCTCCAAGACTTCAATGCTTACCTCAAACACAACGGGCTCTTTGTTCCACATGGACAATGTGCTTACGTCTGCGTTGGAGGCCACGGCCAGACTGGTGGATACGGTCAGCTTGGCCGCAGCTTTGGCTTGTTCGGTGACCACATTGTGAGCATTCGCATGATTGATTACAATGGCGACATCAAAGAAGTCACCGAAGAAAGCGACTCGGAACTCTTCAACGCCATCCGTGGCGGCAGCCCTGGAAACTTTGGCATCATCACTCATTATGTAGTCAAGGTTTACCAGGCCGAGAGCTTTGTTGGACAAGTCGCAGGACCTAATGGCATCAAAGGACCTTATGGTCTGAAAGGCCTCTGGCTCTACGACGGCTCGATCATGAAGAAACTGCTCACCATCCTCGCCAAAATGTCGGACAACCCAGATCTTCCAGGAAACTTTGATCTGTGCATCAGTGTTCTCAGCACCGAATTCCCAGTCACCATGCTCTTCCCCTCGATGAAGGATGATTCACTCTGGCAAAAGGTCCAGCAAAGGATCAAGTCAGTGGTTGCATCAGAAGTCCTGGATTTTCTCAATGGCTCTTTCCCAGCTATCATTGTGGTTTATGCTCAATGGTGTCCGACATCCAAGAATGACAGATATGACCAAGCTGCCGACGATTGGTTCAAGCAATTCTGGGATCTCCGCAAGGATCACTACTATCTCCACATCGATGACTTTGGCCGCGATTCGCCAGTGGACATGGCGACAATGACGGGCAAATGGATCTTCNCCAAGAAGAGAGAATTCGATCTTCCATATGTGAAGCGTACTTGGGCAACCAACTCCAGAGCACTCTCCACCGACGGCTGGGTAGACGATGTAGTGAAACGACTAGATCTAGTACTCGACCCACAACAAAAGCTCAGCGACGACAGACAAGACTGGGAAAAGGATATCTACGATCACTGCAAACTCTCAGTCCAAATCCAAGCGTTTGGAGGAGCAAACTCAAAGTACTTTACCAATAGAAACAACGGCGCTGCCTACAGTTGGAGAGACTCTACTGTCGTCCAAGTCATCGATTGCTTCCATGATGAGAATGGAAGGAAATTCGCAGACGACTGGCAGCAACATAATGATGCAGTCATGGTTGGACCTGATGCCAATTTTAGCACGCAAGATAAGCGTATGTTGTGGGGTTCACATGGTGACTGGGATATGTCCAAGCCAGAGGTTTGGAAGACTTACTATGAAGATGAAGACAAGTATCAAAGAATTGGAAGGATCAGAGGGAAGCATGATCCTGATGGCACGTTCACTGCCAATCCTTTCGCGGTTGAGGCTATCAAGGCTGTTGAGTCGTAGAAATATCTTGTTAGCTTTCCATAATCTAATTCCTTGAATCTCCAGGAAATCTTTTGTTTAATGTGTAATACAACTGCTGAAGATGAGCTAAGAGCACTGCCTTCAGAGGCATGGCAACCCCGATTACATCTGGCGATACATTATAGTCAGTCTAGATAGAGATCTGAGTACATACGGCCACAGTCAGCTGAAAACTGGGCATCCCGTCCGCTCTGCCATACATAAGCAGTTGAACGGCAGATTAGTACTACGGTGGGTGACCACGTGGGAATCCCTGCTGCTGTATGTTTTGCGAGCTCTATCATTTTGCTCGTCTCGCGCTTGCCATCGAGACTCTTCCGGATTCTCACTTGCTTTTGTTTTCCAGGAGATCCGGAAGTTGTGACATGGGAACTCAAGCGCGAGGGATTTCTGGAAAAGCAAGCCCCGCAGTTGACTGTCTCGCTCCTGCCTTTTTGTTTGTCGCGACGGGGTTTGACTCTGCCTGCCCATCTTGTCTGCAACACCTGTTTGCCTCATCATTCTGAAGCACTGAGTTTTCTATTTGGCTGGCTCTACGATATGCACGTTTTAAGGCACCCGCTGCGCCTTCGCCTGACAGAGCCATATGTAGCACTGTTCCGTACAACTAGTTAGCGCGCCTGCATGTTGAAGCATGGCGACCAACCAGGACTCGCAATATGCGGTATACACAGACCACATATGCACAAAGTATAGATCGTCAGGCACTCGGCTTGTCCACGCCTCTGCAAAATCACAATGATAAGAGGCACGCAAGCGCCATCTCATAGCCCTCTCATTCCCTCACCCCGTCCATATTTTCTAGCAGACTCGAAACCTCGCAACTAGCTCGCTCCTTGTTTAACCTTGCGGAAACAATCCCACTTCCCTGCACAGCTCAATCCGGTTCTCAATGCACAAGAAGAAACTCAGACACGATGACTATACTGTCGCATGGATCTGCCCCCTGGAAGTAGAGCAAGTTGCAGCTCTGGAAATGCTGGATGAAGAGCATCAACGACTGCCACAAACAGAAAGCGATCACAATGCCTACATTCTCGGGAGCATCAACAATCACAATGTCGTAATCGCTGGTCTCCCTACAGCAGGAAACTATTCAGCTGCCACAGTCGTTGCACAAATGCGAAACACCTATCCTCGACTACGATTTGGTCTTCTTGTCGGCATAGGAGGCGGCGTACCAACCAAGACAGAGCAAGGGCCGATCCGACTTGGGCATATCGTGGTCAGCAAGCCAGCGGGCCAGCACTCGGGAGCGTTGCAGTATGATCATGGCAAGGCAGAAGCCATGGAGTTTGTCCGAACTGGCTCTCTTGCTCCACCACCAAATGTCTTGCTGAACGCAGCACGCGAATTACAAGTCTCCCGCCGCAGACTCTCGGCAGACCCTTTGGCTACTCATCTCCAACGTATCGATATTACAAAGCATGGCCTTCGAAACTTCAAACGGCCTCAAGCCGATCAGGATCATCTATACCAACCAGACTACATTCACCCGGACGGACACAAGTCATGCAAGAAGTGTAAATGCGATTCAACCAAGCTCGTCGACCGCAGTCTCGATGACAGCGATGATGATAGCGACCAAGACAGCGCTGATGAAGACGACGATGATTGGTTGGTCGTCCATCTTGGCACTATAGCCTCAGGAGAGACAGTCATGCGGAACGGTATACACAGGGATGCATTAGCACAATCACACAAGAACCTGTGTTTTGAAATGGAAGCCGCTGGAGCACTAAACGACTTTCCATGCTTGGTCATCAGAGGTATAGCTGATTACTCGAATTCTCACAAGAACGACAAGTGGCATGGCTATGCGGCAGCAGTTGCTGCAGCCTATGCGAGAGAAGCTCTTCCAGCACATGCCTGTGGATGAGGTCAGGCAGTGCAAGTTTGCCGAGGCAGGTGAGATCCTGGGTGCCTCGCAGTAGTCATGGTCACTTGATTTGACAAGTCGCAGATCTGGAAGAGATGGTAAAGAACACCCGAAACTTCGCAAACTATAGCGTAGACTTGCGCGTCAAAGAATGGCTCAGACCTAGCGATGCTTCAAGCAACTATATCAATGCGTCTCAATCACGCCACCCGAACACAGGTCTCTGGTTCCTAAAGAGCGATCGTTACAAGTGATTCAAGGCAACTCCCGGTGCTCGTTTGTGGCTACGTGGCATTCCAGGGTGTGGAAAGACTGTGCTCACTTCAACAATCATTGGGGATCTCAAGCCCATCATGCGAACGTCGGACGCAGCCATCATCTACTTCTTCTTCTCGTTCAGTGACGCATCGAAACAGAAGCTAGGTGATATGCTGCGCTCCTTGATCTTCCAGCTTGCTGGATGGCATGATACCACAAGGAGCCACTTGGAAAGACTGTTCGAAGCCAGTCGTCAGGGTCGCGAGCAACCGCGCACAACAGAGCTTTTCGAAGTCTTCAACCAGATGGTGAGCGAGTCACAAGATGTCACCGTTGTCCTCGATGCGCTTGACGAGTCCAGAGACCGGGATGATCTCTTACACTGGATCACTTCCTTGTCCAATCGAACTTGTAAATTTGTATTGATAAGCCGTTCGGAAAGAGACATTGAGGAGTCTTTTGCCTCGTGGCTATCTCCCAATCATATCATAACATTGGAGAACGAGCCGGTGGGTGAGGACATCCGAGCATATGTCCGCCACAGACTCGAAGAAGAGAAGAACCTAAGCCGCTGGAAATCCATGCATGAAGATATCTCAAGCACCCTTGTCGACAAAGCAGCTGGCATGTTTCGATGGGTCTATTGCCAGCTCCAAGAACTTTCAACTTGCATGGACAAGCCTGCTGTGCGACGAATGTTGCAGACACTCCCTGCCAATCTGAACGAATCATATGACCGCATTCTACAGAACATACCCGCCTCACGCGTACCCAATGCCATCAAACTTCTACAGCTCCTTGCTTTCTCAGAACAGCCGTTGCGATTAGTGGAACTCATAGATGCTGTGGCTACAGAACCCGATATGGAACCACCGTTTGACGTAGAGAACCGTGTCTCGCCACCTGATGCCATCATCGGGTATTGTTCGAATCTTGTGAGAATCGCAATCGTACACGAAGAGCACTTCAGAAAATCGGCCGGCGACGAGTATAGAGGGCAGTTCTTCAAATATAAAGACCAGAACGAAGATCAAGAGGAGATGACTGTACAGCTGGCACACTTCTCGGTGCGGGAATATCTGCTTCTGAATCATGGGGGCATACCTNACCATCAATATTTTGAAGAAACAGTCGCAAATGCTGCAATCACTCGAATCTTTCTAGCATATCTATGGACGGCCGCAGAGGAACAAAGAGCCCCACGGAGTACTTTTCCATTGTTCCAAATTGCTGCCGCAACTTGGATGCATAATCTAAAAAAAGCTGGCGAGGATAATTCCACTCTTGCATGGACTCGCAGATTCTTCACCAAAGGTAGTTTTCTGCAACATTGGCTGCGACACTATAAATATGAAGAAGCTAGTCCGGGTTCTGCACTGTACTATGCATCATGGTTTGGGCTCCAGCGAACTGTCGAAAATCTACTAGACCTGGGTGCTGATCCCAACGCTCAAGGTCATAAATTCGGCAATGCACTCCAAGCTGCCTCGGCCTCTGGAAACCTGCAAATAACACAAATGCTGCTAGATCGTGGTGCCCGAGTCAACACTAAAGGCGGTGACTATGGAAGTGCACTCCATGCCGCAGCATCGCGCGGACACCTCAACATACTGCGCTTACTATTCATGCACGGCGCTGATGTAGGCGCTCTGGAATGGAATGACGGAAAAATAAGCTGCAGTATTGCACCTGCGCTTCAAATTGCTGCTTACAAAGGGCATACAGAAGTCCTGAAAACGTTATTGCAGCACGGTGCAGATGTCAACGCACGACACACGCAAGTTAACATATGGGCAGGCTTTAATGCTTATTATACAGCGCTCGAGGCTGCATCCCATCAGGGTCGCACCGAAGTGATTAAGATCTTGTTGGAAAGCGATGCCGAGATTGACACTAGAGCGCCTATCGATGCGAGTCGTGATGGTCACAACGGAGGAAGCTACGGATACGGAACGCCACTTCAAGCAGCTTCAGATGAGGGACATCTAGACATCGTACGGATCTTGGTGGAAAGTGGTGCTGACATCAACATCGAAAGCGGATGCCAGGGCTACGCACTCCATGCCGCACTGTCTAGCGCTCATACAGAAGTGTCGCTGTTTCTAATAGAATCGGGCGCGGACATCCACGCATGTGGCGGTTTTTATACAACAACCCTTCACGCCGCCCTGGACGGTGGTGATCTCGCGATGATGAGACTGCTTATCGAGAGGGGATTGGATGTCAAGCAGGCCAGGCACGATGGAAAAATCCCACTGGAGTGCGCTTGCGACATTGGGAATGCCCACATCGTAGAACTGCTGCTCGACAAAGGTGTCGATGTTAACGACCAAGCTGGATATTACGGTAGCGCTCTCCAGCCTGTGTGTGCAGCCCCAGACTTCAGTAGACATCCAAAGATTGTACGGCTACTGATTAAAAACGGTGGAGAGCCAAACGCACAAGGGGGCTTTCACGGCACTGGGCTCTGCCCTGCCTCTTTCAATGGATGTGTAGCGGTAGTAAGAATGCTTCTAGGAGAAGGTGCCGATGTCAACGCTCCTAGCAGAAGACATGACTCTCCACTATGTGCTGCGGCTCAGTGTGGCCATGTCGGAGTTGTGCAGATACTCCTAAAGGACAATGCATTCGCTGTAAATCGTGGAAGTTCGTACTGGTCTGCTCTTAACGAAGCCATGAAACAACCGGTGAGGAGTATAGCGGAATTGCTGTTCAAAGCAGGAGCTAGAGAGCAGCTAGCAAGGACTAAACCTTGGTTGAGGGTAGGAAACTTGGGCAAATATTTCAATTGTCTTTAGCTAACTTGAATAGCGTTCGTCATCGGTTTCTAGCTTTTGCTCGGCCGCGGAACGGCAATCTGAGGAAGAAAGGGTCACAAACATCAAACCCATGGGAACCAGAAGGCATTCTCTCGATGGTCAGAATCTAGCTGCTCTAGATGATGCTTTCGAACAGGATCGCAAGAAGAAAGCAGATTTGTTTTTCGAAGCAGGTGCCGTTGAGGGGCCAGTAACAACTAAATCACGATTGAAGGTATAAAGGCTCGAGCAACATTTTTGAAAACTTTTGCTAACAAAAGTAGCGTCCAGCATCGGCTTCTGGCATGTCTTCATTAGCGGAACAGCGATGGGTGGAGAAGAGGAAGCGAATCGCCGATGCCACGATGACCGAGAACAGGGCAATACTTATCTGATTCTCAGAGCCTAGCTGCTCGGAATTCATGATGTCCACTGGAAGAATCCCCGTTCGATTTGCCTATTGCTTCCAACAGTGCAACTTTATCTGATCTACCCGTCTTGTCCTCTGCATCCTTAGGGATCATTTAATTTAGGATTGAACACCAGCAGGTACAAGAGTTTTCATAAGTGTAGAGCACATGGATTGTAATCTTCTTCTTACCATCACCTCCAATGTGTTATTTCTTCCCCTATAACTTGCGCTAGCCAACTAGTAACGTGCCATACTTCCTCCAGCTTTCCTGCCTCCAAATATCGTCTTTTTGGGCAACAGCTCTCGCCAGCATCCGACCGCATTCAATCATATTTATGTGGTGTCTTTCAATAACTCGCTCATCGCTCAACTATCCTTCTATTCCTCATTCCTCATTCCTCACTCCTCGTCCCGCCCAATCCCTCTTGATCTTGGGAAGATTGATGTGAAAGGCGTAGGCTAATTCCCGGCAGTGATTAAACCAAATTCTCTCCGGGATTATGGGACATACGGAGCTATCGCAGTTTCTCATTGACAGCGGTGGCAATATATCAATATTGAGAACGGAGCTGCACTGCAGCTAGCCACAAAAAGGGACCATCCGTAGTCGGAGCAACTGTTGTCCAGCAAAACATCTTACCCAGTAGTAGGAGCAAAAGAGGAGGATTCGTACTAAGAAGAAGAAGAAGAAGAAGAAGAAGAAGAAGAAGAAGAAGAAGAAGAAGAAGAAGAAGAAGAAGAAGAAGAAGAAGAAGAAGAAGAAGAAGAAGAAGAAGAAGAAGAAGAAGAAGAAGAAGAAGAAGAAGAAGAAGAAGAAGAAGAAGAAGAAGAAGAAGAAGAAGAAGAAGAAGAAGAAGAAGAAGAAGAAGAAGAAGAAGAAGAAGAAGAAGAAGAAGAAGAAAAAGAAGAAGAAGAAGAAGAAGAAGAAGAAGAAGAAGAAGAAGAAGAAAAAGAAGAAGAAGAAGAAAAAGAAGAAGAAGAAGAAGAAGCTCCACCAAATCTCATCAGTAGCAGTGACGGCAGGACTTGAGAGTAGGACTGGTTTACAATTTGAAGTGCTACGCAAGAGATATCGGCTGTTAAGGTAGAAGGGTCGCTTGGTCTTACGAGTAGTCGCAGAGCTGAACTCAAGCGCTGCACAACGCAAGCAAACACCTTGCCAGCATTGCTCGGCGCCAGGAATTGGAGGAGAGAAGTCCATCAAAGAATGGAAGTTCCCTGTCTCACATCAGCGTGATCATCGTTTGATGTAGTCAAAAGCTTGTGCTTTCAGGATTTTCTATACGCGCAGTATGGCCAATACTTCTTCTGCTATTATTCCAGTTGCATTTGAGCCGAATCTTGCTCGGCAGATGGGCCAAATCGTGAGTGCATGCTTGCTGGCTCATATCGAACATGCATGATAAATTGCCAGCGACTAGCCACTATTCTGTTCAATCGGCTTCGAGGTGCGCGCCATTGGTGCTGGACCGATAGGGTTATTGGCTGTGCTCAAGCCAGAAGTCCACTAAGTAGGGGAAGAAACCCGTCGGTACGGGAGCCGACCCTATCGGAGGTGGGGTTAAGATAATGTTGCCCAAGCCCGACTAGCGAATTTTGCACGGATGAGATCCTCCTACAAGCCATGGGGTGATTTGTTCCTCGTGACGTAAACACATACGGCGGAGAGATATAAAGGTGCAGGTGGTGCGGAGAGTTGCTGATTTGGTCATTAGATCATCCCTGCCACGAAACATACAGGGCGAGGTCATTCTGGATTGTAACCCGAATTTCCATAACGATCCATCTGTTCACCGCATCACCATGTGCCAAATTCTCCAGTGGGCTCCCCAGAAATACGCTTGCGGCCACACAATTGAATCCCAGGCCACTGTCAATCGCTGTGACGACGCGAAGGCAAAGAACCAGCAGTGCCCTCACGGCAAGTGCAACGTACAGAAAGGCTTTAAATCCAGTACCAAGAAGGGCCAATGTCCCGATTGTGCAGCAAATTGAGCATGGGTTGGTACAAGATTCCTTCTTTACGCCCACGCCTATCTGACGAGCAATGTGTCTCTAGCGCAGACCAGGAACACAAAGCTCAAGGTTGGATCGAAGCATGAAATGGGAGAGACACACTCGCCGACGTAGTCGAACGATTCAGACCGAGTTCTTGATACTTTGTGCGGCATACACTTCGCTTGATGCAATCTTCATCTCTTACCCTCTACTTAAAGCAGATCTGGGTCGATACTTAGCCCGAATCTTCTATAATGAAAATTACCGTTCTCGAGCGGGTTCGATTTAGCCCGTCTCTTTGAGCTTCGAGTCACTGGAATGCGCTGTCATGCAAAATGAGGAACTTCGATATCAAGATGTCGCAGCCTCCGTGCTTGGCGCCTAAATTTGTTCGGCCAGGCCAACGCGAAGACGCGCACGGTGACAAGCAAGTGGCTCTGAGCAAACATGAGCCTTCCCCACTGCGAATTCTTGGTGAGTGCGAGGCTCATGTTCGCTCGGACCCCTTGAAGAGACGTTCTCCCACTACTATAAATAGCAACATTTGCACCGAACGAATCACAGACCACCTGAGCGCCGAGAAGCGTGCACGGCCACATCTGCACAACAAGGGATCGAGCATAGGAATAAATTCCAGTTGATCCACTTCACATCTTCTGCCTTTCCAACTAGATTTGGTCCATCATCGTGGCAATGCTTACTACGCGCCAACCTTTCCCGTCGCTATCCGCAAACAATCTTGTGTCCCAGGGTGGCTCCGGCCAAGTCTTCGCAATCAGCAAGAACGTGGCCTTCAAATGCCCACTCACGTTCGAGAGTGATAATCTATCACCAGAGACAAAGCGCGAGATGGAGGAGAACATTGAGAAGGTCGAGAACGAGAAGGGAATCTATCTTCTGCTCAAGATCCATCCACATCCGCATCTTCTATATGGTATTCTAAGTGTTCCCGAGGGCATCTTCATGCCTCTTCTGGAGACTACCCTCGCAGATCGCCTCGCTTTGTCTGTTCCCAACCCTGAAATACAGGAGCGCTGGATCTATCAGCTTGTCAGTGCAGCAGCCTGGCTCGAAGGACTAGGTTATGTTCACGGCGATCTACGACCACAGAATATTCTTATCGACAGACTTGGCAATATAAAGATTGCGGATTACGATGCAACCGTCTCGGCTGGATCGGAGCTACAACTTGCCACGCTGCCCTTCTGTAAAGTTGATGAGAACTTTGAACCCCCAGTGGCTGGTCCCGAGAGCGAACAGTTTTCCTTGGGATCCTGTATCTATAACATACGTTTTGGTNTTTCCCCCTACGCTGATCTTGGGCTCGAGTCTCCTGTCTGGCGTAGGAGGCTGGTCCGCAAAGACTTTCCCCCGACGCGAGATGATGCTTTTGGCGACATCATCCAAGGTTGCTGGAGCGGGGCTTTCCCTTCGATCCGTTCTCTCGAGACGGAAGTGAGCCAATTGACTGGTACACACTCGATCTCGCAAAATCCTCCTGCTCATCACCTGTGGTATCTGCTTGCTGAGTGTCAAGAATATTTGGCAAGGCAACATCTGCGTTTGTCAGATAGTCTTCCTAGAACATTTCGACTACAATGCCGCGTGATCTCCTGGGCCGTTGTACGGAAAGGGCTCGGCTTGTTCTATCACAGGACCTGACACTCCCTTTGCAGTATAGCCATCTTCTGGAGTGATATCCTCGGTCATCGACATTACTCCAACCTTGACTTTAGCTTGGTCTTTGGACTTTGTGGTGATCAAAAGGAATCGATCAGACAAAGCTCGGCCACAGATTCCCAAACAGATCAGTCAGCACACGCGACAGGCGCAAGGCAAGATAATCAGGTATCGTAGCTCGACCTAGGTCTGAAGGTAAGCAACCCTCGATGTTCGAATATATTTTACTGACAGGGGCAGCGTCTTGTGTGCAATTCGTCCATGTGTTCATCAGTAGATACTTGATTAGTGCAGGAAGATGCTGCATGCGATCCATTCTCAGATAGTAGAACTTGTTTCAAAGAGAAGCGCCATTCGGGCCTCTGCTATACGGTCGGCCTGCATTGTTCCTCCAATGCTTTTCCTTGCAGCTGGGTTTGAGTGTCTCTCAAAGTCCTCTCTATCAGGAATTTTTTTGTGTTTTCTGGAAGTCTTTAGATGACGAAAATAGCAGATGAGTGATGAGAAGACCTAGTCATTGTTCTCATATCAGCGTGATCACCATTGGCTGGTGGTCAAGTGCATGAGCTTACCGAGTGAGATTATTCTCTATGCCATTCATGTCAAGAGCTCTGATGATACATCGCGTTCTTTTGTTGTTCTCGAGCGTTGGGACCATCGCCTCTGAATCTCGAAGAGACAATGAGGGGGTGGTGTAGAACGCGATAAGCCATCATATCGCCTTGCTGTAAGCGCCAGGCATTCTCATAATATTGCCGATTGGTGGGAGCGGCTCGTGTCTTACCGCCAGGCTGCATCTATCTCATCTCTGGCTGTATATCGCGCCGTGCTTTTGCCTCTGCCTTGGTGCACAGACTTGGGGCAAGCGCAAGGTCAGAGCTCTTTCCTCCCTACCCATACTACCCTGCCTCTTGATCGCACTTCGATCTGCCATTTTTCCGCCCAGAATCGAGCTACTAGTTTGATACCCCTGTACTACTGTCCTCAAGTTCACTTAACATGAGCGACATCGACTGGACGTACACATCATTTTACGATGTCAGCCCACGCCTGACTTGTCCTTCACCTGCCGAAATCAACCCTATCATCGCCAGATTCAGAGCAAAAACCGCAGAGTCCGCCGTGTACGCGATAGGGGGTCACTCGGTCGTGATCCAAGTTTCTGAGCGCATACTGGCCAAAGTCTCGGTACGAGCCAATTGTGAGCATATCCGCCAAGAACAAAGGGTCATGGAAACACTTGGGCTTTTGCAAAAGCGTCATCCATATATCGTCAAGCCCTTTTTGGCTGTCCAGACGACATCTTTATGGAACCACTGATGAACGGAACGCTCTCGCAGCGCATCGCTGATGCTGGTCTACCCTTGTCGGGCTTTGCTTGGATGTTTCGGATCACGAGCGCTGCTGCACTGCTAGAGGCCAATGGACTTGCGCATGGCGACATCAATCCCCGAAACATTATCTTCAACGACGACGATCAACCCATCCTGGCAGATTTCGATCACGCTTTGCCGATTGGGCAGCCTCTTGAAGTTGGGTTCGAACCGTACGTGCGACTTCATTATGTATCAGAGCCTGGGCGCAGCATCGATGGCGGCACATATGGTGTGGCAGGAGCCATCACCGAGCAGTTTGCCCTCGGCTCGATCTTTTGACTCCTCCTGACTGGAAGAGAATTGTATGACGACCTTCCCGGCCATGAGCAGGTAGATCTTCTGAGCGAAAAGATCTACCCAGACACTACCAAGCTTGGTCTTTCTGGTGAGGTTATTTCTAGATGTTGGCACGGAGGCTTCGACACTGTCGCACAGCTGTTGCAAAGTCTGGTTGAAGTGGCGAAGAATGATGAGCGTTACTGTCATGAAAAACGAGCTGGAGTGGAGGACTTGTCCTTGTCATCACTCGACGCTCAGGATGCTGGAAGAAGACAAGAATCGGAACTTTTTACCAGAGTCTCCGAGCCTAACATGCGGTAGATGTGTTCGGATTCAGTCTCCACTACAAAAGCCTGTGGAGTAGTGTGCAGGGTACATCCGGGTGGTGTGTGGTTCTCGCATGAGGCCATGGCATCTCATGCCGGTTCTAGTCTTTGCAACATCATGCTCGTTTCCGTCCCTTAGACACAAGCTTTATTACACATGTATATCGAGTTCCTCTTTATCCCCTACTGTACAGTTCTCTGTCCAATGTGCTCGACCTTGGTCAACTCTAATTTGCAATAACAAGACGATGTTGGATGCAACTCCAGCCATACTTGGTGTATGTCGAATATACACCTCGCCAGTTCCCAGATCGGTTCCAGACCGTGTAAACAAGTATTTCAAAGTGGCCGGCTTGTAATTTCCGCGACGTATCGTTCGGGTGGCCATAATTGTGAAAAAAAAGGTCCCCGAGCACGAAAGGGAGCTAAACCCCTTATTCGACTTTTGTCGGGGCAGGATAAGACGTGATAGGAAATACTAGGTAGTTACAGTATCAACAAGCAATTCCCGAGATCATCCTCCCTGATTAGAGGAGAGCATACTTTCCTGAATTACTCAGCATTCCCCATGCTATACGTTCATGACATTGACCCGAGTAAGCAGATGATCGACTTGCGAGAATCCAAAACCTTCTTTTGATTCTCTCTTTCTTTCTTTCTTTCTTTCTTCCTTTCTTTCTTTCTTCCTTCCAGTCTGCTCTTTGTCTACAGGTCTGTTTTACTAGCCGTTGGAGGAACACTTTTGGTATAATCTGATCTCCAATCAAACTAAATCAAGGACAAGGGTCAAATACAAGAGATGGAAACGAAAAACACTTTTGACACGCAGAACAACATCAAAGTCACTCACATGATGCTGATGGCTCAGCGCTGACAAGCCGACGTAGAATGTTGATTAACACCTATTTTCCGTCATTCAAGCTAGCTACAGTATCATCTGCAAGACTCTGCGTTTCGGTGTTGGCAGCAATCGTCTCTTTGTTTCCATTCCAGCAAATGTCTTCGTCTTGTTGTGTCATACCATTCATCGCCCTGACTCATCCTGCTTGTCAGGTCTCGTGTCAGCAACTTGTGCATGCATCTTCACAGCAACAACCCCCATCTTCCATATCACAGCAAACCTAGCTCACACGCTGCTACCCCTCACTTCGATCTCTCAACAAACATCTTTCTGTGCCAGCTGAACCACTTTTCCATTCTCTTTGCAATTCTTCTCAGCATAACTGGGTTCACCGTGGGCGATGGGTGAGGGCGGTGCAGTACAATGGTCTTGACACCACTGTCTGCGGGGTGGTCCAGCTTCAGTGTGACGGCTGAGCCCTGACTCTGGAGGATACTGAAGCCAGCGTCGGTCATGGCACTCAAAAAGTCCTGCCAGGAGAAGCTGCGTTGAGATTCGGCGCCTCTGACAGGGAACATGTGGTGGAAAACAACAAGGCTTTCGGACTTGACGTGTTGGATCGATGGCAAGGCAGCTATCTTGGCGGGCGGGACATAGAGCACGACCTGGTTTTGTGGACCGTTGGTCGCGTCGGGAATGAGAGGTGCCTTAGGAGTCGATCTGATCGGAAGAGCTGCAGGATGGTGGTTCTCCTTGCCCCAGACAGTCTGCACCTCCACCTGAGTGTAGGACTTGGCAGCTTCAGCACTCTGTGCAACATGTTCGAGGATGTCCTGCTTCTCCCGAACGAGTTCTTCCTGATGGCGTGAGTTCGACGCGGCGGAAAGCACTTTGACGTCCTCGTCAATCAGTCTCTGGCTAACTTTGGCTTTGACGAGGTCCTTGACCCAAAGCTCTTTGAAATGCTCCCAGAGCTGGGTCAGGCAGGCACGCGCCGCAGTAGCCTCGTCAAGCCATTTCAGATCCTTCTTACCACGTGGCCACTGAGACTGTTGATACAGCTGATGCATATCAGGTCCTAGAGTGTCTCCCAATGCTTGACCATGGCCTGCATTGATCTTCTTGATCCAGTCGGCCGGAGACGTGTCATGGGTTTTCATGATTTTTCCCACCTGCGTGAAGACGGCACGGTCGCGAGTCGTGTCTGATTGGATGGATGTGATGATTTCACTCAGAATCGACATATCACTGAGTTTATCCAGCATTGTCTGACGAATGCGACGGGCTTCTTTGGGATCAGTGCGGCAAAGACGATCGATAATGGCAAAGTTGAAGGCAGGATCCATGGTGAAGGGACGCTCCTTGTCAAAGCCAAGGGTGCTCATACTCCAGTAGAGAAGGTCGTCAGTGAACCAGTCTTTTGCAGTGAAGCTGCGGTTCGTAGACTTGATCTTTGCACTTCCTTTGAACTCAGAGTTGCGCTCAAAACCTCTCTCAACCAGGAGACCTGCGTGGACTTGTGGCTCGAAAATCGCAAATGTTTCAATGCAAAGGTCATTCACGATGAAGACGGCTTGTTCCAGACCTTGCTTGGCCTTTGTGGTCGGCTTTCGCTCGAAGACATCCAGGCAGCTTATCATCAGCTGGCTTTCAGCGACTAGCTGGCGCCAGTATGACTCGCGGTGCATCGTCTCGAGAAAGAGACAGTCCACGAGCCAGGGCATCATGTCTTCCACACGCCACGTCTCAAAGAATCTGCAGGCACAAATTTCTTTCGACAACATCTGCACATACTGCGGGTCCGTCTGAAGAAGCTCCAGCTCATCAAGAACGACGCGGTGACGAGATGCGATGAGCTCGGCGACCTCACGAGCATCAAAGCGCGGAGGTTCGGAGAAGGGCTTGACAAAGTCGGTGGACCAAGGGAAGTCGGTCTTGAACCTTGAAAAATCCGCTGCGATCATACCATCCCACTTGGGATGGACTTCAAGTGTGGTAGGCGCCTCGACTTCTGCCAGTAGACCTTTGACACAGTTGCTGAGGAGGTTGAGCATCTTTTGGTGAGCGGTGAAGAGGTGGTAAGCCTTGGTGAAGCCGATGATCTCCCAGCGATGAGCCTTTTCGGCATTCCATTTGACGAGCTTGCCATAGTCGGGGCCTTGAGCAACGACACAGTTGGGGTTGAAAACGTTTGGTATAATGGAGAAGTGTTCGGCGAGGACAATGTTGGTGTTGTCAAACATCAACCACTTCTCAGGGTCGTTGGAGGTGCGATGGTGTAACAAGCTGAGGAAGAGGGTGGGATCCTCGGAAAGTGTCTCAGCGTCAAGATAAGGCAGGAACCAGGAGTCATGGTGTGAGGCCAGAGTCTTGTCACGCATCTCGCTGTTTGCCAGAGACTCTTGGGTGTGAAGCTCGAGACAGACTGCAAAGTCTCCATCTGCGGTCCGGTGGGTTTTGACCCTGCGCAGGTTACGTTCTCCGAGGTATTCGCGGTCCAGATCACCAGCTCCAACACGTTCGAGAAGATGGATGGCAGCCCATTTCTTGTCAAACAGCTCAGTGTGCTCAGTCAGGAAGCTGAAGCGCTTTGCTTGCGGCTTCTTGTTCCACCTCGAGACCAGAAAGTCGGCATGCTTTTTCAAGGTTGCGCGTAAGAAAGCAAGGTCGGCTTTGATGCTGTCGGCGACTTCGTTGATGATGGCTTTGGCTTGTCCGTCATCAACGCTCATTGCGGCGGGAAAGAATTGCGGCAAGCAGGTGGCACACTCTTTGCTCCCAGTGAATGGGCCTGGATTGGTGCAATTGAAGGGACTGGCAGGCGGCTTCTTGCGGTCGAGGTATTCGGCGTTCAAGTCTTGCTTCCACTGCATTTCAACAAGGGCGGGCTGATATGAGACGGGCATGACCTTGTCTGGCTGCTTGATACGCATCAAGGTAGAACGGACGGCCCAGACTCGATCGTCGTCCTCTTGCGCCACTGCTGAGCCGTATGGGACCGGTTTGGGCGCCATTGTGGTGATTGCGACGATGTTGGCTGCGGTGGACCAGAGTCTGCAAATTTGGAAGAGAAGAAAGAAGAGGAGGAATTGGGAGATGTTGAACAGAGGGGGCAGGATGGACGAGAAGTGGTGTCGATTCATGCGTAAGTGAAGGCGAGAGGAAGACAAAGAGGTGGTGTCGGCACATGCGTGAGTGAAGCGCAGCTTTGGATGGAGCAAAGTGATGGCGTCGGGGCTTGCTGCAGCCTGGCGTTTGTCAAACACTCAGAGAAGAAAGGAAAGAACGCGTGGTACATGGACCTGGAAAGAGCATTCACCTGGCGTTGCGCTCTTGCCTCAGCCGCAACAATCGCGTGTTCTGCAGGATCCAAGCTGCCTGATTTGCTTCTTTGACTCTATTCCAGTCATGGGCTTTGTTTTTGGCTCCAGGATGATACGTGAGAAATCGACGGAGGCATTCGAATGTCCTTTCACCAGGACAAACAGATCTGACATCCCTTCACCCGCACACTGCCTACTGTTGGATGCCACACAAGTCAATTGCCACATCCATGTTCTCTTTACTGCAAAAGAAAACCATGGTCATTGGTAGATTCAGAGGTGTGCTTCGGAGTGATGTTCACATATGCAAGGTCTAGAGCCAGGTGCTGGACAGTCAATAATTTGCAACGACGTGATGCGTGAACAAAAGAAGGTCTGCACATTATTAGCGAGCGCTTCGTCAGTCTTGTCCGAAAGATGCTATAGATCGAAAACGTAAGAGGTTTTGTTTGAAGAGAGGAGTTCATTACACACTATATCAATTTAAAGCCTAAGGGTGATTCTCATATACACATCTAGTCCGTCTTCTCAGTCACGGCGGTGGTGGCCGATTCCGCGACAGAGGGCTCGCCAGCATGCTTGACTTCTGTCTTGCTCTCGCCGTGAAGACGGTGCTGGAACTCGTCGACAGAGATGGCACTGCGGGTTGTTACGCCGTGGTTCTGTGTCTGTTCCTGGACAACCTCGTGCACGGGCTTGACCTTGTGGGTCACCTCGGGGACGATGTGCTCTCTCTCGATGACAGGCTGGATAGTCTCGTGCAGGTGGTGGTGGACAGACTCTGCAACGGCGGTGGGCTCAGCAGTTGTGGTCTCCTCTGTTCCTGCCTCGACAGTGGTGTCCTTGAAAGCTGCCTGGTCGGCGGCGACCTTGGCCTTAATCTGGTCACCCTGCTTGTCCTTGTTGATCTGGCGCTCCTGTGTTGCGTCGACCTCGGTGGTGTGCTTGGTCTCATCGACCTGTTGGTCTTTGAGGGGCTGGATGGTGGTGTGGTAGTGGTCTTGGTGGCGCTCGCGGTCGACGACCTTCTGTTCGCGCGTCTCGTGCTCGTGCTTGATGGTCTCGTGCTCTACTGCGGGGGCAATGGTCTGGTCGACGGTGGTGTCCTTCTCGCCTGTAGCAGCAGTGTCAACGACTGGAGCTACTTCCGCCTTGCTTTCGACCTGTGCAGTCTTGACCTGCGAGTCTTCGACTTTTTGGCAGTCTCGACTTGTGCGGGCTTGACTTGCTCGGTGTGAGACNTGTTCGGTCTTGGTGTGGAAGTGCTCACCTGCGCCGGAGCTGGGTCATGTCAGTATGCGGTCCATAGCAGTGAGGAGCGAATGTTCTTACAGGAGCTTGCTGACTGCGTTTGCGGCGGCGTCCATGATGAGTTATTGGTTGATGGGATTTGGAGTGTGGTTGGGAATAAAGAACTGGATGTTTGTTGGTTTCAAGTTAAGATGCAATTGTGATTGTGTGTTGCGGGCGCTGCTTCTTAAGGAACATCATCAAGTACATGACGAGGTGACCTTTCTGTACGCCAGTGACCTCATCTCCAGTGAGTGGGGGAGCAACATACGAAATTGCTTCAGCGGTTGAAAAGTGCTGCACGTCAGAAACACGAAGGAGCTCCCGATTCCTCCCTATTAGATGAAGCCACATAGATCAAGTGGTCTACTTGATTGGTCGACGACATTCGCACATGCCTAATGCAGCTAAGACTACCATGTTGTGATCCAGATCATCGGACGGCGGTAGTAGGGCCAGGCACACAAAGTCGTCATTCCTGGGCAACTCATTCCAACTTCTGCGAGAAGGGTCTTTTGGGGATTCCAGGTTTCCCATGTGCAGTGATGTAGCTAGCGAGGAACCTTCGAGTAGCGTGATAGCGGGGTAGACTGCGCCACGCAGATCGTCAGATCGATAGCCCTATGAGTACGGGGTGGCTGCAGTGACATACCTGAATCGCGACAACTTTTTCACATGTGACAAACCTATTCCAACCGGGAGACTGCCACCATGTTCGAATCTCTTAGATCGTTGCGAGACCAGCTGAGGCTTGGAGCTGGGAACAAACAAGTAGCTGAGGAGATTGGAATGGCGACTGTACGATATGGATTGCAGAAACACGAGTGTGCCAGTGCCTGATCGCTGCATCAATAGAGCCTCATTACGCGATGGCAAATCTGTGTTTCTGTTAGACGAGCGAAGATCCACACTCGCTTGTCCAAAGCACATGGGTTTGTTCTGCATCCTTCGCTGGCTCATTTCTGCCAATGCAGCTCGCAGAAGCGGAGGACGTTCCGCTGATCGAACGTCAAGTGAATAGCAGTGCCTGGCAAAGCTAATGGCAGAGCTTGTGGACTTGAAGTCCCGGCGATGCTTTTAAAGACCTTAAGAAGTCAGCCAGCCAACGCACGATATGCACTCATCTTCGAAGTTGATTCGCTTGTTGGATCGAGAAAACATCGATCATTCTTCAAGCAAGCGAGATTTCATATTGGTTTTCGTAACCAAAACGTCATGATGTCCAAAAATTCATCTTGATATCGGAGAGGGCTTTGTTCGCCTTTGACAGAAATATGGTCTTGACGACGAGCACTCGCAACTGATTATTATAAGTCACAGCGATGGAATTTTCGCAATGTGCATTCGACATAAGCACAAAAGCAAGCGAGCGTAACGAAGGTGTTTGGGAGGAGGGGCGAGTACGAGAATCAAGTTGCTTGGCGACTGCGACTTATGGCCTGGGAAGACGATGTATCGAGGGCAACCCTGTCGACTACTCAACAACATCGTCTTCGAAGCCACACTCGTGTAGTTCAGGATCAAATTGATGGAAGATACATATGTGATTTTGCTATCGCTATGATCATGAACTTAGAACAGGTGTCCGGACGAAACGTCAAGATTAGCATGTTGCGACAAGTCTTTGTCGAATGGCGCAATTTGCTGAAGCTTTGCAACCACCTGTTTTGATAGTACAATGGATTGTTTCGGTCTCTGAATTCGCCATGATGTGTTGTGATCTCGTCAGCTGTTTTGCACTGTGGTTAAAAACAACGATTCGGCTGTCATGGAGGTCTTCTCAATGGAATTCACACTCCTACCATATTTCGACTTATCTTCCGTGGTGGACTTGCTGGCTTCAGATTCTTCTTGAATTCGACCAGAATAAATTGCGTGGGTCTCTGTATTTACAATGGCTGCTGCTGCTCTCGCGTTACAGTCCACACCTCCGAGTTGTCTCTTCTTGAAGCACTCGAGTGGTGTAGCCCCCAGAGAGGTTGACACGAACAACTCTCTCCTAGTGGTATCGCCATACACCTCACCACCACATCTTCTCGATCTCACACGATATTCCGCATCAAGTCAGCTCTTCGCAAAGGCCTTGACCGAATTTCAACCTGTTCGAGAAGACTATGCGACAGCAGAGTACACAGAGTCCATCAACTTTCCAGGAGTCGTCAAAACTCTCAGGTCTCTTGCAAGAGCAGAAGGGAACATATGGAAGAAGACAGAGTTCTACGTGGTCAGTTTTCGGTCACAACTCAGCCCTGCCGCCGATCCAGAGCGATTGTTCGAGTTAGATGCCTTCTCCCATCAAGAAGCCATGTCCAGTGGAGGATTGTTGAAGTATTGGTACGGAGTGAAAGATCAGAATCGGAGGAATCTAGCGACTTGTAGGTGGCCTCGTCAAACTCAGGAAAGGCTTGACTGACAAAGTTGCAGGTNNGTCTGGGAGAGTAGACAACATGCGAGGGATGGAGGCAGAGGACCATGGCACGCAAAGGCAAGAGCTGCTGCGGGGGTCTGGTACGAGAGTATCGTGTTCAAGACGTATGTTTTGACAATCGGAGATGATCTTGATAGCTGGGATATCAGAGACTTTGAAGAGAAGAGGGGATGATATGCTCAAGTCGACTCGACCATCAAGGTGTCTGCGGTGCAGGGGTCTGTGCGCGACCGGGACAGCCCGCTTGATTGACAGGAGTCTCTTGGTTCCAGTTGATGGGGATTGGTATGGTCTTGGAGACAGCCGGTACGATTGGGACTCAGGAGGGGTACACAGGGCATAGCATACAAACAAGTTCAAACAAGCCGCTTGATTCACAGTCGATGTGAGCACAGCTTGGCCATCCTGCTCTCTGTCGAGCTTGGTTAGAAGCTTGTCGCGCAAATCATGCACCACACTTGTCATGTGTCAGTCATTCTTGACATGTCTAGTCACACTATAAGCAGTGTAGCCGAGTAAGTGAAAGGTGTGACAAGTTAGCGATGTGCTTGTCCAATCTGCGTCGCTGTACCATGAAGAGTTTGGCGAGGGTCTGGCATAAAGTGTTCTCGCTCAACAGATCAGAGGCCAAGACTCGGCGGATCAGATAAGATCGATGTCTCGGGCCACGCACAGACCCGGCGTCTGCGCAAATCGGCTCGTCCTCAACCTTCAACCTCAACCAACATCAAACAACGTTTTGTCGACGGATAGTAGGATTGTGCTATCGCCGACTATCAATACTGAACCGCTGCTTTATTTGCTTGGAATCATCATATGGGTGTCCTCGACCAGTAATAGTCTGTAGATGATGCCGAAACCCGCCGAAACCCACCGACGACAGCCAAATCTCATCAATCACGTTCCTCGGCTGTCTATCCCATCACAGGCGCCAAGCTATACCCAAGAAAACTAAGGCGTTGATTCCTGCGGCCTTTCTGATCCACCCTGGTACCTGACAGCCACTTGCAGCACCCATATGAGCAGGGCATCCTTCGCTTTGCAATCAGTCACGGTTGACACCTCTCGTTCACCAATAGGAAGGCAAGGCTATGCTCTGAAAGGGATTAGTCCTCAAGAAACAATATCCGGTCAAGGTTTCAAGACACATGGCTTGCTGCGGTCTGCCATGTGTGGATTTATGCGCAGCAGGTTAATGGAGCTCGGTTGTCGCAAAGTTCAACACTTCAGGCACAATTGCTACTCTGCAACCTGGCTGTGCAGCCAAGTGAGGCTCTCGAGCTAATATTTAAGAAGAAGGGCGGCTGCCCCTGGTAAGACAGCTAGAATTCTGTATCTTGATCTTCTCGACTTTAGCTCCCACCATGAAATCCATCATCGTTGCTACTCTGACAAGCTTAGCCCTTGCCGCCAGACCTTTCCTCAACGAGGCCGATACTGNNGGTAGGTAGCTTGTCAACCTGACGATTTCACACATGATCTGACCATCCTCCAACAGCATTGACGAAGCACTGGGAAACACACCTGACGGCACTCTACCACCACTCGAGAACATTGTCGGTCTTCCGGACTTTGATTGGGCAGCTCGTCACTACATGAACACGAGTGCCTATACTTACTACCGCAATGGTGCTGCCGGCGAGTGGTCCTACCGCAACAACCTGGAAGTCTTCCAGCGCTACACTGCTCGTCCCCGTGTCCTGAGGGACAACTCGAAGATTGAGTCTACTTTCACTACATCAATCCTCGGTCACAACTTTTCGGCACCCTTCTACATCAGTCCATGCGCAAGAGGCGCCCTTGGCAATGAAAGAGCCGAACTTGGTCTGGTTGAGGGTGCTTACCAAGGAGATATTCTTTACATCCCTTCGGACTTTAGCTCCTTGCCTTTGAAGGAGCTAGCCGCCGCAAGACCCTCGAACGGCTCTCAAGTCATGTGGCAGCAGGTCTACCTCGACGCCTCAAATGACACTGCCACTAAGGCACACTTCAAGGAGATCGAGGAATCTGGCGCTCGCGCAATCGTCTTTACTGTCGACAGTGCTGGCCCTGGTGTGCGTCATCGTGCTCAACGTTACTCTGCTGGCTCAGCAGATGCAGACTACTCGGCTTTCACGTGGCAATACTACCAGAAGCTTCAGAACTTTACAAGACTGCCTGTTGTCATCAAGGGTATCCAGACGGTCGAAGACGCCAAGATGGCAGTCAAGTACAAGGCACCAGCAATCGTTCTATCCAACCACGGTGGCCGCAATCTTGATGGAAGCCCTTCTGGCTTTGAGGTCGCGCTTGAGATCCACCAGGAGGCACCTGAGATTTTCCAACAGATCGAGGTGTATGCTGATGGTGGAGTCAGATATGGCAGTGATGTGCTCAAGATGCTTGCGCTCGGAGTCCGTGCCGTTGGACTCGGCAGAACATTTATGTATGCCAATGTCTATGGCACCGAGGGAGTTGCCAAGGCTGTTGAGTTGTTGAAGGCAGAAATTGCGAGTGATGCTGCGCACTTGGGACTGAGCTCGATCAAGGATATTGGGCCGCAGTACTACAAGTGGACGCCGAACAACTGGTACAGCTAGATATTGGGTGGTACGAGGGAGCAACTAGGTTTAACAATCTACTCGACCATGTGAGATGATTTCCTTGTGTTTTTCCACCATCGGTCGAGGATATACAGTAACAAGTAAAAATGAAACAAGAACAAAACCCGGAAAGATAAGTATCACTGGGATTGTTTGGCCTTCGGCGCTAGCGCAAGCCACAGTCAGAGCATCAACCATGTCACGACTTCTCTCCATGTTACAGGTGTATGTCTCTTTTGTTTCGAGTACTGATTCATGTTCCGATAGATGCGTCAATCTGGTGCAGAGAGAGAGTGGCATTGTCAAGTACTGCAACTGAGAGGACGAGCAAGGCGTTAACAAAAAGAAGAAGACTCCACGGAGCTTGGTCCGGTAGATACAAACGGCAAGCGTTCACGCCAGGCAGATTGGCGGCTCTCGCTTTCGGATTTTGCGGGTCTAACCTCCGTTAGGTAGGTACGGGTTGGCTTTTACGGTGCCTCCGGAAGCGCCTGCCTTTCCTGCCTTTGCACTCGCTGTTTACTTGTTGGTTTCGACTCACTGGCACCTGCCAATTGTCGCGTCGACCCTCGCAGGCTGCAGCCGCTCAGTATTGAGCCACGCCCAAGACGACAGCATCCCTGCAAACATGGCCAGCCCGGCGCCGGTACCAACGCCATCGACGGCATCTTCGACTACAACAAGCAGACTCAAGTGTATGGACGACCTCATCAACATGAACGTCAGCGACATGACGCCCGAGCAGCGCGCCCGCTTCGAGATCAAGCGAGAGCACGAGTTCTACAGCTACTACGAGCCCATCCGCGCCCTGGCAACCCGCGAGATGGACTGGACCGACCTCAACTCGGAAGAATCTGTCGCCAAACACCGCCCCATGCAGTCGTCCGACAAGGCCCTGACCGCCTTCTGCCAACTCGCCGCCATCCGCCTCAAGATGCGCCGCGCCATGATCTTCTTCTTCGACAGCACCCACGCCTATATCCTCGCCGAAGCCACCCGCACCCTCTCCCTGCACGACGATACTCTGTTCGACGATGAAGACGACGCTCTATGGTTGGGCACGACCAAGATCCCGAGAGGCTTCTCCGTCTGCGAACACACCGTGAACCTGCCCTCCAACGGCGGCACCAATGCCCAGGACGACGACTCCCACCTCATCCACATCATCAACAATCTCACAGAGGACACGCGCTTCTGCAACCGCCCATATGTTACCGGTGGTCCAAGAGCCAGGTTCTATGCTGGAGTACCCATCACCACCCCCAAGGGCCTCAAGATTGGCGCCTTCTGCGTCCTGGACGACAAGCCACACGACGGCCTGGCCAAGAAAGAGATAGACTTCATGCAAGAGATGGGAATCGCCGTTATGAGCCACCTCGACATGATCAAGGCAAAAGTCGAGCAGAGGCGAGGTACCGACATGGTTGCTGCTTTGGGCGCCTTTACTGCAAGCGAGTCCAGCTCGCGACGAGACACAAAGACTGACGACAACCGTCCACAACTGCCCCATGACATCTCGGCTTCCTCTTCTCTCCTGACGATCGGCGACCTCGACTCGTCATCCCCTGCCAAGAGACCTGCCATGCGTAGACAGTCTTCCAGTAGCAAATACGGTCATTCGTCTGCTACTACAGATCGCATCACAAACATAAGAGAAAGATCTCCCCGTCGTCAGAGGCCCTCATGGTTTGCAAAGAACAGAGCCAGATCAGACATGTCCGTCTATACTGATTCAGCCGTCGACGAAGATGCAATTCCTCTGGACCGTTTGACCGAGGAGCCCAAAATTCACTCGGCCGAACAATCACCCAGCCATGTCATGCAATCTGCTTCTGATCTGATTCGCAAAGCTGTTGATGCTGATGGCGTCTTGTTTCTGGACGCTGCTGTCACTGGCTTCGGCAATCTCGTCAGCAACTCTTTCCTGGACAAGACTCCGGACAACGATCTGGACGCCAATACCAGCGGCACCGATGGCCATCAAACCAGTGAGGGAGAAGAAGCTATACCTCACGTTCTCGATGCTGATGATCAACCATGTCCAATCCTTGGTGCTTCATACGCAGCACGCACTGGAGCTGTGCCCGATCCAGAAACCCGCCGCGACATTTATTCTCAACTGACTCCCAAGTTCCTTCGCTCTGTTCTTCGAAGCTTCAGGGGCGCCAAAGTTTGGAACTTCAATGAGAATGGAGATGACTATCTTGACGAACACCTCTCCGAGAGTCAAAGTGCTTCCGATGGTGGGGCCAGTACTGCTCGCTCGAGCTCAAAGACTAGCGAGGGTTCTAGTACCCGAAGGAGCCGCAAACGATCACTCAAGCATGCCCCTGGTAAGCAACTCGCAGCCGCATTTCCTGGTGTGCGTAGCTTGATGGTCCTCGGTCTTTGGGATCCCCAGCGCAATCAATGGCGCGCTGGTTGTGTCATCTGGTCTTGTACCCCTATGCGCATGTTTTCCAACGAAGGCGAGATGCACTATCTGACTGCGTTCTGCGACGTCATCATTGCCAAGCTTGCTCGCTTGGATGTTGATGTCGCGAACAACATCAAGTCCGACTTCATCTCGTCCATCAGTCACGAGTTGAGGTCACCACTCCATGGTATCCTCGGCTCGGTTGAAGTGTTGCAGGAACAGAATATCGACCACGAAACTGCCGAGATGGTCTCACAAATCGACACGTGTGGACGTACGTTACTAGATATTGTAGATCATCTGCTCGAGTTCTCACGGATCAATGTCCTTACCAAACATACTGGCTCGAGAATGCGTACAAGCCTCAAAGACATGTCTGCATCTTCTGCTGATAAGAGGAGTAGCGACAACGAAGCATCTTCTCTTGACGCAGACATCGCGCTTGACGTTGTCACTGAAGAGGTTGTCGAATCAGCAGTATATTCGTTCTGTTGTTCCAAGGATCAGCGTACTCTGAGCGAAAGAAACGTCACAGTCTCCATGGATATTGAGAGAAACCCTAGCATTTCATGGGACTGCAAGGTCACCGTCGGTGCATGGAAGCGCGTCTGTGTCAACCTCGTCAACAATGCCCTTAAATACACGACTGAGGGTTCAATCAATGTGTCGTTGAAAATCTTACCACCACAAAACAAGCTTGGACGTCCCGTAGCTCAGCTTTCCGTCACCGATACTGGTAGAGGAATGTCCAAGGACTTTTTGCGTACGAAGCTCTTCCGAGCATTTAGTCAGGAGGATGATTTGGCTGAAGGAACAGGTCTTGGCATGAGTATGGTGGCTCGCATAGTCAAGGGTTGGAGAGGTAAAGTTGATGTCCGAAGCAGTAAAGGACAAGGGAGCGTTGTCAGTGTGACCATGCCTATGAAGCTCACACGTCGACCAAAAGGTGCCGATCTGGATGGAGCACGACCAGTCTCTTCAGGTAATGTATGGTCTGGACTTTCGGTACACGTTTTGGGATCACCTGAGGTGTATGATCGCAATGCTGTCGCCATGGGCCGCTATCAACAACTCGTCGCGTTCAGCAAGATGTGCTCAAGCATGGGCATGCATACGTCCGGTCCCACTTGGCAATTCTCTGACAATGCAGACTTTGCTGTCATTGCAGAGTACGACTTGCCGCACCTCATAGAAATGCTGATCTCTTCCCGAGCCAAGCAGAGCACAGAAGACAAATCAACAACAAGCTCGTTGCGAACCAAGCCAATCATTGTATTGTGCAAGGACTACATAAGTGCAAGGACCCTGAGAGGCTCTCGCATCCAACAGCTGGTTCGTGGAAGAGTAGAATATGTGGGTCAGCCATGCGGACCCAACCGTCTCGCTTCCGTCATCAATCGTATACTCGAGCATTCGGAAAATGATCACAGCTGGACATCGCTGCCACACAGCCCACTGACACCCAACAATCCTTACGACTCAACAACTCCTCGCTTCGATACGTGGCGCGAATCACATACATGGTCTGGTGCATCATCACCGAACGAGACAGAGAGTACGAGAAGATTCACCCTTCGCAGTCGTCGACCATCTAGCGGTAACACCCATCAACCTGTCAGCATAGTACCAGCACAGGAAAAACCGGCAGCAGAAGGAACCAAGTCTGAAGGTCTCGGCGTGGAAACTCCAACACAAAGTCTTCCCGAAGTCGCAGATGGCGCTCTGACAGCCGCAAGTCTGGCAGAATTGGATCAGCCAGCTTCACAAACACGCCATCAAAGTGTTGTCAGTATGTCCAGTGTAATACCGCCGCACAAGACCTCGAAGCCTTGTCTTCTTCTCGTCGACGATAATCCGATCAACCTTCAACTCCTCGTTACGTACGCCAAGAAGAATGGCCACGCCATGCACAAAGCATCTGATGGCTCGCAAGCCGTGGAGGCCTACAAGAATGCTCACATGGAGGCGACAATGACAGATAAGCCAGAAGTTGTCTTGATGGATATCTCCATGCCTGTCATGGATGGGTTTGAGGCTTCGAGACAGATTCGCGCGTTTGAGAGGCAAAAGGGATTGAAACCTGTAGTCATTATTGCATTGACTGGACTGGGTTCTTCAGAGGCACAACACGAGGCATTTGTATCAGGCATCAATTTGTTCTTGACGAAGCCGGTAAGGTTGAAGGAGTTGACGAGGTTGTTGGGCACTATTAAGGATACTTTTGGATGAATCTGAAAAGGAGGTCAGAGAGACAAAGGTGGCGGGCATATTATGATTTATACGACCAGGGCATAGAAAGGGAATCTGAAGCAGGAACTTACAGATGGTAGAGAGGGACTACACATACCAACAGGGTACCACAGATACAGAAGACTGGCACCAGTCACCACGTCAGTATCAAAGAGCATCAACAGCATGCATTTCATCTTAATACCAGTTCCGGCTCTTCTCTCCTTGACCTGCCATGAACTGTTGCAAAACAACATCCCAACCAGGTGCATCATGATGCCAAGCTTGTCCTAGCGGCTTCATCGAAGAACGAATGTGCTTGTTGACATCGAATGCCCATCCAACCAACACCAACACAATTACATTGACCTGCCACCCAACACCGCGGCTACAAAGCGCTTGCTTCCTCCTGAAGCGTCCATGCATGTAGAACACTTGAAAGAGTAATGCTGCTGCAAATCCCAAAGTGACACTATTTCCTCTCCCAGACATTGCAGCCCTGACTCGTTTTTTTTCTGCTTCTAAGCCACGTTTCATCACATCCGTGTCTTGCCTGATCCCTCCAAGAGTCAATTCATCTTGCAAGACGGCCACTATCACGACAGGTCTTCCTTCACCTCTGCTCTCACTGGCATTCTAAACTCATCATGCAACATTGGAACAAATTCACCAGCAACGCAATCGCTGTTTTTGCCTTGATTGTCACTGCCTATGCATCTATATCATCAATACCAACCACCTCTAGCGATAACAAAACTTTTCTCGCTCCCTTGATCGAGACCTGTCCACCAGGAAGCACCTCTTGCGGCAAAGTCCCCGGCAAATACCTAGTCCTGCTGCGGCAAGACTACACTCCATCAGCCCCTCTCAGTTACATAGCCACTCACCTCCACCTCCACCCAATCAAAGAGTGGGGTCTTGAATGGATAGGCACCGACAATTACATTGCCAGCAATGTTTCCTTGTACTCGATAGATTTACTTCGTCGCGACCTGGGTGTCGAGGAGATAGACGAAGGATGTTGGTTTCAAATGTCTCTGGTCGATGTATGTCGCGATCCAAAGTTGAGTGCAGAGGAACAGAAACAATGTGATGAGGGTAAAGAAGTTGTGGTGGTGGATTGTGGAGAAACATCGTTGTTGTGGTTGACGGAAAAGGAAAAGGAGGATTGTGTTGAGCAAAAGAGGTTGGTCAGTTTATTGGAAGATCATGGTCAAGGAGAAATTTCAGTGAAAGATGAGCTGTAAAGGGGTTTGGAGTTTCGTCGTGCTTTTGCTAGATAATGTGTCTAGGAAAGGGAGTCTGTTACGCAACCCTCGCCAATCCATATAAATCATCTACAGTGCATGATTTTCTCCATTTCCTTCCCCATTTTCAACTTCCCTGTCGCCACAGAATTTCGTTTCTTTCCTTCTCCGTCCAACCCTCCAAGTTACACAGATCCATCCGCTGATGACAGTCCTTTTTTTCTTCGTCCTCCGTCAACCACGATTCCTCACAGATCCCAACATCGACTTCCTCATAACAAAGTCTATTTCTCTCTTCACTCAACCCAGGTGTTCTGCACGGTACAATCCCAACCTGTATTCCCCTCAAGTCAATAATTTTGGTATATTTTCTCTACTCCCGGGTCCCTTATGACGATTTCCATCAAGTCAATAGAGAACGGAGCAAGAAGAAATGCCGAGCCTTTGGCTTTCGCAGGATCAATTAGGTAGATGTGAAAGCGCTGACACGTATGCTTGAAGTGCAGCGAGTCATGCTGTAGCTTGGGTTCAAATGAAAAAGTATACAAAGATGAGTGTTGGTTGCCTGAACGCCGAATCTTGCAATAGTCGCTGCAAATTTGAGTCTGGCCAACAACAGCGGACACCATTACGGAATTCATAGCAGTGAGACGACAACGCATTGAGGGGTCCATGGATGATTGGTAACAAAAATAACATTGTATCTGCTCTTCTCTGAAAAAATAAAAATGTGTTCATCATTCATTCCGTCCACGCTTCCATAACCTCAACACCGTCTTGTCGTCAAAAGACCTTGGACCGCCGTCTCATCATCTGCAAGCAAACTTTTAACGCCCACTGTTGTTGTAAACAATACGGTTGGGACTACCACTGCGAAGATCAGTGCCCTGACCAGTAGTAGCCAAAGCAACAATCCTATCAGTAGTAGCAGCGGGAGAACTCAATCCAGACTCCAGACCCTTGAGATAAAGAGCAAGACCCACAACATGAGGGCAAGCCATCGAAGTACCAGAAATAGTGTTGGTGGCAGAGTTCGAACCAATCCAAGCAGAGAGCACATTGAGTCCGGGAGCAAAGACATCGACAGTGCTGCCAAAGTTGGAGAAGTAGGCACGGGAGTTGTCGCTGCCGATTGCGCCGACGGTGAGGGCGGACGAGGCAGAGGCGGGGGAGGTGCGAGAGGCATCGATGGCTTCGACAAAGGCCCCGGTGCGGGGATTGCTGACTCCGTTGCCGGCGGCGACGACGGAAAGGACGCCTTGCTGAGTGGCGGCGTTGACGAGAGAGTTGAAAGCGGTAGAGACGGAGTCCTCGGAGCCGAGAGACATGTTGATGACGGACTTGCCGGCACGACCCTTGTTGATAATGTCATTGGCAGCCCACTCGAAGCCCTGCATGATGGTGGAAGTAGCACTAGACNNTGTGGCACTCATTAATATATGTCTGGGAAACTGAATATGAATGTAACTTACTCCGGAAGCACCAAAGACCTTGACGGAGACGAGGTTGGCCTTCTTGGCAACACCATAAGTAGCACCACCGATGGTACCAGCAACATGAGTGCCATGACCAGCATCATCAATGTGAGAACCGCCGACGAAGTTCTGGCCAAGAGTGGCACGACCACCAAACTCTCTGTGGTTGATGTTGATGCCAGAGTCGATGACATAGCCGTAAGTGCCAGCACCGGCAGATGTGTCATAGTAGTAGGTGTTGGCAGCGTAATTGCGCTGCGAGATGCGACCCAAGCCCCAAGTGCTGCCAGTCTGAGATGTAATGGCAGTCATGTAGATGGGAAGATCCTCCTCAATCACAGCGACCTCATGTCGAAGTTAGAACAGTGCCATCTCTAGATTTTATTCAAAAACACTCACTTCGTTGCTAGCCTTGAGCTCAGCAATAGTCTCCTCGTCGAATGAACCAGCATAGGCGTTGAAGTCTGCAACCTTGAAGACCTTCAAGTCCTCCTCAACGGTACCATTCTCCTCACGGCGGTAGATACCACGACGGTGAAGATCACCAGCCCAATTGATGTGCTGAATACCGACCTCAGGATCGATACCGGGCTTGAGGGTGATGATGTACTTCGTAGTGGCAGGAGCGGCGGCAGCATCTTGAGGAACGGGAGCAGCCATTGCCAAACCGGCAATGGCGCCGAGAACAGCAACACTCTTCTTCCACATGGTGATGATCGATGATTGAGAACAGGGAGCGATTAGGATTCGAAGGATCGAGGTTGGAAGATGAGATGATTTTCTCGAGGTTCGGTCGAGAGGTCCTCTTTATACATGATCTCCGTCTCAGCGTATTGATATCGTCCACTCTCCTGGTGGTGTGCTCAAGCGGGCATCTTGCCAACGTCGCTTGTATGTCGGAACATGATGTTCTTGGTCGTTAGCTTGTTGTGTGTGCCAGTGCTATACGAAAAGAGAAGGTGGCAGAGTCTACAAGGTTCAAGGATGCAGTGTCACCTTCTTCATCAGTATATGGTTGACGAGAAGTTGTATCAAAGGCCAATAGGGCAAGGCCGTTAGATTCGAGAGGCCGTCCTTGTAGCAGTCGGCTGGTTCCTAGTCACTTGTCGAAAGTCTTGACAGACGATGGTGTCAAACCCTGGAAAGATTGATAGACAGGGGCTTGAGATTGGTAGACCAACTCTAACCTTTTTGAGAAGCTCATTAGGCATGAAGTTGAGATATTGCGGTGGGTAGATTGCGAGGTCGGTGAATATCACATTGCCAAGCTATACCAAGAACATTGGCGTTGTTTAACGCGGGGCGGTGTTCGTGTTTCTTGATCTCTTCTTCTCTCGGCGCTCGAAGCAAGCTTGCGTTAGAGGGCTGCAAGCTTGACTTGTGATTCGCCAGATGGCTCCGAGATGTCCTGGTATTGGACAAGAGGATGCGGGTCGGCCCTCGCCTACCGTTAGGATACGGTCGTTGGACGACTTCAATGAAGTCAAGTACCCTCATGGTCAAAACCTGACTGTGATAGTCCCGAGGTATATAGCTGATCTTTGCTTGGAAGCTGAAGAATAGTCTCCCTCTCGGCCGTAGTGTTGAATGACCATTGGCGAGAAGTAGTAGCGCAGGCACAGCCGTCTCCTGCCAAGTCACGATTTGGCGATCACATTGCCATCAATATTCTCGATGTTCTCGACTGCAGACTCGTAGATCCACCTTGATAAGAGGCGCGAGCATCTGCCATGCAGCACGCAATAGAATACGATAAGAGGATGCTGATCATGTGCGGCGTTGAATGTGGAAGCCATGCGGTTGTAGCGGTTATGTATAATACACCTGCACGAGTGGCAAGCAAGTGCCACTGAATTCGTGATAGGGAGAGAGCGGAAGAGAGAACATCCTTGGTCTATTCGTCATGGTTAAACTCGATCAAGAGTACCAAGATGGCCGAGACAGCAGCACATGCGTGGTATTCAAGCATGTCGACACGATCGCCAATCGTCGGAAACAGAGTCCAAGACGAAGCAGAATGCTGAGGTCGGAGCTGATAACCTTGATCATCCAGGATTCGACATGTGCGCAACTCTGTCGATCAAAGTGTATCTAATCATCGACACGAGGTGCTCTGAGCCGCAATGTTGTTGTTAGCAGTACACGCGAGAAGACTGGCGGCGCGTTGGAGCGGTTGACAAGACATGTTTCCCAAGCGGCCAAAAGTCGTGACTTCAGACGACCTGCCTTTGCCGCCACCGCCGCACTACTTCTCCAGGAATGTACGCCAACACCACATGGACAACCACTTATGCAACCACGTATCCACCAAAAGCTGCACCAAAGACTCCATAGGATATAGCCAGCGACCACCACAGTGCCCATGAGTATGACGAAGCCGTGCGAAAAGCTGAGATCTCTTCGGATGCGTACAACAAACTCAAGACAAGATGCAACAAGACCGCAACGCAGCCATAAAAGTCCGCTGTGTTGATGTAATCCTTGTTCGTTGAGCCCCAGTATCAGTCGTCGCAATCTGAACAACGAAGCGAGCGAGACTGAAAATAAGGCTTGAAGTAATCAGGAGAGCGAGGCCAACTTCAATTCCGCTCTTCAAAACGTCCAGTACATTGTCCATCAGAGTTTTTAGTCCGAGGTCAGTGAGGCTTTCCGTCACTACGTATCCCTCGAGTATTGTTTTGGCAAGTTGCGACAATTGAAAGTATGGGAGACGTTGAGTGTAAAAGTGTGATAGGTAGATCTAAAAATGTTCCAGTCGCCAAGACACATTCTCATGCAACAGCAATCTCCCGGGAAAGAGCATTTGATATGGTCCACGCAAGTCGGCAGAGTCACGCCTCCCAATTCATATCAGACAAGGAGATAGGATCCTGGAGCTCTGGGATACCTGGAATTCCAATTAAAATCTCACGGAATCATGGTCGAGTGGGCGACCCTGCTTGTCAGACCTGAATCGTTCAGAAACGTCGTCGGCAGTATCATACATGATCCATGGATATTGACTTCTCAGTCAAGGTACGTCTTCAGCTGATGAACTATGTGTATATGGAAGTAGTGCGAGAACAATATTGACATATGAGGCTACTTAAACGCGAGACTGAGTCAATGTGTGGATGCTCATGAGTAATATCTAGCTCAAAGCTATTCTTAACACTGGATATGCTGACATCAATACTATTTCATTACAACAACTTCGATCCACAGAGTGATGATATGGATTCCTTAAACAGTAACACCAAAAGGTGCAACATTAGGATCCAATGCTTTCCACAAAAACGGCATACCTTGGCTCAAACCTTTCGAGTCAAACTTTCTAGCCTTGACAGTGTTGCTGAAGGAATCCATAGCACTCTTGAAAGTTGCAGCTGCAGTTCTAGTGTTTACGTTCATGCGCTTAAGCATAGCGGCGTCGTCAAACATGTGGCTCACTGTANNTCACTTAATTAGACGGATACACATCGAGAACAACGGGGAGATAGTCAACTTACGTGTTCGGTTGGTGCCAGCGAGGTAGTTGCGCGAGAAGAGTGCGTTGACACTGATCTGTTCCTCGGCTTTCTGGAGTGGAGGAAGGAACGCAACAAGGTTGGTCACACCCTTCTGCTTCGGAACGGAACTGTACAGGGACATTGCGTGGAAAGGAAGGGTAGCTGAAGCGGACATGAGCTCGTTGGTGTTGACAGTGTGGTGGGCGGTCGACGAGAGATGAGCCNNTGTCGACATTGTCAGATAGGGTTCACAAAGTGCTGAGGCTCGCATGCTTACCATATGTGTCAACACATCAACAAGTGTAGTCTTCGTCGAAATCGCAGCTGGGAAGTCCATGACCTTGGCAATGCCATTGCACTCCTTGACCCAAACCTGAATCTCCTTGTCCGCTACCACCACCGAATCTTGTGAGTAGTAAGAGTTAATGAAGGAGCTCATGAAGGTACGCTGGGCCTCATAGATGACAGAAGCATCCTCGTAGTAGGGGAAGTTTTTGAGTTGTGGGCCAACCTTGGAGTTGATCAATCCGCGTTTGGTCAGATCGTTGAGGAATGTTCCCGATTGGAAAGCACCACTACGAGTAAAGTAGTAGTTACTGCTGTAGTTTTGTGCAGACTGGTAAGTGTAAGGGAATGCCAAGTCCACGACGCCGCCAGGGGCGAACAAGATTTGCTGCAAGAAGTCAGATAATGCTCGAAAACAGGAAGAGTCGAATGAGGATGGATCACTTACAGCTGCCAGAGGCTGAATCGCAAAGACTTGGTACATCACTNNGTAGGATAGTGGTTAGCTAAGTGTTGGGAGGGGATAACCAGAAAGCTTACATCGATCAAGCACAGCCTTGACAGGGTGATCGTCGCTCAAAGTTCGGATGGCTGCCATGTAGACAATATGAACGACTTCATGGGTTCTAGCCAAGTGCTCCCACTGCGCAAACCACAAGTCACAGACGTTGTACATGATCTTTGCAAGCAACCAGTCATTAGGGCTGTCAGCGGGTGTGTAGATCAGGCTTGCGCCTTGGTTTGTACGAATGGCAAGAGGGAGGAAGTCTCCAGAGGTCTGGTTGATGTAGAAGTAAGCGTCCACAGCGGCCGAGTAGCGAGCTTCAGTAGTGGGTGCGAGTTTGGCCTGATCTCTGTAGTCGGCGTAGAACAAGCGACCAGACGTGAACAGCTGCTGCAATGTCATGCCGGTGATGTTCTTCGAGATCTTGTCATCGACCTTGAAGTTCAGAGTATCTTTGCTCGAATTCAGTCTGCGGATCTGGTAGGGGCTGAGAGACAGACGCTCCATGGAGAACAACAGATCTTGGGTGTAGTTGGTGAGAATGCCAGGTATCGGACCAGTAGACAAAGTGTTGGTCCACTCATCGTCGTAGAGGAGTGTATAGTCCGCCAATGTCTTCAAGCCATTGTACTTTCCAACGTCAGAAGCAGCCATTGCCTCGTCCGAGTCGGAGGCACTGCGTTGCGGACCGGTTTCGGCCTGGAGGCTCGAAATGTCGTTCTGGATCAAGGTATTACCGAGGGTACCGTTGGGAAAGAAAGGTCCACCAGCGACGGCCGGTCCATATCCAAAGTTCTTTTGCTTATCCGAGATTGCTCCCGCTCTGTTGGCGGGAATGTTCTTNTGGGGAATGGCATACCAACCAGTGGCAGCCGAAGAAGCAGTGGCCGAAGTGGTCGAGCCCGTTCTTGGGTTGGAGATACCAGCAGCACCAGAAGAGATCTTCGATGCACCTGAAGAAGTAGAGGCTGCCTTGGAGCTTGTGTTGGGTTTGGAGGTACCGCTCGCGGAAGACGAAACCTTCAAAGACGAGACCTTGGATGAAGACGAGATCTTCGAAGACGAAATCTTCGAAATACTGACACTAGATGAGGTTGCTCGCTTTTGAATGATAGCAGCATGAACAGTCGCGACCAAAAAGAGTAGAACAAGCAGTGATGCCACTGAGAATCGATGCGACGCCATCATTGCTTCTGACACAGAGCAAAATAGTAGCTATACGAAGCTTCGCAGCGTTTGAGCTGGTCTGCGCCGGCCCGTGTATATATCTATCCATCTTAGCCGTTACTGATCAGCTTGTACTGATGACAATGTTGTCTTGCAATTCAATATCCGCCGTTACAGGTGGAGGATGCCGGTAAGCTGACTGGATATCATCGTTTACAGGCCCACCTCCAGTGAGTCGCTGGCTGTCCAGCACGTCAACACATGGGCGCAAGAAGCAGCAAATAGGCAGTTGAGTGGCTGATCAGCAGGCGTATAGTGTTAACGATTATTCCTGCAGGACGCAGACTATCGCTGACTGCTCGTTCTAGAAGTCGACCATTTAATGACCGTTCGATAGATCAACGGCGAAAGGATTCCCCAGGTGTCCGAGATGATGGGATAGAAAGCTGAACACCTTGAACTGGTGTCCAGCTGGAGGGACCGGTATTTATCAAGAATGCCTATCATGATCAGTGCATATCGAGGATTGTGATTTCAAGCGAAATTCTGGAAGAAGTTGAGGTATAATGTGAAGTGACTCGTTGTACATCGGGCGCTCCTGCCATCAATTTGGCAGAATGTGGGGCATGAACTAACCCGATTAGGTAGTTGAATACTCTGGTCTCTATCCTTATGATAGAGAAAAACCTTGTTATAACAACGTGCCTTCTGCATCTACGTTAGGTTATAGAATAGGAAATACACATCGACACAAACCCTGGTGTGGGCTTCCTAATAGGCTGACATTCAAGGGTCGATTGTCGTTGCAAATCGACGAAATATCGTTGCTTCACCATTTGACTAGTCTAGTCTCTCATGAGTCTCATCATAAGAAGCAAACGAGAAAGCTAAGAAAACTATTAATTGCTTCTGTCGTGCGGTCTCAAGGATCCCCACTATCTACCGTAAGTGAAGACATCCTATCGTCATGGACACTGCGTAGACCTGGCCGTTGAGCGAACGCCGAGTCTCCAATTCTCCCGGTAGCCTGATGGCCGGCCTGCATGTTCTTATCAATCTGACAACAAAAAGGTATGGATGGCCGAAATTGACTGCTTTCTACCTTCCTTAGTCTCTTCGAAGCAGAGAAACGTCTTTCTGGTTGTAGCTATCGTCGGACTGCCGGTGTTGTGATTCTGGCTCGGGCTCGCCAGGCACAGTTCCACTATGGAGTGTCGTAGATTAACTAAGCACGGTTTCATGCTTCTTTTCCACTCTTGGTGTACTGTTTCGACCTGATTGAGCGCCATTGGCACTCATGTGCGCGCGTTACTGTGAGAATATCACAGCTTCGCTGGCTATACTGTCTAAAAAGTCCGTCTGCTGGAACTTCGGAGCTGCTCTGCTTTTGCTCGAAGCTCACAGTTCTTTTTTGTTTCTCGGCAAGTCGCTGTAGATTCTCACGAGCTCTAGCCAAGTCTCTCTCGGTCATGCTCAACCCTTCCGCTTCGGTATGCAGTGTTCGTCGCGCCTCTTCCAATATCTCACCCAGCAACGATACTGCTTCTTCAAGCTCGAGTTGTGTATAAAACAATGCTAGCGTTAGTCTAAGAGCCGAAAGCGATATCGAATCGTTGCATCAAGTCCCGAATGAGGAGGTATCAGCATAATGCTCGGCGATGTAACTAGCATAGAGATGATATCCGTTCCTTTCTCGTCCCTCGATGACCAATCAGGGGATAATTGCTGCTCTTTAACAGAGCGGTAGAATGAGAAGTGTACAAGATGTATGCAGGCCTCCTTGCTGCTTTCTCGGGGCTGTCGAGGGCAAGGTACGTGTGTGCTAGTCTGTCCATGACGATGATCTGAACAAGACTCTTGGGAGCCATAGATAGGGTATTCAACTTCACTACCTCTTCGAGCAACGGGAGCGCCTGGTTGGGTTTCTCAAGATCGAGGTAGACAGCAGCCAGATTATCCATATTGGCCAGACGTGTAGGATCATCGGGCAAAAGTGCTTTGGATCTGTATTCATGCACTTCCTCAAGCAGTGTTGCTGCACGATCAGGCTTTCCAAGTAGGCAGTATGCGCGTGCAAGATTGTCAAAACTCTCAAGGCGGTGCGAATGGCTGTGTACTGTCGACTCCGACTTGAGCATAACGACTTCCTCCAGCAACTTTACAGTTGCGCCAGCCCTGCCTAGGTTCATGTATGCAGACGCTAACCATTCCATAACATCGATTCTGGACGGAGAGTCAGATGGGTATCCTCCTTTGGACACTTAAGCCTTTCTTCGAGCAAAGCCACCACTCGCTCATCGTCGCCCAGACTTTGATGAGCTCTCCTAGATCACGCAAGAGATTGGAAATGTCCAATACATCAAGATCCTTGAACTGTGAGCGAGAGTCGTACAGCGACTCAAGCAACGTGGCCGCGTCTCGAAAGTTACCAGTCTCTTGATGTATGGTGGCCAAGAGCATCTGTGTCATGAAAATCTCCGAGCTTCCGGGATCGAACCACTGAGCTGCAGAGTTTACAACCTGTTCCATACATGCTCGCATCTCTTCAAGTCTGATCAGGTTCCGTAAGCACTGTGCTTTGGCGTACTGGAGGATTTTGTATTTTGATGACCATGTGTAAGGCTGGAGCTCACACGACTCGGCTAGCAATTCCAATGTCGCCAAAGACGTTGTGTTGTTTCCAGCGAAGTAAAGCTGCCATGCCATGCGAAAGAGCGCTCTTGCAACGTCGAGCAACATCTCAGGCTGGTCTTTACTTTCACTTCTGATCCGCAAGCAGGTCTCGATATGTGGCCGCAGTCCTGGAGTGTGAAGGCGCCACGCTTTACTGTAGTCTATGGACAAAGCAAGGATAGACAGAGTTTGTTTCATGGTGACCTGTCTTTCGACTTTGCCCATACGAGTAGGTGCCCACTCATGGACAAGAGGATGCATTGAAATCCTATCGCTATCGATCCTGATGAGTGAAGGATCTGCAAGGCGTACACAAGCAGCGCGAAATCTCGAGATCTTCTGGAATTCGACCAGACCAGTTGAGCGTACTTGCCCGTAGTGCCAAGTATCAGGATGATCAATATCACCATCGTCGTATCCTCCGAGCCGACTATTGGTGCCGTGAGGCTCTACCGAAGGGTGGTCATGGTTGGTGGTTGTTGACTCCGCAAGGATCATTCGCGCGCCAGCAACTTGTGGTAAGGTAGTGCAGTCTGATACTGTAGCGCCATGGATTGCATCAGCAACAGAGATTTGCCTTGAGACAATATTGTCTGCTTCGTCATCCAGACCCTGTCTCGAAACATCCATCCTTTGGTCTGAGCAGATATTATCAGACTTCTGCTGGCTTGCATTCGGAGTAGTGCATTGATAACGTCCCTTCCAAACGCACACCCCACTAGTATCTTGTTAAGGGCTGTCAGAGCGTCCTGATTCCTGATGTTGCCTGTGTAACTGGCGGCGTTCGATGTTAGACATCATGCATAGCTGCAGCTGTTGACATAGATTTTCTTCCCAAGCGAGCGCCCAAAGGTCTTCAAGTTTGTGACAGTTATCGGAAGCTGTGACAAAGATGTTCTCGTCGACCATCTCTTGCATTACTTGCACCTCTCAACGATGAGTGAAAGCATCGCAAGTGGCTTTGACGCGCACGAAATGTGGACAATAATGATGGCTATATCCTCTATTGCAATCTCACACCCGCCTGTCTGTTCTTCTTCGCCGTAGCGCCAACAGCTTCATTTGTGCCCGTAAAGCCCAGCAACGACTTTCTCTGCCTATCATCCTCTTCCTGCTTCTTCTTCATGCGCTTCTCAGTCTTCTGCTTGCCACTACCTTTACCGTGGAATCTATGACTGAGGTGCTTGAACGCTTCCTTCTGATTCATCTCACGACCATCCTCGTCATTGTAGCGGAGCTGAACATTGGGCTTGTACGAGCGCTTAAAGTGCTCGGCTTGTAGTTGTGCGAGGTAGGCGTCTCTTTGCTCGTTTTGCTGGCGTTGGTAGTTTTCACGCTCACGGTGAGACATGCGATCCCAGCGACCAGATTTGCGGTCGTTCTCGCGCTCTTCTTTCGTTTTGCGATCGTATTCGTCGACGAGAGCTTGGTTCTCGGCGAGGAACTGTTGTTGGGCGCGGACTGCTGCGTTGGCCTTGTCGGCTTCGCTGTCTTGGACGAGACCGCGTTTGCGAAGCATGTTGAGAATGCCTCCTGCTCCGGATGTCGCATCTTCTTCGTCCTCGAAACCTGTTGATGTCATGGCTGGTGGAGCAACTGATTCTCGTTCTTCGGCTTCGCGGCGGGCACGAGCGTCTTCCTCGTCTTCGACTGCAGCGTATGACTCTTGCATGGTTTCATCTTCATCCTTGACGTGTCCGAGGGCAGGTGTCGAAGTGGCTCTTGTACGCTCATCTGCTGAATCTGGTGATTGTGGACGTCTTAGATTAGAGACAAACTCAGTAGTCTCATCAATGACAAGACCGGGTTCCTCATCGTCCTCGGCAGTGTTCATGGGTGTTGCGGATTCTTCTTCACGAATGCGGCGAGCCAGCTCAGCAGCATCGGTCTTCTTACGCTTCTTCAATGCTTGACGGCGTTGCTCTGCCAGCTTGGCTTGTAGATCGTCATCGTCAAAGGTCTCAAAGGTACGTTTCTTAGCAGCGCCGTTTAATGCTGGTTGACCATCAACGTCCATCTGGTCTCCTGAAGATTGTTGTGTAGGCAGAGGGAAGATGTCGTCTTCGTCAACAGCCTTTGTGCGGCTAGTCTTTGCCTTCTTCGGCTTCTTGGGCTTGCGAATTTTGGCAGTAGATGGGTCTTGATAGTCCGAGATGGGTGTGTCGTCCTTGAGCTCGTCCAGACTGATCTTGATGCCCTTGACGCCGATGCGCTCTCTNTCCGCGGCTTCCCTTCGAGCCGCAACGGCTGCTTGGTCGATTGCGCCAGATGTATCCAAGGTAAAGTTCTTCTTCTTCTTGCCCTCAATCTCTTCGTCGTAATGCGCCAGGATAGAACGATTGTTATCATCCATGTCGTTGGGGTTGTATACTGGCTTGTTCTTCTTGCGCTCCAGCTTTTCCTGTAGTTGCTCCTTTGCGCGTAGGTCCAGGTTCTCAAGCTCGTCGTCCTCACTCTCGTCGCCGATCGCAGCATCCTTCAAGGTCAAGATTTGCTCTCCTTCGGCGTCAAACTGATCCAGCTCGTGTGCAACCTTGACACCAGCCAGGTCCTTGGCAGAGTATTCTGCTTGTGCCTGACGCTCGAGTTCAGCCTGCTCTTCCTCATACTTTCTTGCCTGCTCAATCTTCTTTTGACGCTTCTTCTGTTGCAACAACCAGGTCTTTGTGTCCATGTCTGCCTCTTCTGCATCACCCAAGCCCTTTCCTTCCAGCTTCGCGTTCCGTAGCTCAACATCGCGGGCTCTTTTGATAGCTTCCTTGCGAGCCAGGCGCTCTTGTCTTGCCTTCTCTTCGTCCTGCAGCCTCTTCCAGTTGTCACCAGCGGCAGCCTGGCGTTTCTCGAGTGTGCTCATGTCATCGGGGTCTGACTCTTCTCCGTCGTCTTTTGATTTGAATTGGAGGCCGTCTTCGCCGGGGACGGGCAAAGGCGCAAGGCCCATGGCGACTCTGATCTTGTTGGCATCTTGGATTGCGACGGCGTCCATGGTGGTGGCGTGTGAGGGTGTGAGGGCTGTCGCGAAGGAAATGGTGGGTGGGTGACAGTCAGATGGGTAGTGTCGACTTCAGCTAGAGTGAGTGGCAGCAAAACGACAGGCAGGCGAGTGACGAGAGCTGGCTTGAGCAAGTCGGACGAATGTTCAAGAAAGCGCGTCGGACTTTGGACGTCGCTAAAGCCGGCGGCGTGTCCCGGCTTGGCTCGTGCATGGAAAAGTTCTATATCAAGGTCGCAAAGTTTCTCTCTTCCTCTTCTCTTCTCACAACAAAACCTGTGTTCAGCGATCCTGGCGTCTTCTTCGGGGGACTGTTCGGTCGATTGCTGTCCAGCTCGACTTTTATGGAGCCATCAGATTATTGTGATGTCAATTTTCCGGTCGACAAGTTTGAGAACAATGTGGCCCTGGGACAGCGCCTGAGCTCGCTCCGGCTGAGCTCGGCGTGTAACTTTGGTCAAGAGCGTCATATTCCTGATCCCTTCGCTGAGGCCGTCGGCTTGTGAAGTTGGGGAAAAACCATGACTTGCTTACATCTCGTGATGAAGTGTATATATTTGAAGTGAAGCGCCAAACACGCCTGTCAACACGAGCTGCTAGGGCGTTCATCCATCTGCTGCTTGTGTCGCGTGCTGCTTCTACTTTTCTTGCTGCAAAACAAATGCGCCTGGGGATTGAGAGGCATGTCTGCATGTCGTTCTTGACAATCACATGCAATGCCTGTCATGGCAATTGATCTGCACGATAGTTCGCGAGGCAGGAACGACTCTTGGTCTGGCCGTTCAGGCGCTCCTTCCGTACGCCGGACGATTCGTCTCATGACGTTTGTCGTTGCTCCTTCCACCAATGTAAACTTCCACATACCCGTCAATACCAACCGCGTCGTCTCTTCTTATTATCCAACCATGCGCGTATTCTTCCCTTGTCATCGCCGAACCAAGTGAAGGAGCTTCTTCGGAGCCATTTATGAGACCCGCCGTCGTCCCAACTGTGTCACGCACGAAAAAGACTTTGGTCACCCCGCACGTCTGCGCTGAAGAATCGCATTTGCTTCTCACGCCATTCTTCTTTCCACCCATCGCATCCTACCCAGCGCCATGGTGAACTTTCCAGGTCGCGCGTCTGATGAGCAGACCAAGAAGCTGAGAGACCATCGGCAATGGCTCCACGACAACATCCGCAACGACTGGTCACATCCCGACGCTCCTCACCTTTTACCTTCTCACTACCACTCGACCCAAGTTGCTCCTGGCGCCTCGTCCACAATCACTATGCCTGAGCTCACCCAAGATGCAAGAGTCCTCGTCAACGACCACATCAAACAGTTTCCTATCCCCGACACCATGAGGCCGGTAGCTGCCTTGGCATCCAACTCCTTGCAATGGCACGAACGCTACTACAGCGATGGCGAAGACTCGGCTTCGGACGACGACCGCGACAATGCGACCCCTGCCTTCGACACACCCGACTCGGTTGGTGCCAACATAGCAGCCCGCAAAGAACGAAGGCGTAGACGCCGCCAGCAGAGATTTGAGAATGAGATGCAGGAGAATATCGGCCTGGCCCACTGGAGTGCCCAGAGGAATTTGTGGACTGGCGCGAGACCCAAGAACGAGGTGCAGCCGACGCAGCCTTCGCCTGTGCAGCCTCATTCTGCTCAGACTCCCTCGCCAGCTTCCACTCTGGTTGAACCAAAAGTTCCAGATGCGGATCAAATGGTCCCCGGAGCACAAGCACTCTTTCTGAACCCCATTCGCGACCGCATCACCGAAAACTCATACTCGGACATTTACACAAAGATCATCTTGCAAAGTCGCACTCCCTCCATCCCCATCAGCCTGAAGGATGTTACTCGCTCCTTGGTTCAGGGCTGGAAAGAAGAGGGCCAATGGCCACCGAAGCCCACACCAGCAGAGCCTAGCCTGGTCAAGAAGAACGGTCATCCCCACATCAAGGGCGTGCTGAACAAGCTGGGCAGACCGTTTGGACTCAAGGGACAAGGACTTCNNCCTATTGAAAAGGGCTCAGCACAGGGTCAAGTTTAGGATGACTGCTCTGATGCAGATGTCGCAGATTCCTACACCACACACAAAGCTCGCGAAAAAAGCGTACCAGCCCAAGCACACTTCGCTTCTGGAAAGGACGAGCTGCCAATCAAGGAGCTACAGACGACCAAGACTTCGGTCCACATCCCAATCGCACGGCTGCCATCGCCTTCGAAGCGGAAGTAGACAAACAAAAGGTAGCCGACGTGCATGTCATCAAACCTGAACTCGAAGCCTGGCTTGATTACAACTCCTTGGCGGCTCAAGAGCGTGCATATCGACGTGCTAACGAGAGCTTCCTGGACCACACTCAGAGGCTGGGCAATCTGCTTCTACCACACAAGAAGGAGACCGCGGAACAGTTTCAAGTCAGACTCAATGTTCGCCGTCGGCTACCAGATAAGACCTGGCACGAGTTTCGGGCTAGATTGGAAGCTCATCACGCCAGGGTAAGCATCGATCATGATGCTCCAGCTGAAAAAAGCCGACAAGTGGGAGACGGTCAAATGGAAAGCTCACGAAGTCTCGAAAGCTTTGCACATTACCCCTGGCAGGCTCCGTGAGGAGTTTCGTGATGGAGATGAATACGATTGGTATCACTCCGAGCCAAGGGCTCTCTTGTGGCACTTCGAGAGCATCGACGAGAGGAAGAAACTTCTTGCGTATAGAAAGTCGTTGTGGAATGGAGTTTTTATTGGGGGTGCAGGTTGAGATTCCTCTGGACAACCTTCGCTTTGTATGAAGGCTATCGTTTGACGACAGCACAGAAGATGGAGCATCCTTCCTTCACTTTCAGTGCTCGAGCAAGCGAGAGCAAAACTCTCATTCTTTCAGCCAACCAAGTTAACAATACCATCACTAATATTCTTCATTTATCTACAAACAAGCCTGCTCATTTATGCGCCCAATCTCGTCAAGACTCAATCTTTGTTTACACTGTTTAGCAATTCTTGTGATGCACAGCCAGTCTTTGAATGCTCTGTACCGCCGCACTCGGGGACTCGAGATAGTACCTTTATAGTCAACTCTAGCAACAAGTTGGAAGAATCATCAGGGGGTAGAGATTGCATTGGGCAGACATTGTCTCTACTTTTTGAATACGAGTCTTGAGGTCCGGGTTGGTGGAACGTGGCAGAAGAGTTGCATTGGGATACCTGATAGAAATCCTGGATCTCTTTGCAGGAGGTGTCGGTGCTTTGTGAAGTCCAGAATAGCAGAAGCAGAAGCAGCAATAAGTGATGCGAATGAAGAACCAAAGGCACAGCTTGGTCGTGTTTTGCCTCGTGTCTGCGATGTGGAAAATATAATGCTCGGTATGCGTAGATTTATGCATGGTGCACAGAATATGCAAAGCACAGCACCGCCAAACGCGTCAACATATCTGGGGAAACCACCATCACTTCTGCCTCGACTACAACATCCCAAGATAAGACACGAAAGAAACAATGGCGGATGCGAACGCAGAGGAAAAAGCCGATGTAAGTGTTTTGTTCTGTTTGGGTGCGACAAACGGCATTATTCGTCTGTTTTTTTGCCCGCTTCTCGGATTTCTATTCCATCGCATGCGACTCAATCACCATCAATCATCCCTTACGATATCCATCACCATCAACGTCTATCCCCAACCTCATCACCCTCACCACTCTCACCACCCTCCTTACCTTCTATCTCTTCTCCAAAACTTGCTTTCTCTTTCAATACCACACCCTTACTGATACTTCTCATCCCCCACAGCGCCTCAAATCCTCCCTCTGGTACAGCGTCGGCAACATCATCGACGCAATCTCTCTCGATCAAGATTTAAACGCCACACCACAATTCATCGGTGCTTTGACCGAGTTGGTGTGGAGTCAGATACTANCCTCTGGTGCTGATTTGGAAGGGTTTGCTAGGTGAGTTTTTTCATTTTCTTCCTATACTTGTTGGCATTGAAAAGAGTTTAGGAAGGGAAAAGGCTGATGCAAATTTACANGACATGCAAATAGAGATATAGTGGATGTTAAGGATGTGTTGTTGCTTGTGCGTAGGAATGAGCAATTGAAGGAGGTGTTGGAAGAGGCGTTGAAGGAGATTAAGCAGTGAGGATTCTACGAACATTCATGATATACGGATTATGACTCTGGCACCACAACAACAAGAAAGATGACTCGAGATCCCGACATTATCTCTCTTCTATATCATTCATCACTGCCTCTGGACAATATCCATTCTACATGAAGAAGGTTCGTTCTACAACATTATTGCTTGTCAGGGAACCCAAGATTGACCTTTGGAAACAAAATGTCAGCAGATGCAAACATCACCAGCAAAGCAAAAGCACTTACGCCAAAGGCAGGATACACGAAACGGTTGGGAGGATGTGTCTCGGAGATTTTATCCAAAGCCTTGACATCACTAGAGTCAAGCTTGATCAATCTCAAGTTTTCCTCAATCCTCGACGGCGTGACCGATTTCGGGATCACGGAACTTCCGCGGGCGACTNNGTCCACAACATTAGCCAAACAATTCCAAGAGACACAAAAGGCAAAAAGTGGGCAGAGGAAATGCTTACTGTGATAACTCAACAAGACGGTTCCAGGACTAGTATCATGTTTCTTGGCCACCTCTTGGATTTCCTTTTCTTGAAACAGTGGCGAGCCAGTGCTTCCCAGAGGACTGTATGCAGTAACCAAGATGCCCTTTTGTTTGCAGTAATCTACGATTTCTTGTTGAGGCAGATATGGGTGGTTTTCGATTTGGTTGGCTGCGGGGGTGATTTTGGCGTGCTTCATCAGTTCTTCGAGGAAGGGCACTGAAAAGTTTGCTACGCCGATTGCTTTTGCTTTTCCAGCCTTGAGGACAGCTTCCATCTGTTTCCAGGTGTCGGTGTAGGACCAGGTGGTGTCGAGATCGCGGGTGCCATCGGGGTGTTTGGGGAATTTTGGATCGTTGCCGTTGGGGTTCATGGGGACNGGCTGTAAGGGAATTAAAATTGGGGATTGGAAATGATGGATAATGGACTTACGCCAGTGCATCAGGTACAGATCGACTNNGTTTTGTTCGCAATGTCAGTCTATTATTTGCTTTGGGTGTTGGGATGGCGGGATGTCTCTCATACCATAATCCAGACCCAGGGATTTCAGACTGAGGTCGAGGTTCTCCTCTACTCTGGAATGATAGGTACACCATAGCNNTCTGTTTGGACGTGTCAGCTCTGGTTCAATTTTCCGGTCACTTATGAGAGTCGTACTGGTGGTTACAAAGACGTCTTCGCGCTTGATGCCAGACTTGAAGCCTTCAGCCAAACCCTCGCCGACTTCGTCTTCATTGCCATAGACGTATGCGGCGTCAATGTGTCTGTAGCCAACTTTGAGAGCATGCACGACTGCATTCTTGACTTCTCCGGGAGCAGATTGCCATGTTCCGAGTCCTNNGTTGGTGGTTATGAGTTGCAACCTTCAAGCGTTTGATCAACACATCAACAACATACCCAAAGCAGGGATTTTGGCACCGGTGTTGAGTGTAAACACAGTATCAGACATGGTCTTTGGATGCAGGATAAAATCTGGAGTCCTCTTGAGGATGAAGTTTGCAAGTTGAGGGTTCATACTCGTGAGACGGAAGAATTGTTGGTTTTGTTCTACTTGTTGCTTGTCATCGGCTTTTGCAAGCTTGCATGTTGTCTGTACCCCTCCCCCACTTTCTTTCACTGTCTATGCCCTGCTTTCTGGGCAGAAGCTCGAGGATCATTGACCCGAGGGCGAAGCAAACGTGGAGGTCGGCAACTGCTACCTTTGCCAAGCTATCCTCGCTGATACCTTTTTCCGATGTCCACGGAACGTGCTCTGTCGCCCTCTCAAAGAGGCAACTTTCCACGCGTGTTACGGGAACCTGGAGGGTGGCTTGAGGACATATCCAATCGGAGCCTCTACATCTGCGTCATGCGGCAAAACAGTTCCGCCGCTGGAGGATTTGGCTTTTGCTCCAGGAGGCAAGATGATCCGTAGACGTGGATGCCCTAGCATTCAGCAGCCACCTCGACCATATTCTATCGGTGTTGGCGAAAGGACAAGGACAGCGTTGTTTCTGGCGTTCGCCTGGCGAACTGTCGCGAGTGCTGCTTAGATGAAGCCTGGTGTGTCGCCTTACGCTCTGAGTCATCACCAAGCCCGACGACGATCGGGATTTGAGTGTTACGGAAGGTTGGCAAGGTAGGAGTAGTGGTGGAGGAGGTGTGCAAGTTTAGCAGGAGAACCCGAAGGTAGGGAAACAAGTCCCCGAAACAAAGGTAGATAAAAGAGAGACTCGTTCCTGCCTCATGCTTTGGTTTTTCTTTATCATCATCTGAGCTTTATCGTCATTGTCTCTGTTGCATCTATCTCGATATTCAAACATCAACAAATACCGAGAGCAAACACTTGATTTTGTCTCTGAGCACAAAGCTTCCACCACACACATTAACATGGCACCAATCGCACTCGAGCAACCAAACATTGCCGAAAACTTCAACGACCACAGAGACGGCCTCGCCCTCGAAGCAACCTCCGACAACATCGATGAAGTCAATGTTCTAAAGGCCGCCCTCAAAGTAAAAAACGGCACCGCCACGCAAGAAGAAAAAGACATCTACGAAGCCTCCCAATTCGATGCCGACAAGAACAAAGACCAATTCCGCAACTACGAAGATGCATGCGATCGCGTCAAGAATTTTTATAAGGAACAGCATGAAAAGCAAACCGTAGCCTACAACTTGCGCGCCAGAAACCGCTTCCACTCAAAAACGAGAGCGGAAATGACGATTTGGGAAGCCATGGAGAGATTGAACACGTTGATCGACGAGAGCGATCCTGATACCTCATTGTCGCAAATCGAGCACTTGTTGCAATCCGCAGAAGCCATTCGCCGCGATGGGAAACCCCGCTGGTTCCAACTCACAGGCCTCATCCACGATTTGGGCAAACTGCTGTTTTTCTTCGACGCAGAGGGCCAGTGGGATGTTGTCGGCGATACCTTTGTCGTGGGCTGCAAATTCGACGACCGCATCATTTACCCAGGCACTTTTGCCAACAACCCAGATTCCAAGGATCCCATCTACAGCACTGAGCACGGTATCTACACTCCTGGCTGTGGACTCGACAATGTAATGATTAGCTGGGGGCACGACGAATACCTGTACCACGTTGTCAAGGATCAAAGCACATTGCCCGACGAAGCTCTCGCCATGATCCGCTATCACAGCTTTTACCCTTGGCACAAGGAAGGCGCTTACCGCTGGATGATGAACGAAAAGGACGAGAAAATGTTGGCTGCCGTCAAGGCCTTCAACCCTTACGATCTCTACTCCAAGTCTGATGGCATTCCCAAAGTTGAGGATCTCAAGGATTACTACATGGACTTGATTGATGAGTACTTCCCTCAAAAGGTTATTAGATGGTAGAGGCAAGACTCTATCCCATCGATTCTTTTCTTTTTCACGACACCCTTTGTTTGATTTAGCGGCAAGCATGAGGAAGAATTGGTCACAAGACTTTGACTACGATAGTAGAAGATGGAATGGCGTTTGCTTGGATTTTGGTGCTGTCGCTTTACTGTAAATAATGAACTTTTACTACGACTCTTTTTTCTACCTATCCCTTTCTGAGGACCCATACACAATGTAGTGCCACTCAATCTCGTCTCCAGTCAATTCAGAGATGAACTTCAAACCCCGCTCTTCGCGATCCCACAGGAATTCAACAAACAGCAGCTCTCCATCTGGTTTTCTCTATCTCCCAATTTGATCGCTTCCTCGGCCAAGTAGAGAACACAAGTTCACCCCCAATGACTTGTTTGTCGTCCCTTTCCTTGAGTTTTTGATTTTTCGTTTGTCGCAGGTATGGGCCATGTTTAAAGTTCACAAAGCCGTGCGGCAAGGGTGTAACAGACTTGTGACAGAAAGACAAAGGCTTGTCGGGGGTCCTCCACGGAAACCTTTTTCCGCCCGCAAAGCAGATATCATGGAAACGCAGAGACGCGAAATCGAACTTCTGACAGCCATGAAATGCTCGCGATTGTTTACAGTAGAGCCTTCGAAGGCTGAATTGAGTTTATAATGAATGATTGGGGCTTGCAAAGTGTGAGAAGTTTTTTTACGATTATAGGTATGAACAGTGATATACACCCATTGCTCCAAGAACTAAGGTCTCCCAATGTGCCAAGGAAGAATGCTACCAAGCATCTACAACTTCGCTCTCTCATCTCTCTGCGTAACAATAACGACCTTGTAATCACCATCAGCCAATTTTCTTTCATGCATAGTCAATAAAAATCAATTCTGAATCACAACCTTGAGCACCAAATCGCCCTTGTCGTCTTTTNNTGTTTTGCCAGCCATCCCAAAAGCCTGCTCTGCATTTTCCAAACCCTTGACGGTGTGGGTGACGAGTTTAGAGAGATCGGGGCAGGTAGGCGAAGAGGCCAGGGAAATGCCTTCGGGGTATGTGTTTGCGTAGCGGAAGACGCCTACGAGATCGACTTCGCGCAGGGCGGCCGAGGAGATGGCGAGGGTTTGGATGGGGACGCCCATGCCGATGAGCATTACGCGGCCGCCGGGTTTGGTGGANCTGTTGGTGAGGAAGGTTAGTAAGGTGGGTACATAGAAGGGCGAAAGGGAAAGGGGTATACGAACGTAGATGGCTGATTGTACGCAGGTGGGTACACCGGTGCATTCGAAGACGACGTCCACTTCGCCAATGCCATTGACGGCGGCGACTCCATCTGCGGTTTCTCTGGCAATGGCGAGGTTTTCCTCTGTGTCTTTTCCTCGTTTCATGGGTACCACAAAGCCGTGATGCGCAAACCCGTTCTTGACTGCAAAGTCGACTCTTCCAGCATCGATATCTGCAATCACCACCGTCTTTGCTCCTTTGGCCGTCGCAACAGCAGCAGCAAGTAAACCCACTGCTCCAGCACCCAACACTAGACAAGTCTGTCCTTCTTGCATAAGACTTCGTCGGTAAGCATGTATAGCCACACCCAAGGGCTCTAGCAAAGCGCCCAACTCCATACTCATGCCCTCGGGCAACTTATGACACCACTTTGCCGGATGGTTAATCTTCTCTTGCAGCGTGCCCTGGAAATGCGGAAAACTCTTTGCCGACGAGCGAAACTTCATGTCTTTGCAGATGTTGTATCTGCCTTCTGTGCAGCGATGGCAGCTATCGCAGGGCACGCCCACCTCCAATGCTACCCTGTCGCCAGGCGAGAAATTGGAGACTGAGGAGCCGACTGCAGTGACGACGCCCGAGGATTCATGGCCAAGGGTCAAAGGCTCGCGGACGAGGATGTCGCCGTTGCGGTTGTGGTTGTAGTAGTGCAGGTCGCTGCCGCAGAGGCCGGTGCTGTGGATGGCGACTTGGATCTCGTTTGCAGAGGGAGCGGGCAGGTCGCGAGATTCCNNTGGGCTTGGTTAGTGGCTTGTTCGTGTGCGTGTTCAAGTATTGTGTCTGTGAGATGATGACAGAAGTGTTGTCGGAGGAAGGAGACTTAGGTAAAAAGAGACTCAGCGAAGGAGACTAACAATGCGGAGGTCTTTTGCGCCGTGCAGGACGCTCGCTTGTACTTGTGTCGACGACATGATGTGGATATGTGATATGAGTGAGAAGGAGTACAAGATCAATTCACAAAGTAGACTACAGACGAGAAGAGAGGATGAACAGATGATAACAATGTAGAATTAATCGGCTCATTCGCGTCGGCATCTGCTCACCCCCACTCTGCCCACAATTTGGCCCGCATTATCGGCAATTGAAGAGGGGCAGGGGGTGACGATGACCCCCATACCGTCGGCAATCTATCCAAGATAATATTACCCATATCTTTCTGCTCGCCTGATCAACCCTCAACTCTTCAACCTCTCATACACCTCATGGCTTCTGTGCAACAGCTGTTTTCCCTCGAAGGCCAGACCGCCCTCGTCACTGGCGGCACTCGCGGTATGTACATCCTCGCAAGTCCCTTCCACTGCCGGTTACTGACAACGACACCAGGCATTGGTCAAGCAATGGCCATTGCCCTCGCTGAAGCCGGCGCAGACATCCTACTCGTCCAGGCAAAACTCCCTCCGTGCACCCTCTCCACCTCACTACTAACCACCCTTCTGCAGCGCGACGAATCAAACCAATCCACCCTCCAAGAGATCCGCACTCTCGGCCGGAAAGCCCAAATCTACACCGCCGACCTTGCCTCCCGCGACTCTGTCTCCTCGCTCGTCAAAACAGTAATCTCGGACGGTTATCAAATCCACATCTTGCTCAATTGCGGCGGTATACAACGACGACACCCCGCCCACGAGTTCCCGGACAACGATTGGGATGAAGTGTTGAACGTAAATCTGAATTCAGTGTTTACACTCTGCAGAGATGTAGGCGCACACATGCTATCCCGCGACCCCGATCAACACGGCCGCCGCGGGGCCATCATCAACATTGCCTCTTTACTGTCTTTCCAAGGCGGATTCACCGTCCCCGCTTATGCGGCCAGCAAAGGCGGAGTCGCGCAATTGACAAAAGCATTGAGTAATGAGTGGGCCTCCAAAGGCATCAATGTCAATGGCATTGCTCCCGGCTACATTGCCACGGAAATGAACGATGCGCTGATGAAAGACAAGACGAGGAGTGAACAGATTATGGCGAGGATACCGGCTGGCAGGTGGGGCAAGCCTGAGGATTTCAAGGGGCCTGTCGTGTTCCTTGCTAGTAGGGCGAGCGGATATGTGAGTGGTGAGATTTTGACTGTGGACGGTAGTTGGATGGCTAGGTAGATGGGCTTGCTTTGCAATAATTTTAAATCTCTCATTCATCTTTTTCTTGCAATGAACTTGCTTGTTCGCTGCGGGCACAGATGCAACCATATGCATAGATGAACGAAACAAAGTGCAAATGCCTTCCACATTCTTCCCTCGAACCAGATCTGGTCTCATGTGCCTACAACTCCCTGAATCCCTCACTCATGTGCCCCCGCCGACCATTGCATCAACCTTACAAATCCCATCTCGGTAACCAACCACCCAAAACACTCCCCTCGGCGACTCCCCCTCATCGGCCGTCAAACGCCGCCTCATGTCTCGGCAACCAAGACCACCACACACACACGCTCTCTTTCCTCCCCCGCAAAACTCGGCATCTGCAACATCTTTGGTACCTTGCCGACGACAGTGTGAAGATACTCTGTCTTTCTGCTGTCACAACCAAAAGTGCTATTTCCATGTTCCTAGGGTCGGTGGATTGACGCAAAGAGACTGTAAGACTAGGGTCACCCCCACGACAATCAATCTTTTTCTCAACGCTGGTATAAAGGTCTTGTTGCTGGTTTAGATGTAGATTGGGAATTGTAGAGAATGATAATGGGCTAGAAGATAAGTACACAAAGATACCCACCTGAAGAGTAAAAGAGTGCAACGAAGATTTATATCATTGCATATCAATAAGAACACTAAAATTTTGGGCAAGAAAAGTATCGCATTTCTAGTCGATCTATCGAAATGCAAAAACAAAGTTTCTAGATATATACAAAAATATGATGCTTGATGCAAGACAGAAAAGACAACAATGCAGGTGGTATATAGCGAATGTGTGTGTGAAAATGATATGCTCGCAAATGCAACATAAAAATGAGGGCAAAAAAATGGCCAGAAAGGGGAGACTAAATCAATCATCCCAAAGCTCAAAAGAGAATCTCTCCAGGAGAATATGCAAAGATGATTAGATGCGAAGAATTCAAACGCTTAAGAGTACTCCCAAGCAGCAGGAGCACTGGTGTCGGCAACTCTGAAAGCGAAACCAGTGCAAGCGGCAGCGTTCTTGGCAATGGCAGCAGCGTAAATCTCATAGTGGCCGTCGATGGGGCAAGCGAGGAAGTCCTGGCCCTGGAACTGGATGTGCTGGCCCTCCTGAGCAATGCTGAAACCAGTGGACATGGCGTCAGGGCCAGTGTAGGCAGAGTGAGGGGCAGTGAAGCCGAGGCTACCGTCAACGGCAACGAAAATCTGCTGACCACCGGGAACTACGGTGTCAAGGCTGAGGGTGTTGTCGCCGCCGACAAATTGGGTGGAGGTGGTGTTGGAGCAGGTGAGGCCCTCGACATCAGGGCAGTAGGTGTCGGTGTCCTTCAAGAGCCAGAACTTGCGCTCGGCGGCGTTGATGGAGGCATACTGGATCTCGGAGCCAGAGTGGATGGCGACACCGCCAAAGGCACCGGCGGGAGCGGCACGCTTGTCAAAGGGGTTCTCGCCGAGGCAGGTGGCGTACTCGGAAGCACACTGGGCCATGTTGGCAGAGAGACCGTCGGGGCCGCGAGTGGTTCTGCAGGTGTTGTAAGATTCCTCACAGGCACTCTTGCAGGCGGCGTCCTCGGCGGAGCATTGGGCCTGGTTGGCGTGGAGGCCGTCGGCACCGATGGTGGTGCGGCAGATGTTGGTCTTAGCAACGCAGCCAGTGGCAGTGGTGACGGGTGCTGCGAAGGCAGGGAGGGCAAGAGCGAAGGTGGAGAGAACGGCGGCGGTCTTCATGTTGATAATGTTGTGTGTGGGTGGGTGGTTGGTAGTAAAGTGTAGTGGAGCGTTGTAGTGATTGGGCTGTTTGGATGGAGTGGATGTGTTGTGATGATGGAGATGGATTGGGAGGTTCAGCAAGACTCTTATATATCCTTCGAGGGAGTGTTGATTCTATGTGACGACACTGATGTGACCTACCTCTGTCTCTACAGTCACATAGAGATCTACATTAGATACGAAGGTTGTTCTAAAATCAGAACATGAAAATAGAAAGGCATGAGGCAAGATAGATGATGTGCAAACCGTCGGTTGATGGTCGCAGAGCCGGTTCGGCACCCATGAGAGTCTAAATGATGTCGGCCAAGGAGGCAAGGCCGTTTGACGGGGTGCGCCTAAGCTTATTGAGCCTTCCGGAGACTAAAGACATTACGCCCCCTGCTGTACAGTCAAATGTTGTCGAAGTTGAGCATTACTGGCGATATTTTCTTCCGTAGCAGGTCAGAAGTTCTCTTCCGAATCATCCAGAGTTTGAGTTTTGCATTGAGCTTGGCAGCTTGTAGATGAAACCCGGGGTCCATTGCTAAGAATAGCACATTGACCGCCTCCACCTTTACGGGCCGGTCTTCTTCCACCTACGTGATGAGGTTTTCTGGCATGACGATCCCCGTAAAATGTGCACTTGTTCTGTAACGTAGCACTGGCTCCTGTTGAGATGCTAGAGAGATATGGCCTGATATGGAAGCACAAGTTCGGTGGCGAGCGGGGTCGAAGTCGCATCAGATGAAAGTGTCTCATGGACTGTCGTCGATATTGAGAGTGCAATATAAGGCAAGACAAAGCATAGCGCGTGAGTGGTCTTCTCATGACGATCATCCTTGTCCATGCTTCGAGTGATTATAGGGGAGAACAGTGTCAGGGACGGCCTTCACGGATGGTGCATTGCAACGCTGGACGCCGGGATGTGTGAACAGCACCAACAAGTTGAGATTGGTTGCGTGCGTAAAGTGCCAGGACCTCTCGCGATACCCCTGATGTGGAGCAGCAAATCAAGTGACATGGTCATCGTCTCATCGGTCGCCGTCCACGGTGCTTCATATCAAGAATACGAGAGGCCGGTGCTAGCCCAAACTAGCACTATGGCCGACTGCGTTCTTCATGGTCGATTGAGCGTCGTGCATGGTTACATCGAGCCGAAGCCAACAGACAAATAGGCTGGAATTCGACTGGGAGAGGCAATAGCAATATGTGGGATGTTTAGCAAGTCTTGAGAACCTCTAATGGTATCAGGCGAAGAGTTCGGAGAGCGCCTCGACCAAGCTGAAGGAATACAGAGCGCAAACTGCAAGCAATCTCTGTTCGGGAAAGCTCTCGAACGTGAAAAGCGATAGGATTTCTTCAGGAATATGCTGTTTCACTAGCTTCACAAGTATGCCGATGGGATTGCTCATGCAAACCAGAGAAGTGTATTGAGTATTGAGCAGACAGGGAAGCTCTTGATTGAGAAAGAGGAGCTGCCGGTGAGCGGAGATAGCGACGGAGTTTGACCTGCCAAGGCATTTTCCTGCCTCCCCGACGCAAGAAATTCTGGGAAGGCGCGACCAAAAAGTCACCAGCGAGAGCATCAAAGTAATCACACTCTGCACACTCCCTCCGGAATGACTGTCTAAGAGGAGGAGATATACTACAACACAGACATGGCAACCTCAGCAAATCGCACCGTCCTCGCCGAACGACCGACCACAGCACCAACAAAAGCACGCGGACCCACAGCGCCCAGCGACCCAGATGCCACCGAAGTCAAGAGACGCGCTCTCGTCGCACAGAAGCAGTATGGGAGAGGCGACAAGATTTCCACCCGTGGCGTGCAAGACCGAAAACTGCGCGGCAATCTGAGAGCGCTAGAGAACAAGTACAAGGATGCCGCCGTCCAGGCAAAAGACGCCGAGATCCTGCTCGAGAACACTTCTGGATTCCTAGAGACCGAGGGCGAGCTCGAGAGGACGTACAAAGTCAGGCAGGATGAAATCCAGAGCGAGGTTGGCATCGAGACGGCGAAGAAGGGCTTCGAGTTGAGGCTGGACGGCATGGGACCTTACAATGTCGACTACACGCGCAACGGTGTGCACATGCTGCTGTCGGGTCGCAAGGGTCACGTCGCTACCATGGACTGGAGAAAGGGCAAGCTGGGCTGCGAGCTGCAACTAGGCGAGACTGTGCGCGATGCAAAGTGGCTGCACAATAACCAGTTCTTCGCCGTCGCCCAGAAGAAATACGTCTACGTCTACGACCATCAGGGTGTTGAGATCCAGACGCTGCAAGACCACATCGACGTCACACACATGGAGTTCCTGCCCTTCCATTTCCTCCTCACCACTATTGGAAACGCCGGCTGGCTCAAGTACCAAGACACCTCGACCGGCAAGCTCGTCGCTCAGATCCCTACAAAGCAAGGTGCCCCCACTGCCTTTGGCCAAAATCCTCACAACGCCATCCTACACGTTGGCCACCAGAACGGCACAGTCAGCATGTGGTCTCCCAACGACCAGAAGCCTCTCGTCAAAGTCCTCGCCCACAGAGGCCCTGTGCGCTCGTTGGCTATGGACAGAGAAGGCCGCTACATGGTCTCCACCGGCCAAGACTCCAAAATGTCCGTCTGGGACGTCCGCATGTTCAAAGAGGTCAACAACTACTTCCTTCGCTCTCCCGGCTCCTCGGTAGCCATCTCAGACACAAATCTCACTGCCGTGGGCTGGGGCACCCAAACCACCATCTGGCGCGACCTTTTCAACAAGAACCTCGCCGACCAACAAAAAGTCCAATCGCCCTACATGGCCTGGGGCGGCGAAGGCGACCGCATCGAGCGCGTTCGCTGGTGCCCTTACGAAGATATTCTCGGAATCTCGCACAACAAAGGCTTCTCCTCAGTACTCGTCCCCGGTGCTGGAGAAGCCAACCCTGACAGCTTGGAGGTCTTGCTCTACGAGAACCCCAAGCAGAGACAGGAACGCGAAGTCAAGGCCCTCCTCAACAAACTGCAACCCGGGATGATTTCGCTTGACCCAGAGTTCATTGGTCAGCTCGATCGTGCATCCCATGCCCAACGCGAACAAGAAAGAGATCTCGACAGAAAACCCGAGGACCCGCTTGCCAAGATCAAGAACAGGGGTAGAGGCAAGAACAGCAGTCTGCGCAAATACCTGCGCAAGCAAGGCTCCAAGAACATCATCGACGAGCGCAAAGTCAGAATCCAGGAACTCAGGAAAGAGCAGGCCAAGAGGAACAACAAAGCTAGACAGGGTGAAGTCGAGCTGGGACCTGCACTTGCGAGATTTGCCAGGAAGGCTTGAGTGTGAGATGAATGTAATGCATTGCTCGGTGTTATATGTTACACATACGGCGCATATCGGTGTTCAGGAGGCTCAGGGAAAAAGTGCAAGATATCATTTGGCGTTTTGTAGATGTGTAACCTGCATGGGGCGCAGACATGGAATACAACATTATCATCCTGACGGCAGGCAGATTGCCGCACACCCATCATCCAATTCACTCAGACATATCGGCACCCAATATGTTGCTATCTCGAATGCCCACAACCTCAATAAAAAGGTTGAAGCCACGACTTTTGGCCGTGCTGCCAGGGTCGCTCCACACAGGACAAGTCTGGCGAACGGGGCACGTTCTCGACGGCGCTTTTTCATGGATTCATATCTCATGGCCTGCAGAGTATATCACTCCAGTACGTTCTGGGGCCGTGCTTACAGTTATCGAAGATACAAGAGGGTAGCAGCTCCTCTAAATGCTTGGGCTGACCTAAGCCGATAAATCCCGTACTTGTTTTCACTCACGACCCGACCGGATGTTGTAATCGCTGCATATCAGGCCATATTGCGACAAGAGGTTGGGCGCCTGAGCGGCCTCGGCCTGGCCCCAGATTTTTGATGAGCAAGGGTATACACGTGAAGTGTGATTAATTGTTAGTTGTGGCGGCCAGAGCACTATATAATTCTCGGTCCCTCGCCCAAGGTCCAGAAATCAAGTCAGCTTGGTCCCTCCCGAGACACTGAAGCAGTGACTTTGCGAAGTCCAGAGCACAACATATTGCTTTCGCCTCTGTTCACACTGCTTTGCGACGCTTCTTGTCGATTGAACACACGGAATCAATTGTTGAGTGGTAACAAGTTTTTGGATTTATCTTGGAGCTCATGATTGCAGCATTGTGCCTCTTTCTCATCCTCAAGCAGCGACTGTCAGGCTCACATCCACATGCGTTCTTGAAGCCCTGGTCACACCTCATTCTCTCATAACTTCATCAACATTAAGTATCGAGAATCTGTCTTCCCCATGGCACACCAGGACCCCGTGTCATACGATCTCATCATCGTTGGCGGCGGCACTTCTGGCTGCGTATTGGCAAACCGCTTGTCAGAGAATCCAAATGTGTCAATCCTCGTCCTAGAGGCTGGCGAAGACCGCAGTAATGACGCACGTGTCTATACACCTGGTCTGGCGGGCAATGTCTTGGATGATCCCGACTTCGACTGGCAATACATTTCAGAGCCAGATCCTGGATTGAACAATAGATGTATGCCGCATCCTCGAGGCCGCGTCATGGGTGGCAGCAGCGCGATAAACTCACTGGCCGTCATCTATCCTTCGGCTTCGGGGATCGATGCTTGGGCAGATTCGGGAAACGATGGTTGGGATTGGAATACTTGGCGCCCTTTCTCCTCGAGTTCCAAACTATTGTGCCGCCGAACGAAAAGATCAAGAAGAAGATACACTTGCTGCCGGTGCCTTCAACACACCACAAATTCTCGAGTTGTCTGGTATCGGGGATTCGAGAATCCTCAAGCAACACGGTATCAAAGTCATCCACGCCAACTTAGCTGTTGGAGAGAATCTGCAAGACCATATCCGGGCATGGGTCTCATTCGAAATCACCGACGACTTTCCTATGTTGGAGAGGATGTCCTTTAACGAAGAACGCAAGCTATACGAAGAACATCGCTCTGGACCTTTGACCCAACAACGGCGCTTACATGTTTTCCTACACGCCACTTGTACCATTACTAGACTCGGAAGGGAACGTGGGTCTGAACAAGATGCTCGACCAGTATCTGGAAGATGATAAGAGCTGGTCGCCATTTACACGCAAGCGCAACAGCTTCATCCGAAACACCATCGATTCTGTTGATGAAGCAACCGCGGTATCATTTCTAAGCACAAAAGCTCAAGTCTGTTCGGGGAATGGCAGGTTCGTGACTTTGAACTCGATGCTGTCTCATCCCTTCTCCGCCGGAAACGTCCACATCACCTCCACAGATCCCCAGATCAAGCCCAAGATCGACTTCAAGTACTACTCGCATCCCGTAGACTTGGAGATACATGCTCGTCACGTCAAGGTGCTAGAACAACTCGCAGAGACAGAACCGTGACCGTCTCAATGTCAAAGGTGTGCGAAACTCGAGGGTCGTGGATGCGAGCATCATTCCCATCATACCAAGAGGAAACATTCTAGCAACAGTATACGCAATTGCCGAACGTGGCGTTGATATCATTAGCGAGGACTTGGGCTTGCATAGACGTACGTAGAGGCAGGGTAATAGCTGATGATTGCCTGTGAATGCAGAGCCGGGAAAGCTCTTCCCAGGCTAGATGCGAGTGTCCATTCTGGAACTGCGCTTCCGGGAAGAGAGCTTTTCCCATGCTCTCCTGGAACTTTGTCTAGGAACTTCCAGCGATGGCGAGCCCAATTGGCCAAATCGACATGACGTCCTCTAGCTGAGTATATATCTCTTGCATTTCGGTCTTTCACTTTGCGAGGTAAACGCTGTCCGAGAAGTTGGATGCTTCAAGTAGTAGAGTCTCGCCAAGGAGTTGCCATGTGGACCACCCCTACTGCCAAGGTATGCACCCCTCGTGTATAGCATTGGCGTACGTATCAACAGGTCCTTCGGACTGCTCAGCCACCGTATAGCACAGGACGCTGTCCAAACTGTGGGGATGAAGAATTATGGTATGGGGGTGTGTGTGGAGAGGGCACTGTAGCCATACATCACTTGCAAGGTTCGTATACCTTGGCTTCCTTAGCATCGCACCGAATTGAATTGCTAGAGGAGAAGGGCGGATTGAACGGCGTAGCAGGTTCCCACTCGTAAGGCAAGTATAAGTATGATGTGTTCTCCGTCGTTGTGTTGGGTATGTGGTCAGGACTTCGAACCAAGAAGATGTATACACACTTTCCTTCAAGCAACAAGCTACTCATTTCCGCTCTCCTCTTATCACCCCTCTCCCTAGCAGTTCCTTGTTCATCATGTAACGCCACGCCTTCTATCGTCTCGAACTCGACGAGCCTCCCGTACCTCAATCCTCAACTCTGCATACAAGACCGCCTTGATGACCTCCTCTCTCGCATGACCCTGGAGGAGAAAGCCGGCCAACTCTTTATCAAGCAAATCCCCGCTGGCCTCAACGGCACAATCGACAATACCACCACTGTTCTAGACGGCAACAGAAACCTCACCACCGCACCACTGATAACCGAGAGATTGCTCTCGCACTTCAACGTCAATAATGCGAGATCAGCGAAGCAAATGGCAGAATGGCATAATGCAGTCCAACAACTTGCCTTGGGGACTCGCCTCAAGATCCCCATCACCATCACCAGTGATCCCAGACATGCGTTTGCCGACACGGTCGGAAGTTCCATCGCGAGTGGCCAGTTTTCAAAGTTCCCGGAGAGTTTGGGGATCGCTGCTTTGAGGGATCCGGTACTTGCTGAACTCTATGCAACCATTGTCAGGGAAGAGTACTTGGCCGTGGGTATCAGGAACGCACTGCAGCCGCAGATTGACGTAGTAACCGAACCACGCATGGCTAGAAGCGGCCAAACTTTTGGTGAAGATGCGAACTTGACTGCGTCGATGGTGGTTGCTCTGATCAAAGGGTTTCAAGGCCCGGAATTCGGATTGCACTCTGTGACAACAGTGACAAAGCATTTTCCTGGCGCTGGACCCGCCAGAAACGGCAACGATTCGCACTTTGCAACGGGCAAGGACAACATTTATTTCGGCGATTTCCTCGACTGCCATCTGGTTCCATTCAAAGCGGCCATCGCGGCTGGAGGACGTCAGATCATGCCTTCATATGCTCGTCCCATCGGTACCAGATACCCAGAAGTCGCTTTTGGGTTTAACAAACCCGTCATCACCGGCTTACTGAGAGAAGAGCTGGGATTCGACGGCATCGTAGTAAGTGACTGGGGCTTGATCACCGACGCAGCAATCATGGGCGTGGTAGAGCCAGCACGCGCGTGGGGAGTCGAAAACACCACCGAGCTCGAACGAGCAAAAATGGTCCTCGATGCCGGCGTCGATCAATTCGGTGGCGAGATTTGCACAGAACTGCTCGTTCAACTCGTCAACGATGGCCAAATTCCAGAGTCTTGTCTGGATGTTTCTGTGCGCAAGTTGCTGCGGGAGAAGTTCTTACTCGGTCTCGTCGACAACAGATTCGTGGACCCAGAAGCTGCGGATAAAGTGGTTGGAAACGCTTACTTTGCACGTATCGGCAACGAGACACAGAGACGTGCCTACACGCTTTTGACGAATCAGACTGATATTCTGCCTCTACGCCCAAATGACGGCGTCAAATTCTACGCTCAAGACTTCAATTCTTCTTTCCTCGAAGCTCGCAATCTGACAGTCGTCGCCTCACCTTCCGAAGCAGACTTTTGTTTCCTTCGCCTCAGCACACCCTGGGAGGCGCGAGGCTCACCTTTCCGCCAGCGATATCATGAAGGCCGTCTCGATTTCAACGCTACCGAAAAGGCCGCTCATTCTGCTCTCTTCAACACTTGCCCCACGATCGTGGATATCCTTTTGGATCGCCCTGCAGTAATTCCAGAGATTGTCGAGGAGGCTGCGGCACTATTTGGTCACTACGGGGCTAGTGTTGATGCGTTTTTGGATGTTGTGTTCAACAAGGATGGGTGGAAGCCTGAGGGAAAGTTGCCTTTTGACTTGCCTAGGAGTATGGAGGCTGTGGAGGGGCAGGTTGCTGATGTGCCTTTCGATACAGACGACCCTGTGTTTGAGTTTGGGCATGGATTAGGTTATGATAGATCTGCTTTGTGTGGATAGACGTTGGGAATATTTCAAAGCTTGAGCGCTGACGGTTTCTATATACGCTTGCAACAACTTAGGAAACGGGTTCTGTATGCATTGCACCACTTCCGACCATCTAAAGAGGCAGAGCGGGTTGCTCATGGCCGCCACGAACTTTGCTGTGTGATTTCAAGACCGCACCAAATGCTGCATCAAGAATTTCAAGACCCTCCTCGATCTCCTCAGCAGATACAGTAACAGGTGGTGCTAACCTGAAGACACCGCCCATACCAGGCAGGTTCACAATATTGCATGAGAGACCGAGAGCCATGGCCTTGTCAGAGACCGCTTGACCAATATCGAGACCTGGCGCCTTGGTCTCAGGATCCGAGATGATCTCGATACCCTGGAAAAGACCACGTCCACGAACATCTCCAATGCACCAGTATTTCTCTTGTAGCTTCTCCAGACCGGCACGAAGTTGGGCGCCACGTTCTTGGGCGCGGTGGCAGATGTTGTCGCGCACCACAATCTCGAGAACTTTGTCTCCGACTGCTGCTGTGAGAGGGTCGTTGAGGTGAGTGGTGAGCCACAAGAAGCGTGATTCTCGGCATCCTCTCTCAATCTCTGCGGTTGTTGTCACGGACGCCAGAGGTAAGCCGCAACCAAGTGTCTTGGACAGTGCGAGGATGTCCGGCACGATTTCGTCTCTCTCGAATGCAAACATCTGACCAGTTCGACCAACGCCAGTTTGCGCCTCGTCAAGGATGAGAAGCATACCTCGCTTCTTGCATTCTTGGGCCATGCGTTTGAGGNNGTATCCGACTGGCGGGTCAAGAATCCCACCAGTGGAGAGAATTGGTTCCATGATGAAGGCGGCCAATGAACCGACACTCTGTCTGTCAATCATAGCCCAGCCCCACTCCAACTCGGTCTCCCAATCATATGATCCGTCGGCCTTCTTGAACGGCGAACGATAAGGGTATGGTGCAGGGAATGCCAGCTGACCAGGCATTGCCGGACCGCCGAATTTGCGTCCGGCGGAGTATGTGGCAGATCCAGAGCCTGAAGTAAGTCCGTGATAGCTCGCAGTGAACGCGACAACCTCGAACTTTCCAGTGTAGCATTTTGCCATCTTGATGGCAGCTTCTGTGGACTCGGACCCAGTGTTGAGGAAAAACGACTTCTCCAATGGCGCTGGGAGAAGACTAGCCAGGCGTACAGCAAGGTTCACGACTGGCTGTGTGATCATGTTACTGAGCAGGTGATCGAGCTCACCGACGTACTTTCTGACGACTTCGACAATCTCGGGATGAGAGTGTCCAAGAAGCGAGCTCATCTGACCAGAGGTGAAGTCGAGGATTGATCTGCCGTCTTCATCGTAAAGTCTTGTACCTTGAGCCTTAGAGATGATGACTGGTGAGAATGGGACACCAGTGTGCATGAGATACTTGTCGGCATTGTCCCAGAAAGTGCTTTCAGCGATGGGTTCGGTTTTGGAGATCATGTTGGAGTAGGGGGGGATGTATTAAATGGATAGATAGCACTTTGCGAAAGGTAGAAGCAGTATTTTAAAAGGTCAAGCTCCCAAGACTTGAACGATCACATATAGGGGTGGTGCTATCGCCGCGGCGTGCACTACTTCGCCGCGGAAAACTTGGGCGCGGAAAACTCCTGCATGTCGGGAAATTCGGGCTTGAGCGACAGCTCATGATCAGTGATCTGATGCGGGTCTGAGAAGGTAGATAGCAGCGAATCTCTCGCAACTACTCTTCGAGGTAGATGGAGACACGTACGCCCCGACATTGTGAGGTTCCTTGGTTTTTGTTGCAGCAGCTGTCGAAGGGAGGTGGCCTTCCTTTGCGGGGTTCTTGTTGAAGCCCGAAGTCTTCCCGCACCGCAAGCGGTTATCTTCAACTTATCTCTGAGCACCTGCGAGACACTTGCGAGATTGCCATCAGAGTCGAGATAGAAGTCGCCAAGGCTCCTAGAATACAAATTGAGCTTCTGTGTTGACTCTTTCCTTCTCCGTGGATTTATCTGCTGTCAAACTGCTATGCAAACCTCGAACCAGGGTCGTCCCTACCGCTCACACCTCAGACCTGCCTGTGATGCCTGTCGCCGTCGCAAGTCCCGGTGTACAACAACAGAATCATCCGACGCGTGTTTGATGTGTCAAGTCCATGGTTCACAGTGCGTCTTTGTTGATAGTGATCAGTCGCGTCGTCGAAAGGTGCCTACTCCGCACGGTCGTGCATCAAGTTACACAGAGAGCGGCGGGAGCAATGTCGACCATGATGACACGTCCATATCGATGGCATATTCTGGAGAAACTCACACTCACAATGCCCTGTCCGATGGACAAAGTCACCACCACGGACCAGCAGTCTTGGTAGATCCAGGTCGTCCGCACGCTTCGGCCATTACAGGCTCAACTGAAGAAGCCAGCATGAGTGCCATGCTCGCCGAGTCGGGAGATTCTAACACACACATCATCAGTCCTGCGATAGTCGATGACAATGAAGAGCTTGATAGTTACCTATCGAGCAATCCAGCTGTCGGTATACGAAGGATTACTCGTACTTCATCAACGAGTACAAACATAGGCCCATCTTCGAGACGTGTTCTCTTCAATACAGTCCTCAAAAAGCCGCTGGGTATACATGCGAGGCAATCGCTTGCCGCTAGCAAGCTTGAAGTCATCGAGAAGTTACTCGAGCCACATGGCACGGTTTTGATTGATCTGCATGTCACTTACNGCTTTGCAACTATTCATGAGAAATGCTAACAACAACCCAGGTTCTTCGAATACGCAAATGTCTGTTTTCCAATCTTGGACGAGACCTCGTTCCGCAGAACATACTCTGAACACAAGGACCGGCTCTCACCTGCTCTGTTATCCAATTTGTACGCCAACGCGATGACGTATTGGAACAACTCACCACAACTACGTTCATGTCATCCTCCAGATCATCGCTTCATATGGGTGCAAGCCAATGAGGCCCTACACTCCGAGCTCTTCCTCTCACCTGGCATCTCGACCGTAATATCTATCATCTTGAACGTTCATGGCAGACCAAGTACCTCAATGTTTGGCAACGGTGGAATGGTAGGAACGGCCGTAGCGCTCTCAAACTCTCTGGGTCTCAATCGCGATTGCTCAGCATGGGACATCAGTCCGGGAGAGAAGGCTCTGCGATCCCGTATCTGGTCGATTGTTGTGCTGATGGATCGATGGTACGTACCGCAACGGATGGTCAAGTTAATGTACAATACTGACAGAACCCGCAGGACAAGTCTTGCTTATGGCACTCCGCTATTGATTCATCGTGCGCAGTATGATGTGCCTGTACCCAGCAAAGAGCAACTCGCCCAGCCTAATGCGTCAATAGCGCAATATGCTGGATTGTCTATTTTCCTGGCCATGTTGACTTTGACCGATGTTTTGTCGCACTACCTTGAGAACGTATACTGCATCTCACGGACCTCTCCCATTGATCGACCACCCACCTCATCCTTTCATCTCGAGACGCTTTTGACCGACTGGGAAGATTCTTTGGAAGACGACATACGTCGACTCGTGATCAGAGGAAACGATCTCGATCGTGCAGGATCAGGCAACCTCAGACTCTCTTATCTTGCGGTTAAACTCTTGCTCCGGCGCATCCTATGTGACACCACCAACGCTACGACAGAGAACGAAGGCGCAGTCCAAGCTCGCCTGCAGACTCAGAGAGTGGCGGAAGAGATTGTTCTACTCGTGCAAGAACTGAGCCATTCTCATCTGAGGGGCTTCTGGATGCCATCCAATGGCTTCACACTCACCTCGGCGACGTTGTTCTTGCTACGTGATGCATTGAAAACCACCAACAGGACTCGCAATACTTCACTCAAGCTAGCCAAAGATATGATGTCGAGTCTACAGACTCATCGCGTCAACGACTCTTGGGATCTGGCGGATGACTGCTTATCGAACTGTACAGACATGACTGACAGAATTGAGGCTGGAAGGACTTTCGAGTCACCTGGGATGATTGAGTCTCAATACTTCATTGATAACAACTCTCTCATGTTCAACGATCCAGTGTTGGGCTTCGCAAGCGCTTTCGACTTCGATCTTGAGAATTTCCAATGGAACGAAACTACATGATGAGGACGTCAAGATTCGCCAGACAACGCATCTTGGAAATACATGACGGGCAGCGAAAGTCTTCTGCAAACATTCATACAGGACATCCATCTGTGCAACTCGATCTGTGTGCTTACTCTGGACGCTCGGATACGTCATCTACCACAAGATCTTGGTCCACTGGCTCGAATGTCCAGCCAGCAAATTCTCTTGCCAGTATAACTCGTTGGTGGTCCCAGGCCTCATTAATATCTAACAGTCTCAATGTCTTGATAGTAACATTGCCACGCTCGATTCGAAAACCCCACTCGATGGCCAAGATTGGGCGTACCACTTTGGTCATGAGACAGTCTGGGATGTAAGTCAAGAAGCTCCAGCTGGTCCAGTCCATGTCTATCCTTTCTGCCCTGTAGGGAGCATCGAACAGTCGCGGCTCTGCGCCGAAATAGATCAAGGGATTATTGAGGTCGGTTGTGACAGGAATCAGGTCTAGCTCCCACTCGGCGGAGTTGGATGTCGTCGATTGCGAGCTTAGCGGAGCTTCTCGCACTACTTGTAGCCATCCGTACATTGAAGCATAGCCAAAGTCCGTAGGCGAGTCAATCTTGGCACTGCAGAATGGGAAGTCGACAAAACTTTCGAGAGGCTGTTCTGGGAAGAGCAAGCTGCTGCCTGTCTTGACCGGATCTTTGTTTGGTTGTACAGTAATCTGCACCGATGTTGAGTGCCGTCGAGGAACCACAAAAGAGCAAGACAAAGACTGGGTATGCACCGAAGTGGCCGAGCCGGACGTCATCATACCACACTTCAAGATCAAGTGCGTGGAAGTGAAACTGGAAAGATGATATTATTCATGAGACAAAACTCGAGAAAAGTAACGCACGAAATCACAGTGACATGTCGTTGACAAAAGATAGGAACTTTAGGCACCGAGATGCGGGGATAAATCTACACACGCGTGGCCTGATACTTCTAGATAGAGGATTTTCGGACGGGACCAATTCCGCGCATGAAGCTCTAGGTTCACGACGGCCGAGAACAAAAGCTCTGCTTTAGTCGACGCAAGATATTCTCATTGCACATACACCTAACGTCTCAATAGACGTACTTCAGACAAAAGATGGTTAGCGAAGTCTTCTTGCAGGAGCTAAAGACAGGGACTTACCTTGAAACTTGGATTGTTGAGATCAGTCTCGTCGTTAAGCGCTCGCAGCTGTCCTTCGGCAACACGCTCTGCCGACAATGCATTCTCAGCAGCTCGTCTGCGATTCCGGGTCAGGAATAGGAGATACAAGCCCAGAATACTGAGCATCTGGATGCCAAGGCAGGTCAACATCATGGCGACACCAAGTTCATAACGCGGCGCCTGAGCTTTGCGGAAAAAGAATGGTCCGACGAAGTTTCCCAGACAGTAACCGACTAGGAGCATGGCAGCACTGGTGGACTTTTTGGTATGTCCCGCGGTGTTGGCTGTGACGACAGACATGGAGAGTGTCCAAGTAGCGGTGTAGGTGAATGTGATCCACAAGCACACCATGCGGCCCCAAGGTACACTTGACGGCAATGTCCACATTCCGATGACACCAGCTAACGTCGGTAGCAGACAGACAAACATGGTCAGTAGTCTTGCGTTCTCAAAGGACGAGGCGACAAAGGTTGCACCCGTGCAGACCACGAACTGGATTGCACCTGAGGGCATCTGAATCAACGTGGTCTGCAGTTTCGAGAAACCAAGACCGCGAATGATGAGGCCTTGGAAGGTTGTGAGCCCGCCATTGGGTGCGTTGCTGCTAATCGCAAAGATAAAGAGCAACCATGTCTTTGTATCTGTTAGCGTCTCCATCATCTGACTCTTCTTGAAAGTCTTTTCTTCCAGGCCAGTTCCATTCGCTTGGACGCGCTGAGCCACACCCATCTTTTCATCTTCGGAGAGGAACTTGGCTGTGGCGGGATTATCTGGCAGGAATAGAAGTACAACGACACCCCAAGCAATAGTGATGCAACCCCAGATGAGGAACGTGTATCGCCAGCTGGACAGTGCGCCGCCGATATGACCGATGCCAAAGCTCGTGATGCCAGCAACTACATAACCAAGTCCGGCGCAACCGATCCAGATGCCCAGACGCAGAGGCTGTTCTCTGCGAGTGTACCAGATACTGAACATGACCATCGTCACTGGCTGTATGCATGCTTCGAAGACGCCCAAAAAGAATCTTGCAGTCGCTAGTCCAGCAAAGTTGAAGCCCGCCGCATGGCAGGACAATGTGATGCCCCATAGGATAACCNNTGACTTCTGTTAGTACTTTGTGGCACCAACGATATAGGCCAGGCAATCACTGACCGACGTGCCTAGAAACTTTCCAAGCGGAAACCTCTGCAGCAGGTACGAAGTTGGCCATTCCCAGAACATATATCCGAGGTAAAAGATGGCCCCGAGCCATGAGAATTCGGTTCCGGATAGATGGGTTTCATCCGCNCTGCATCGCGAGGTGTAAGCCGTCTTGGAATGAACGCAGACATTGGAACCAGTGAAACTTACGAGTCCAAAGACGGCAGCGTATGACAAAGTTGTCTTGTCGATTGATTGTAATGCGTAAGTGATACAGNNCTGAGTAGTATCAGTGATGCTGTCAAGTCAAGGCTGACCTGGGGATATGACTTACAGAATTGGCATCAGACGACAGTCGATCTTGAACAAGAGCTTCTTGTCATCGACAGCTGACAGAATTTCGCCTGTTTGAGTGGCGTCGTATATGGTAGTCTCATGTCGAAGAGTCTTGAGATCCAAAGCTATAGCCTCTTCCTTGGTAGATCGCCGTGACAGTCTGGACTCCATAGCGCGCAATGACTTGCAGGATTCCGTGATATACCCATCCCGAGAGTCTGCACGACTCACGCTCTTTATACATATCGAAGCGGTACCAGTACTACCTGTGACCGGAAATCCTCAAGTCCGTCTTTCCTCGGACAACGTTATCTTCTTCAAAGCCGAAGGATTGCTATCGGAAACCTTTCGAAGGCATGCCCCCGACCTATCAGAAGGAGTCTCGAGCAGGATGACGAAGGATCAAGCTCCGCAACTCAAGCTCTGAAGTATATACTGATAGGCCAAGGCAGATGAGGGGGCATCGAGTGCCGGGGTGAGTGCGGGGACTGCTTGCCTATCTTGAGTTTCCCGCGGGCCTCCGCTCGCCGGGATGTCGCCATGCAGTTGCCCGATAGGGATGAATACAGCCACTCAACACTTACCTACATAACATCTGCCACTGCAACCTGCATCTTGGTGGAAATCACATAGCACAATTACAATGTCGGAAAATCAAGATGTTCATCCATACCAACTCCTCGACATTGATGAGCGAGTCAAACGTGTGCTAGTCAACACGCCGCTTGCCGATGGACACAACGACCTTCCTCAGCAGCCACGATGTTGCTTCAAAGGCAAGATACACAATAATCCCAAATTCGATCTTGAAAAGGGTTTCCAGCGTGGCATGACCGACTTGCCACGCCTGAAGANNAAAGGTGCTGTTGGCTTACAGTTCTGGTCAATCTGCGTACCCCATCTTCGTGGTTCTGAGGACTTTGCTTTGCCTAGATATAACGATATGTGTCGCGATGCGATTGAACAGATTGATCTGTCCATTCGGATGGTTAAGCAATATCCCAAAGATTTTGAACTTGTCTTTGGGCCAGACAATGTCAGGGATGTATATCAACAGGGAAAGATTGCTTGCTCGATTGGTTTGGAAGGATTGCATCAGGCTGGAAACTCGATCAGTGTTATTAGAGCTTATCATCAGCTGGGTGTGCGCTACGTGAGTAGATCCTTCTGTCATGGCGTATTTGTGGCTAACGGAATAGNNTGCACCATGACGCATGTCGAAAACAACGCTTTCGCCGATTCTTCCACGTCCAAAGTAGGGCCGGTCCATGGTGGGCTGTCGAGTCTTGGTAAAGCTGCAATCAAGGAGATGAACCGTCTAGGTGAGTAAGAACTTGATGGATTTGCACAATTTACAAAATAGTCACTGACGAAACCTCAGNGCATGATGGTAGATCTTTCTCACGTTTCATCAGAAGCAGCGGAACAAGCACTTAAGTGCACGATCGCGCCAGTTATGTTCTCTCACAGTAACGTTCAAGGCGTCTTCAACTGCCCCCGGAACGTGCCAGATTCTGTACTTGACCTTGTGCCTGCCAACAATGGTATAGTGATGGTTACTTTCGTGCCAGAGCACCTTGCGGCTAGAAGATCTCAAGCTACCATGGATATGCTTTTGGACCATCTGTTTTACATTGCCAACCGCATCGGGTGGGAGCACGTTGGCCTTGGATCAGACTTTGATGGTAAGCATAATCCAACGATTCTCGTAACAGAGAATCGAGTTATTGATACAAAAATTACAGGCATCGCATCAGTCATCCCTGGTCTGGAGGATTGCTCCTGTTTCCCTGGATTGTTGAAGGCAATCCTGGACCGAGGAGCCACCGAACAGCAGCTCGCAATGGTAGCTGGAGAGAACATCCTTCGGGTATGGACAGAGGTCATGCAAACTGCTCAGCGCATGCAAGAGGAAGGAGTCACTCCTGTAGAGGACGTTTGGGAAGGTAGAGAGTTTTGGAGGTACGATGGGTTCTATCAGATGCCCGATCCTGACCCTGAGGATAAACTCGGGCTTGATTGGTATGGAGTCAAGCCTCCAGAAGAGGGCTTGTATCATGAGGAGTGAGGAATCATCTATGCAGATATTTTTCAGATAATCAGGGCCTGAGAGAAGGTGATCAGTAGTGCAGCATAAATTATCAAAGACGTCCGGATAATGTAGAGCCAGTGAGTCCGGATGGTCTCCTTCCTCCCCCGCCATCTGGGCACCACGGAATATTAGCAGGTATTCGGGTACATCAGGCATATCTTCCTGCATACTGAGAACTGCGGAGGACAGGCGCAGGTTAGGTGATCTTATGGAGCAAAGCACAGTAAACAGGTAAGATACTCTAAGTATCAGAGATGTAGCCACGGAAGTCAACGAGCCCCTGAGCTCCGCGGTGACCATCATTCTCGTCAACTCACTACGTTGCGAGGATGCCATGCAATGCGCACGAGATATGATGGATCATTTCTCGGACGTATGCGGTGAGGGAAGGTTCATCAAGTCCACCATGCAGAAAGTTGGGAAGATTGGTGGTGCTTTCATGACTGTGAAACAGGCCCTCCATTCCACTTAGATCTCGGTTGAGCGTGCGCTGATACACAGGAGTCAGAAGCCGGATAAAATGACGAATGGAGAGTCACAAGAGAAGGGGGAATAGTAGTGGTGAGTGAACTCTCAGGCTCTCTCGGTCTTTCGGTCCACGTCGCAAGTCACCTCTCGGAAACTCAAGGGATCCTTCGGAGACGCCATTGAGGATTGGAAACGATCAGAATGGCAGTCATACACACATATCTTACGGTGTAAAGGGACAAAAGCAAATGCAGAATGTTCATCAATGTCGGAAGAGTCCAAATGCGCAATGTGACCCCGCACTCACCATCCAGCCATCGCGTCAACCTTGTCTTGACCACACCTTGCAAACCTCTGCCCCGCGTATCCTCGCCAATGTTCGCCCAGAAACGTCTGCACACTTGACACTAGGTAGCCACTACCGGATGTCCCTAAACGGCATAACCGCATCGACGACCTGAATCGCATCAACGGACGGATGCCTTTGAACAGTAATCCAGACGACCATCCTGCAACCAGGACAGTGGACCGTCCCAAAGCTGATGCGATGAGAATGAGAAACCCTGGAGTTCAATCTGGAGACCCCAGACTATCCCCGCATGCGACTATCATGTCTACGTGCGAGCCGGCTTGACTTGAACATATAAGGAGGTCGATCATCCTGTCCGACCCTCACACATCATCAGGCTATCTGGCTCTTGACTTCCAACTCGAAACACACAACTTCAACATGGCTATCGAACTCAGGGGTAAAGCTCTCATCTCTATCATCCTGCTAGCCTCCGGGCTCGACTTTCTTCTGTTCGGCTTCGATCAAGGACTCTTCGGAGGTGTCCTAGCTGGCGATGGCTTCAAGCGTATGCTCGGCAATCCATCAGCTACTCGTACTGGGCTTGTCACTGCTATCTACGACATTGGCTGTGCTCTTGGTGCTGTTATGGCTTTCCTCATTGGCGACAAGGTCGGTCGCAAGAGAAGCATTGTGTACGCCAACATCATCGTCATCATTGGAGCTGCCATCCAAACAGCCAGCTTTTCATACGCTCAGATGTGTGTTGCCCGAGTCATCGCTGGAGTTGGCGTGGGTTTCTCCACTGTCGCTGTTCCGATCCTGCAGAGCGAGACGCTACCTAGTCGCAACCGTGGTGCTGTGAGTACTGGTCTGCCCTCGACAAAAGTCAAGCTATGCTGATGACAACTGTAGCTTCTCGTCGTTCAATCAGCGCTCATCATCATCGGCGTCGCTCTGGCTTCTTGGTTGTGCTTTGCCACTCTCTATTCAATATCAAGCTTCCAATGGCGCTTTCCCATCGCCTGTCAAATGCTTTTCTCCGGTATTGTTCTTTGTCTCACACCATTCCTGCCTGAGACGCCTCGCTGGCTTGCTGAAAACGGTCGCACCGAAGAAGCTCGCCATATCCTTGCTCGCCTGGAAGATAAACCAATTGAACACTTGGATATTACAAACCAGCTCAATGAGATCTGCGAAGTCATCGCCATCGAGCAAGAGGCTGGAGATGCGACGTGGGGCGAGGTGTTCACCAACTCGACCAAGTCGAGGAATTTGCACCGCGTTCTCCTCGGCATGGGTCCTTACATGATGAACCAATGGTCTGGCATCAGTAAGTCTACCATTTATGTTGTGACCGATAGTCAGAACGCTCGCTGACAGTTCCACTAGNATGCCCTTTGCTACTATCTCGCATACATCCTCGAGAACTACCTCGGCTACAGCCCAAGTATGGCTCTGATCCTCGCCTCTGTCGCCTTTACCCAATACGCCGTCTTCTCCTGGCCCCCATACTTTTACATCGACCGCTTAGGCCGCCGCTGGACCGTCATTCTTTCCAGCATCGGCTGTGCAGCATGCATGGCCATCATCGCCGGCGCCCTCGTCAACCCCACCCACACAAACTCCATCGTTGCCGTCGCCTTCATGTTCCTCTTCATGGACTGCTTCACCCTCGGCATCCTCCCCGTCAGCTGGTCTTACTCGGCCGAAATCCAACCCCTCCGTGTTCGCAACAAGGCAACTGCAGTAGGTGTTTTTGGCCACTGGATGAGTAATTTCGTGGTCGTCATGGTGACGCCGATTGGATTGTCTAATATTGGGGGTAATTACTTTTGGGTATGGGCGATTGTGAATGCGAGTTTTGTGCCGTTGACGTGGTTCTTTGGTGTTGAGACTAGTGGGAGGAGTCTGGAGAAGATTGATCATATGTTCTTCGATGAGCCGCGGGTGTGTATGGGACTGAACAAGAGTCATACGAGGGTTATCAACAAGGAGATGTATGATGAGGAGAGGAGGTTGAGTGTCGCTGGACATGAGAAGAAGATGGATGTGGAGCAGATATCGGTGGCGAGCAAGTAAGGGGTTCTGTTCGTTGGGCGAATTCACCAGAAGCACAATGGCCATCACTACCCCGTTTAGAAGATTTGGTACAGATCTTGTCGCGCCATGCCGCAAACCATTCTATGGATAGCCACACCCACCCGTTCTCAACTCTTCTATAAAGCTCGTTCTGAGGATTATAACATCGATCATGCCCATCAAGAAACGAAGAACACTCTCTTGGTCGAGCAGAATTGTGAGGACGACAGATGCGTGCCGAGATCTGCCCTGGGCATTCAGACGATACCACAGCACACCGAGTAGGCGATGAGGTCAATGATCTCTCCATCTACCCTACAGCTTTCTTGAGCCACTCGAATCGAAATCCTCCTCGATCCTACTTCAATCGCCCTGAAATCACACATGCAGAGCCAGGGGAGCTTGATATCTTGTCGAGAGTCGGTGACCTGATGACCACCTTTGCGTGTTTCGACGCATATACCGCAGGGAAGAAAAAATGGTGTGTGGGTTTTGATGACCAAATTTGACTTTCTGGAGTGCAAATCGAGGGAATTTCATACGGCACTTGTATGTACGAGGATTAGATAGCCCTATCATGGAGAAGAGTTGATGATGGCGGTAATAAGGACAGTATGTCAGCGCGAGTGACTCTGTTTCACACTTATTGAACGGTGATCGGAGCGAGTTGTTAACCTGATGCTTTGACTTACTGGGCACGTCATATGGTACCATGCTGTCGCAGTATCGGAGAGATGATATGCGAGTATCACGCAGTTTCAAATAAAAGAGCGATTGGATGTTGGAATTTTTGCAGGTGAGAAAAGGGGACCACTGATCTCGATAGCATGATCGCTATCTGCAGAGGTGATTATAAGGGCCGGCGAAAACTGTTCTAGTCGGCAATCACCATCGATATCGATTCCTGGTAAGCGGTACAGAATGTGGGACCCCAACAATGGCGTGCTAACTCGTCAAGTTTGTACGATCCGCCCATCGTAACACACAGTCTTAATTGACGACATCTGAGTCCATCAGCATCATCTCAGCACATATGCTACTGACATCTGCCGGTGTGATTATCAAGACCTTTTGTCTGCCCCGTGTATATAGATCCAATCCAAAGACCCTTCTAGAGTACGAGAACGGAACAGGCTCGGAATCAGCATCATGTTCAACATCACGGAAGGACTGTCAGTACGGCGACTCTTGGAACAAAATCTCCCACAAATGTAGGCAGACGACGCAGCAAAGTAAATCTGTTCATCAACAAACCGCCATCGCGTATCTTCGAGCGTGATCTCATGCTGCCAAAAATTCGGACTGCAGGAGGAGTCAGAGACCATGTCTCCCCCTGTACCATCCACCCCCGAGCCACACAGTCACCGAAACGTTCGGGCGATACCAAACTTGTGCTTCTTCTTTTCAGATGCAGCCTCTATGTCTGGAAGCTGTGCGATGAGAAGCTTCGGTTCGTGGCAGATAGCACTTCGGCATGATCGCGGTGATGGTGCCTCCAACAGGGCAGATAGGGGGAGGCTGTTCATTCGCGGACATCCTAAGTAGAAGGTTGCTCTATATAGCGTGCTGAAGGGCGGGTGTCCAGATGGAAACTGTAAGAGGTGTTGAGTTGACGGGATGTTGTTGGTATGGAGATCACATTCGGCGAGTTTATGTAGGTAGAACTCAACTCTGAGGGTTTAGCAAGCCATATGGAAGGTACGCGTTACTACCATTGGGAAAAAATTTCCATCGATCCAAGAAGTCTATCTCGCAGACCTTCGTTACACCTGCACAGCCGGTTCGTTCTCCTTTAATGGTGCAAATAGATGATGAGAGGGGATTCACCATTCTTGGGAGCAGAGAGAGAAGGAGAGTGGGTCTGTGAATCCAGCACGTCACTTCTCATCTCAACGTTCAGGACGATCACTTTCCACCTCACGGAGCGGGTGAGTGTCACTCTCGAATATACGATCCACTGACCCCATCAATTGAACTCGCGCTTAGTGACTTTTACTAAGATCTTTCTCGCAACTATGAGAGGGGTAGAGTTCATCAACGCCACCGGTGGCGGTCAGTAACTGTCAGTCACCGAGGCTTGACTAGCCGCGGAATGGTTTGCATATCGGATCACCACATGGTGCATGGATCTGTGGTCCCTATAGTTGTTAGCTACAGAGCCCTGGCATCTAGTCACCTTGATGCAGGCAGATGGTGTAGAGAACAAGGTCTGTAAAGCAGTCGGTAATGTAGAGAGTAAGGTCTGTAAAGCGTCTCTGGCTTAGCATATCCCGCATCTCGCAACTTTACCTCATGGAGTAACAACGATCTTCAACATGTTGCTGCCAATAGGGGGAGACTAGAAACAGAAAATTTGACAGTCCACAGACCTGGCGTACCCACTGTCTTTGGTTGCGATTGAGACTAGACTATTGTAATGAGCACAATACCCAAGTAGTCGGGGTTCAGAACCAAGCCTCTTCGGTGTCGTCGAAGTAAGTGGCCTTGAAGACTAGAGTCGAGAATCCGACCCTCACTTGTTCTAGAAGCAACAGAGCGAGAAGCCGGAATGGTGTCTGAGATCGAGGGCTTGGAGTAAGGAAAAGAGTGTCTTGGGTCCAGAGTCGAAGGACCTGAATAGTCATCTGCATCGGAGCAGTCACAAGAAATGCGATAAAAAGATCATATAACACAACACTGTCGCTTGACAGCGACTTCCCTCTTACATTTATTCCAATCAGCTTTTCCAAGCCCATTGCGACAGAAGACGTGGCAGATGCCTCACTGCTGTTCGACAATTTGCCAATGCCGCCGGCCGAATGTACCAGTATAGCTCAGTCGGTCTCATGGTTTTCTTGGTCAACATGGCGCTTTGGCGTTTACGTTTCCGATTCTTGTCAGGGGACTGTGATGGCATGCGACGAGAGCACGCTAGCTACCAAATCATCCAAGAGAGATTGGCGTCTCCTCAGGCTTAGATGATCCATGCATGAGATCGGGTAGCATCTCTTTCCATACTCATGAGCATCCATATAGAATGTCGCCTCGCATATCAGTTTGCTTTGTAAGATTTTTAGCCCTCATACTTTACGAAAATCCCAATTTCCTTCGAATGGCAAGATCCCAACTCAACTCTCCACCCCCAAAGTCATCTTGGGATCCTTTTCAGCTTCTCGCCATGTCGAGGAAAGTGCACAACGACCGAGAAGATAGCTAGATAAGGAGGTCTATAAACCCACATCTCCGTTTTCTCTCTCGATCTTGGGTTTTCGAGAAGATTTACATCATCACTTTTCCAAACGAACTTCAAGGCATGGGTTAGACGAAATAAGCATCACAGACCTTTTTACTTTGCATATCTCTGTACCCAGGTTCTTTAGGACTTTTCAAGCCGGTGCGCGCAATGGAAATTGTTACCGTGGTACTCCGATAGATGCTTCTGCCTAGTGAGAACACGAGAGATCATCTCATATGTACGCCCAGGGAACGATGAATGGAGAAAGTCGTGACCACAAGGACAAATCACCAGCAAGGGAAAAGTGAGAACCACGGACCTGAGAACTCACCCTCATTCTCAAACTGAACAGCTTGGCATCTCGTAACAAGTTTCGTTATCGTCACGTTTGGAATCCTTGTTTCCCAGACACGTCTTGCCTCGTCCGAGATGTGTCACTCTGGTGTGTGGATACGGGTGGAATATCGAAGGTCTGGATGCTTCTATACAAACAACTGTAAAGCTGCTCATATTAGAACCAACAGAAGGTACGGAATACAATCAGTCAATCACCCTCATGTCATTCTCAAATCCCCACCATGTACAAGTGTGTTTCTACAAAGTCTATCAGTTTCATCCCTGCTTATACAAACATGAATCATCCTTCTATCACCAAAAAAAAAACGATCGCCGTTTCCTTTCTCTATGGAAACATACATGCCCATCAATCATCAGCACACTCCTTCATACTCTTTCCCACACACTTCAAACACCCACATCTCGTGTCCTCGGCGCCAGAACACTCCACCATCAATGCTCCAGGCCCTTCTTTGACAGCAGCAGCAATGGCAAAAGCAAGCGTCAACGAGAACCTCACCCACAACCATGGAGAATGGCGGGAAAGCATTGGTGCATCGTCATCCCTTGAGCTATGCTGGGTCCTGAGTTGACGCTCACTCTTCCTCTTGCGGACTTTGCTTTGTGTCTCAAAGACACACGTAGAAGGTGAGATTCTGCGACCGCGTGTTTGTCGAGACGGACAAGGAGAAAGTTCAATGTCTTCAGAGTCGGCTTCGAAGCCTGGATCTTCTGGAGACTTGTTCTTGTCCTCAGACGAGGATGAAGATGCAGAAGCGCTGCGATAAGGTGCAGACATGAGGATTGCATTCTCGTGTAGACTGCATGCCATCAATCTCCTCGTCGCCATGGGGCCAAGTAGAGCATGCAATAGCATCCACTGGAAGCGGTTCAAGGTCCTGCTGAGCAAAAAGGCTCGGTGAGCTCTGCCTACACAGCGTTGTGCGATCTTGAGGGGCTGGCGCAATAACTCCTTGACCTTTTCCACAATCCCAGAGGATTTGGGAGCAGACGCAGGGACAGCTGAAGATACTTGACGCGAGTAGGGCGGGTAGAAGGATAAGCCAGTGGCTTCGGACATGCTGCGTTGGTGTCGGAGACGCAGTGCACCAGACACGCTTCGTTGGATGCCTGTGCTGTGAGAAGTAGAGGTAATGTCTGCTGGTTTGGCATTTAATGTAGCGAATGGAGTGGGTCCTGAAGAGGCTGTTTGCGCGTCGTCGTCGTGTCTAGCGGCGTGGAGTTCTTCGAGCAAGTTTCTGCCTAGATTGGGACCGATGGACGGGTATTCTGCCGAGGTAGTGTTCGAATCAGTGACTGTCCTNTTGCGGAGTGGGCGTCTTGTCTTCTTGCGGTTCGGTCGATGATTGCGAAGAAGAAGCTGANNAGATTCGGTGGTTGAGAATGGGATGAGTGATGACGGGTCCAGTTGATCCGTACTAGTCTTTGCTCGGCGACGTCCAGTGATAGGACTGAAGTCATGGCAACTAGCCCTCCGTGGTGCAACATGGACGTCCGGGAAAGGAAAAGCACGAGGTGAGTCGTGAGGTTCATAGACCGGCGCCGAGGCGAGAATGGGAGCCAACTGAGCAGCCGACAAGATCAAAGGTTTGGGAAGATGAGAACCGCCATGGAACCTCCGCATTCTACGATTCGGACGAGGGCGGGAGTTTGACGAGTTTGAATCTTGGTTCATGAAAAGGCTGAAGTCGATGCTGTTGCGTGAGGCGTCGCTGATAAAGGACTCTCGCTTAGAGGCATCCCATTCAGCATCGCTGACGGCATTGTCAAAATAGTCCTGGGCGGCACCCTCACTGCGAGGTCTGGATTCGTCAAGTTCGTGCTGTTCGTGCATGCTCGCTTGTTGGTGCAAAGAGCCAGCGGTTGGGAAGCGGTGGAACGACAATCTCTTCTGCCTCGTACTCCTCGACTCCTTGGTGAAGGGAGGTTGAGCAAGCGGCGTCTCGGATTTGATGGGGGAAGTGACGAGCAGATGTGCAAACGTCTCCAACCTCTTCTCAAACTCGACGTTTGCAGCCTCGGCAATGTCCAAAGCCTTTCTCGTAGCGTCGAGCTGAGCCTGGAGTTCTTTGACCTTTTGGCTGTAGTTGTCGCTGTCTGCCTCCAACATGTTGATCCTAGCGCGCAGGTTGTACTCGACGCCGTCATGCTCTTCCATGACCTGCAGAACCCTCTCGTCAAACTCGGCCTCCCAGCGAGAGTTTTCATCTTGCAGTCTTCGGATGTCTTGGTTCAGCAGACGTATCTTTTGGCCCTTTTCCTTGGTCGCGGTCGGGGAGGTCAACGAGGCCAGCTGGGTTTGGTAGGCGGCGAGTTCGGACTCGAGGTATGCGATGTGCTGGTCAGCTTGGTCTGAGTCTGGGTTGCTCTTGTAGGATTGGGTGCGCTGGTGCTTCTTTCTCGACTTGTTGAGGTTGGGTGCTTCGGGCGGGAGACTGNNTGTGTAGCTGTCAGCATGACTGATGATAAGAGCTGAGGTAGGCTTGTGTTACCATGCGGGCGACGACTCGAAGCTCCAGGCCTTGTCGTCCCCATTCTCGTCTGCAAAGACGGACAGGACCGAGTCGTGTTTGTTGGCCCTCTTGTCCTTCCGTCGTAGACTGGAGTTGTTGACTTCTTGTAATATGCTCGACGACCTTCCTCTTAGACTCAATCCAGATGGTTGGGGCAGGTCTGAAGTGGGTGTATCGTCTTGTGGAGCGGGTGAGGACCAAGCATCGCTAGTCTTGCGCTTGGGAGTGATATTGCGATTGGGCAGTTGGCGTCCTCGAAAGCCATTCTTGCGGAGCTGCAGTCGTCGGTTTGCTCGCGTTGTTCCAGGGCCAGCGAGGGGAGAAGATCGCTGCTCCGTGTCTTCCATGTCCAGAGGGGGNTATGCCGATGTCATTGTGTTTACATGACCCTAGCACCTTGATGAAGATGCTGCGCACCGTGTCCTGTACACTCAAGGCCACCTAGTATCAGGTAGCAGTCGTCTGGAGAAGCAGAGAAAAACGAGTCGTCCTGTGTGGAGAAAGTGGACAGTGTTGTTACAAAGTGTTTGACTGTTTATGCCCTTCGTCTCGGCCTTCGGCTGTCGTCAGTTCGCAGCTGCCCTTAACTTTAATTTCCCTTGTATCAAACGTGCTTTGCTTTGCTGCTTCCTACCTTGCGAATCTGACCCTGCTGATACCTTCAGGCCGCCCGTTGCAACAAGATAATCTCTTTTTCCTGACATGTGAGAGGTGAAGATTTGTTCTCTTCTTGTTGTGCACATGTCCATATTGTTTCGTACTGAGCGACAGCCCTGAGCCCCTCCACATACCGCCCTGCCAAGCCCGCCCTCACCGCCTGACTGAACCAGATATCGAAATATCCCAAACATCTGGACTCGACTTTTTTACTCGGCTCTCACGCGACTCTTGTGGAACATGGTCCCTACTCGGTCATGTCAACAAACAATTGCCCATCCGCACATGATCAACACATGCATATGCAGACTTGACCCTGCACAACTGTTGGCAGACACCGTTAGCCATATCAGCCACCCACATCTCAATATGCTTATCGTCCTCTAATCTTCTTGTCCTTGAGCCTCCACCAATGTTAAAATCCTGGCTACCCTGAAACGCTCAGAAAGTACCTATGCATAGATGCTTCCGCAAGATTGGTGGAAGGTCCAGAGTCACATGTGAATGTCAACTAATCATGTGCCAGAGACTTGTCCATGCGTGTGAACAATCTAAACTGTACTCTTCGACACTGCTAACTGGTTTTCCATACTCATGACTCATGACTACCAGAGCATGTTGACGCAGACCGTGCATAAACCCAAGGCCGTCTTCATTCACAACAAGAGCAGTAGCAACATGTCTTCCAGAGTCGAAAAATGACCCCGAAGAGCCTCAAGCTGAGATGAAGCAAATGAGCGACATAACCACCAACTTGAACTGCCACTCTGAATCCTCGATGGCTTCTGTGACCGCTAACATCATCTCTGTCCTTTCCAGAGTGTGGTGCAAGCTTACACATTCAAGTTGCTGCAACTCCCTACTCGCTGGTCTGCAGACTTTGAGTGTTGATTAGTTCCACGGACCCGCCCGTCTCCTCATTCTTGGGGTCGCGAATGCTCCAAGCCATCGTAGATAAACTCACCGCTGGCTGTCGACAACATCGGGCTTCAGCTGCGGTACCGCAGCGTCGATGAGCCGCTCGGGTAGCTGACGAGTACACTACTTTGACCAATCTACGGCTGAGTGATTGACGCAACACTCCTACATCGTCAAGCCAGATTTCTTGAGGACTTGAGGGTTTTCATGGACGTGACGATTGACGTGGTGCATCCGTATTGCACCGGGAACAGAGCCAGGTTGACAGGATTCGGGAAATGCGATGCTCGGATCGCGATGTTGCGTAGGTAGAAGACCTCAATCAGATCGGACTGGCCTAGACTCCAGTCGTGACTGGCTTACCTTGCCTCTAAGTGTTTCGATTCACGAATACTCGCTGGCATTGGACGTTGGGGAACAGACAGCCTCTGAGACTGACCTGGATATATGTACAAGACCATAAAGAGAGATGCCTTGCCTTGAACGTGACCTCGATCGCTGAAATTGGCTCGCACGGCGACATCCCAGCAGTATGCATCGCGAGGTTGGGAGTGAACGTGGTGAAGCTGCTGGGTCCCTATCTCTGCGGTGTCGCTACCCAACCATCGAAGCTCACGACTTGGGTGCGCATACAGGATTACGCCGGCGACTTGATGTTGGATCCTGTCAAGTCGGCTGGACGCATCTAGGAGACGAGGTCCTATCAAGCTTTTTTACCTCGCTATCACGATGCTTGCCCGCACTCGACCGCAAGGAACGCGACGCGCCAAGTTTTTGCTATGCCACCGAAGGAAGTTACTGTTGGCAGAGTTTCGTGGCGAACGATTGCTCCAGCCTCGGCGTCGCAGAAGGTTGTGTAGCGCGCAAAGTGCAACTTGGTCAGCAACCCTATCGCCAACCGCCTGGATGAAAACTTGGATAATGTTATATCGAAGTCTAAATGGCCAGGAACGTCTTTAGTCGGAGACATGTCCCGTCAGGTGGTGGCTGAAGACTGAAGTTGGCGTCGGGGAAAATGATTCTTGGAGATGCCGAGGCTTGCTTCCAACTGCGCTGAAGTTGGATCAAGTCTTGTGAGGGGTTCTCGAATTGCGAATCTTGTTGAAGGGATGGATGAGAAAGCAGACGAGAAGACGGTAGCGAATTCGAAGTCAGATCAATGTAAATAAGGTAGACTTATCAGGACATGTGGCAGCGTGATTGGTGATCGGTGATTGGAGGCGTTCGTGCATCCAATAGCTGAATCGTGAGCAACCAAAAATAGGCGGGTTATGTACCGATCTGATCATTGTTTGCTGCAAGTTTTGCGCGAGAGCGGGTTGACCGTGAATCTTGCAGAATCCCGCTCCTTGCAAGATGTTGAACGAGTTCTTCCGCCGCGATAAAAAAGTAAAAGTCGTGTGCGGCAGACAGTGAGAATCCGACGGGTGTCTGTCTGACATTTGTGAACATGGCGCGCCTTCGCGAGCGGCAGCAAGCCATGCCCGCATTAACTTGCAAGAATGCATATCATTTTGAGGCTCCTTCGGCTGGGCTTGTATGACAAGAGGTTGCTGCAAAAACTTGCGCTCACCCGTCAACACCACAGCGATGGTAACCTTGTACATTACAGATCTGTCTGGAATACAGGAGTCAATGTCTGATCATGAGGTGTTGTGAGTGGTGGATCGCCATTGAGTTGCGCGTACAGTGCAGAAGCCATGCAGCAGCATGAGACTTGTCAGGATGGATGGCTTGCAAGTAGGAGACGGCCTCGACGGAGCCGGTCATGATGGAGGCATCACATCGAGAAGGTGATAAGGGTTTAGATGGCAGTCGCGGCAGCCAAGACATGGCATGACAGCAAGACTCTGTGTAGCGTCACCCAGCTGCATGCATGTCCGCACACTGGACCGGAGCAACGGGAGCTTGTGTTTACATGAGAAGTGAGATGGACTGACAAGGAGACGGGTATCAGCATTCGAGGATTGCGCGGTCTGCAGAGCAAGGCTGTGGTGATGATTGATGAGATATTCGTAGAAGGGTGATGTGCATAGGGATTCGACATGGAAGTGTTTCACAATGGTTGCGAGTCTTTTCGCCGATCAAAACAAACGCTTTTTGCTGTCTGTCTTGTTTGGGTCGTACGGCGCAACATCTCAAGCACGACAACAGACGGCAGGTTGGTGGAGTATCCGGCAGCCGGGCAGGACGAGTGCACTGTGGAGAGCTGGAAGAGCAGGCAGCATGACAGCAAAAGCAGGGCACGATGCATAGTGCCCCGGAGTGGCAGTGGATATGCATGACGAAAAGGGAACAAAGTGGAGAGTCAGTTGCAGGGTGTGGCGCATCGGCAGCGGGCATGCAGAAGTCTTGTGGGAGATCTCCAGATTCAGAGGCCGCGGGCTGCGTAATGCGACAGCACTTTCCGCGGCCACAGAGACAGGCTGGGTTGAGCACAAAGTAAAAAAGTGCAGCGCGGTGCCCAGAACTCTCGTAGTGCAAGGCAAGGCAAGTCAAGCAAACAAGCGTCAGCTCCTTCTGTTGAGGACTTGGAAGCGTCTGAAACAAGACACGATAACGAGCTGCGAGCGTAGAAGTGCGTTCGCAAGTGGTCCGCGGGCCAATCACATCAGCGCCGGCAGTGTGTTGAGGAGGCTTTCTTGTTAAAGACACACGGACCTCGCCGCCGTTCGAGCCTTTAATCGTCGCTGTTCCAAGTGTTTGATCTGGTGCTCGCAAGCGGCCCGTTTATGCTGCTACTGCCCCCAAAAGACCTTCTGGACGCTGTTTGGAAATTGTTCCACCACTTCCTCTCCCCGTGCACCTCGTCGTCTCCTGTCCATCACTCCAACCCCGACCACATCCAATCATCCCCTTTTGGCTTCGAGCAGCGAGTGCGTCCCTCAGCCAGCCTACATCAACCTTGTGCTCGCCGTCGCCTCTTCCCAACCTCTCCCGGTCTTCCCGGCTTTAATCCAACGGCTGGTCTCGGCTTCCGCGTCCGCAGACCTTGGCCGCATAACTGACCCTCGTCGCTCGCTGCATCGCTATTCTTCGCAACACCGCCAGTCTGGAAGACTACAAGGAACGCAAGTCGGAGAGCAGCCTCTCCAGTGATGCTGGTGAAGGCCTCCCCACAATGCAACCACAGCAACAGACCGGTGCGCGTCTGCGCCATCTGAATCCCCTCAGGCTGTTTCACGGCAACTTTTCGTACCAGGAGCTTCCCTCGGACAGCCGCAACACCTCGCCCTTCACATTACAGCCTCTGAAGCGAGTGCGATGGCCGTCACCGAGGCGCGCCGGCGAGGCCATGCGTTCAGTCCGCTGGTCCCCGCTCCGCATCCTCCTCTGGACATTGACGTCTCTCTTCGTCCTGTTGATGCTCATTGCGAGTCGCCATCACAGATTCCACACTCCGCATGAGCCCGCAAATCCGGATCCAGCAGTCGAAAAGCCTCCGGGTTATCCTTGGGAGGAATATCAGCCGTAAGATGCTCTGACACGCATTCGCCAGCAACATACTGACCCGAGACGATAGANNCTCAAAGGCTTCTATAACGGTATTCGCACTTTGACACCAGCCAAGGAATGGGTCCCCCAGAACCGCTACAACAAATCCGTGCCCGAGGGCGTCGTCGACGGCAACGAAGCTCGTGGCCTTCCCAAGCAACCCGCCTTCGAACCCATCAAGCTGTCCCCTTACCCTGACTACAAGTCTTACGAATACACGCAAAAGCACGGAAAGGTCGAGACCTGCTACATGGACGATGAGGACAAGGTCGAAGTTCCTGATGTCTACGTCTACCCTGGACTTCCCAGAAACATGACTGCTCCCTTCTTCGGTACCCACAAAGAACTCGGCATCAGAGATGATGTTTGTTATGATAGATTTGGCAGACTTGGTCCTTATGGTTATGGCTACAATGCTACTGCTGGTGGTCTCGGTCCTGGTCTCGATTCGGAAAATGTCGGCACTGACAAACTCTTCGAGAAGATGGGCACAGTCGACTACTCCAACGTCAACTGGGGCAAGGCCATGAAGAAATGTGCCCACAAGAACAAGGATCGTTTCGAGAACAAGGACGCTCACCGCAAGGTCGCTCGTCACGCCTACATTCTCCGCATCTGGACTGGCTACAACTTCAACTACAACCAGCTCTACTCGCTTCGCGCTATGATCGCTGAGCTCTCGCTGAAGTCGGGCGGTGAGTATGACGTCTGGTTCCTCTTGCACGTCAAGGACGAGACTCTTCCTATCTGGGCCGACAAGGGTGTCTACCAGAAAGTCATCGAACAGAACATGCCCAAGGAGTTCTGGAACATGACTGTCCTCTGGTCCGAATCTCAACTGCTCAACTACTATCCTCCCCCTTTCGCAGAGCCTTTCGAGAACCCCTCTGGCCATAGTGTTCACGGCGTCTACCGCTCGGCTCACTTTGCTCTCCAGTGGTTTGGCCAACAATATCCTGATTACGACTTCTACTGGAACTGGGAAATGGATCTCCGCTACAATGGACATTACTACGAACTGAACACTGCTCTTGGTGATTGGGCTCGTAGACAACCTCGCAAGGGTATGTGGGAGAGAGCAGAGAGATTCTGGATTCCTGAACTCCACGGTACATACCAAAACTTTACCGATATGGTCGAGCGTGAGACCCGCGAGAACGGCAAGAGTCCTATCTGGGGTCCCCCTGCTTTCCAGCACGATGGTCTGACTCCCTCTCCATCCGACACTACTCCTCCCACGTCGTACGACAAGGACGAATTCAAGTGGGGAGTTGGCGAAGAAGCCGATCTCATTACTTTCAATCCTCTCTTCGACCCCAGCAAGACCAACTGGGTTTTCCGTCTCGACGCAACTGGCTACAGCCTCAAGATGCCTCCTCCACCTCGCCGCTGCGCCATCATCACTGTCTCGCGTCTCTCCAAGCGTCTGATGGACATTATGCATGAGGAAACCTGGAAGTACCGCCACACCATGTTTCCTGAGATGTGGCCTGCCTCCTGCGCTCTGCAACACGGCCTTAAAGGTGTATACGCTCCTCACCCTATCTACTTCGACCGCGATTGGGACCTTGAATACATGGACAGAATGTTCAATCGTCCTCGCATCGATGTTGACAGTCCTTTCGGCTGGGGTGAACATAACTTCATCGGCAGTTCCTTCTACTATAACTCTGGCTTCAGTGGTGCTCTTTGGCGCCGCTGGCTCGGTCTCCGAGAGAACAAGGAGGGAGGTACCAGAGATGAAGAGACTGGCACTGGACGCATGTGCATACTTCCAAGTATTTCACATCCTGTGAAATTCGAAGTAGGCGAGAATAATTGAGCTTGACCGGATGGGAACGTGTTTCGACGACTAATGCATATGTTTCAGCGAAACTAGAAGGTGTCCAGGCTTCTGGGAAGGAGTTTTTAACTGGTTATATGGGTACCCATGAGTCTTTTTTTTCCTGTTTTCATCCCGCCTATCATTCCCTAGGAAGAGCAAAAAGCGCCATCACTCCCTGTTTCTTGCTTTCTTCCCCATCGGGCGTCTCTGTTCTGATTACCAGTCTTTCCGGTATGGCGTTATGTTGTTCGCAAGGAGCTGGTCTTTGTTGCATTTTGGATTGGCGTTTTCTTCGTTCTTTGCTTTTCGCTCTCCGTTCTCCGTCCTTCTTCTGGCTCCGTTCGATCTGTACATATGGGAGATCCCACGCATCCACAGCAGCGAGCTTGCATATAAGCAAAGGTTGAAGATACAGGCATTCGAGTCCACATATTTAATACTGAAAGGAATTATATCTTTTACTCCGTCATTGCCTTCGGTTGCATTACTGTAGTTGTCCCCTTTGCTGACCCGTCCCTATCTTCTCTCTGGACATCGCGCGGGTAGTGGAAACAACTATGTATTTTCATGGCTCCTATCCGTACATCTCAAAGTGCTTGGAAATATGATAGAGGAACTTTTTTCCAGTGACCCCCTTGCTGCTCGCACAGGAATCAGGCTTCACACTTTTCCCCTTTTTAGCCCACAAAAGGCGTTCGTTTCTGTTGTGTGAATGCACAGTCGTTCAATCGTGGTTCATCATATGCCAACGTCGATCCTCACAGTGGTTGTTCCGGCATTTTCTCTCGGAGCTGTTTCTCAAAAGACTACAGCCATAGTAGAGTATAACCAAGGTTAGCATATAAGAATTCAGTGGCGGGATAGGCAATTGATGGTTGTTATACAGGGTCGCTACTGTCACAAAACCTCATCGGCGCGGCAAGTGCGACGGTGCACGGTCCCAGCAGTGTGTCAAGTTCCTTCAAGTCCATCTCGACCGACTTCTTGTCAACTCTATCGTCTACAAACACAACTCAAGTCTTGCGCTGGACACATTCGCCTGTTCATTTCGTGAACTGGGTACATCTCGTTCCTGGTCTCGGTTTCTTATGCTGGGTCTACCTCCGAACACCGGCCAGAGAATTTTACATCATGCTGTCGATATCTTTCAGAGGCAGATTTTCGAGCGCTTCGAACCTAATCAACGATCACCTGTCAGAATGCGGCCTGATTAGATCATTTTCATCCTGCCAGATACATGCTGCTCGTCGCACTCCTACCGAAGAAGAATTGGCAACAATGTCACCTTCTATGCGACGTTATTACAAGAACATGGAAGACCCTGCCTTTCGAGCACGATGGGCTGCGCTTCACAGGCCGAAAACTGAGGATTGGCGTTCCAAGATGCAATCATTGAACTACGAGCAGTACACGGAAAGAAAGAATGAAGCGTATAGGGCTTATTGTGCAAATCCGGAAGTCAATGCTAAGAGGAAGATGTCTGCATGGTTGCAGCGCCTCTCAGATGACACTCGGAGAGCATTTACCTGGAAGACGCACTTTCCCATGGTTTATGGCGAACGGGTGGAAAAGACATGTAGCACATGTCTTGACTGCTATAAAAATGGTTCGAAGCTTTGGTAAGTCCACGACGAGTACCGCAATCGCGGGTTAAGAGCTATTGAATGGTGTCTCGACCTCGAAACCTCGTGCACTGCGGCTGTCGCCTTGTGGCAGTCATCTCTAGAGATTGTTTGCGAATCTTGCGAGTGCTTTCACAGCTCGCTCGACGTGACTTCTAGGGGCAGAACCTCTGCGATACAATCGGTTCGGACGTTTGGACGTTGATTGACAAGCTTCGTGCACATTTGCTCCTCGTGTATAGCCAAGCTGATTATATCGTCCCGTCTAGGTGGCAATCAATCGATGAGCCAGAAAAGTTCACCTGCCATAGCTGTTACTTCAGGAATGGCCTAGCAGCAGCATTACCTAGGGGTCATGAGAGTTATGTTCCATTTTCTGGAAAGCGATGGCCGAGACCAGATGCTCCCATACAGAGCGACAAATCGTTCCCGGATCGAGAGCGCCCGGAACAGTCAACGACAAAGGCCAAGCTAAATTCCAGCGATATTTCTGCGTCAGGGGGGTCAGGCAGCAGCAAAGTCACCTGATTGTTACAAACACCAGCGAAGTTAAACGGCTCTCGCATCATGCTGTACTTACTCAACACATAACATGGGATCGGCTCTTTACTTTTTCAAAGAACATACCTCTACCACGACTCGACAGCAAATTGTTAGATTGCGATATATCGGGATTCTCGAATCGAGATGAGACCAAAGCTGATATCAAGCTCGTCTAGAAGAAGACATCTAACTTGTTCCACCACTGTACATTCACTACAACATGCAGTCCAGGATTCGAGGCATAGCATAGTCGCACTCGTGACTAGAAACCACCATTATGTTACTCATGTCCATCAACCTTGGCGAAATCCTTCCTCGGAGCCCGATGCGGGGACGATCCTATCTGGCCCTAAAACACAATTTGATTTCTTGCTCATGCACCTCACATCGCAATGGAGATCACTAAACCTGGAAACTCACAAGAGGATTACCTAGCACTGGCTTACGCACATCAACAAGAGGTTGGCGGGAAGTACGTTCCCTTCTTAGATATCCTCAAAGAGGTGCTCGAGGACAGCATAACATCTGATGAGGCAGCAACTCGAGTCTCTACTTTTGTCTTCTCACACAACGACTTCTTATCCATATACTCTGGCGTTTTGTCAACGATTATTGGTGCAGCACATCAACTCTCTGAGCAACGAGATCTTTCCAAACTCGCTGGTCTTGTATCGGCACTCTCGCGATTACCTGATGACCGCAATGACAGCAACAAGACGCTTCATCTATATCTTGAACTTGAGAGTTATGACATAGCACCTCAAGAGGTCATTGAAGTCGACGACGGCAAGATCTGGTGTGATCTACCTTGTTTTCACACCGAGCTAGGCGATTCAATGCGAGGTATTTACTCCCCACACTCCTAGACTTAATCCATCGTCTGATCTTGCATTTCTCTAGGTCCTACAGCCTACATCAACGACGGCATTCCAGAACACATAGCCGAACAACAATGGACAAACCTCAACACCTTTGCCGCTTGCCTCATCTCCAACAGAGCCGATTCCCCTCGTTCATTTGACTATTTGTATACTTTTGCCTTTCGCTGCATTACCGATTCGCTGGAGTGGGACGCGAGAACTGAGCAAGGGATGTTTTCATTGTACTCTTTGCCAGCGGCGATGAGATGGCTTTGTATTGCAGGGCAAAAGGTATGGGAGAATGGGACATGGTGTGTTGCTGGGCCTCTGTGGCGAGGCTATTGTGAGGGAGAGGAGGTTGAGGTGGAGGATGGTGGAAACAATGGGATTACCCTAGAAAGATGGCTTTGGTGGGCTGAGAGATTGGAAGAGTTGGGAGAGAGCAACATGATTGATGAGGAAGCGAAGGCCCTGGCAGGAAGCTGTGCAGAGATGATTAGGGAATGGGCAGCGGATGATAGTGGACCCAGGGAAGGGAATCCTTAGATGTGCACAACCCTCCTCACCACATGGCATGCATCACTGATGAAGCTTGCGTGAGATAAGAAGTAGCTAATGGGAGCCGATAGAAAACAGGCTTTCCTTGGACAATGCCTCGCCTCCCGATAACACCGTACATGTTTATAGCTACGCAAATTACATACATTGGCACAACAAGAAGTTGACAAATGGTTGCCCCCTATCTGGGTCAAGTATATCGGTATGGTGTACTCAACCCCTCTTCTAGGCAGCGTAGATCGGAGAGTATGCTATGTAAATACACATATGGTATTTTCAAAAAACAAGAACTAGCTAGAGGGGGCCATGATTTTGGTGGCTCTCAGTGGATAGTGCCTTATATCTCCATGACACTGTCCATTTGTATAGCTACATAAACGACATGCCTTGGCGCATGGAGGAGCTACAAGACTATGACCGGTCAAGTGCATCGGTATAGTATTTTGCTCCGTGGTGGCAGGGTAATGCTACTCCTCCAGCCTGATTGATCCCTCCGAATGATCTTGCATATCACCAGTGATAGCAAGTGCAAGCAAAGCATGAACAGTCATGGCACCGGCAGCAGCGCACTGTACCGCCAGGATAGCTCCCATCCTTCCAGCATAGTTTCCGTTCCAGGTACTGTCAATGTATTGCACTAGAGCGTATGCACTAGCACTTGTAGCGATAGTAGCACCAATGATCAGAAGAGATCCAACAATAGCAGATGCTGTGCATACCCTCAGCATCCAAGTTTTTTGCTTCCCNTTGACGAATGAAGCGGCGACGAAGATTCCAGTGCTGACTACCCAGAAAACAGCAGCTGCGATCAAAAGACCAGGGTAGAATGTTTCGCGCTGAAGAATCAACGCTCTCTGGAACTCTTCTGCAAGATGCTGGTACACTTCAGGCCCCACAGCAGCGGCTTTGCCCCATTTGTGCGCGAGACTTTTGCCATCGAGGTGACGATCGATGGTGCTTACGCAGGCATGACGGTACGAGTGTTGCCATTCTTCTTCGAGACTGCGGGCCGAGCAGCCCAAGCACATNACCTGCCATTACATGTCAGTCATCAAGATGGATCACGTTTTAGCAGGGAAACAAGAAGGAAGCGCTGTCTTACTGTAATAACCAATGTCGATCGTGGATGAAGAACGGTAGAGCTGGAATTCGACAACGTCTGCATTAGGCAGTTGGAGGAAAAGCGGCGACAGTAGGGGAATTACTGCTCGAGTTTAGTCAAAAATGTCAGAGTGTGATATAACTACATGTCAGGCTGGAAGTAGACGACACCCGAACGTACATGTAAGAATCAGGATTGGGACTGCGAGTACAACATAAGAGACACGGAAGAGTCGCTGGCGACGCTCGTTGGCAAATTGCAACACTTTCTGCATCTTGTTTCGTGCAGACAGAACAGCCGGAGAATTCATCGTGTATGAAAATGTATGTGAGTTGTTGGAGAGTCGAAGTTGGGGGCTGACTCTTATATCTGGCTTGTCGGCAGTAAATGTGGAGTCACTACTTGGACAGGAGTCTGCACCGCCTGGATGGTTGTTGGTCATACAAAGTACGTGCGTAGGAGGATTCCACTATGCTAAGCCTCGCCTCGAAGCCCTTCCTACATGATGAAGGGAACTTGAGTCCCGTTCACGAAGCTAGTCAGATTCTATCGGTGATTAACCACACGGCCTGAATGTTGCAACGATCATAAAGAGCTCTAGACTCTTTTCTCAATGTTATTCGACACTGCAGTAGGTAGTAATTGATATTCGGATCCCGGCAGAACTGGCACTGCGGAAATAAGAAAGACTATTTTCGTTGCCGGAAGCTGCCGATTGGCCTTGGCACACGCATGTCCACGAACGTTCGATAAGAATGTGCCATTCGATCCAACTGACGCACCACATAGTCATGGTCGCTGAATCACGAAAGTAAGCTAGAATAATCTCGTAACCCGACAACCGCCGGCCGTAAGCTAGAATTTATATGTTTCGCTATAGTCCCGATTACTTTCACATCCCAAGAATCTTTGCCAACAGGTTCTGGTTGCTCATCATTACCAACATGCTCGGTCTATCTCTTCTCTTCCTGTTCGCCATGAGCATGGCCACAGCAACCCCTTCTGACCAGGCAACCTACGTCAGCATCTTTGACATCGTCGAATCGTCAGAATCGGCCGCCGTCCTCAAGGTCATGATCGACGACTCTCCAGGCTACTCGTACATCGACCTTGACCTCAGCGATATCAATCTTCTCAGAGTCTCGGTCTTGCATGGTGATGATGATTCGGTCATCTCTCGTATGGAAGCGCCAACGAACTCAAAAGCCGCTGCATTCCAAAAAGCATTGGATGCCGAAGCTGCCAGTCAATCACAGCAAGAACCTTTGGAGCCAGGAGCGATGGATTGAAGTTCGAGTCTGGCTCCAAGGATATGAACCTCTCATCAAGATAATACTCGTTCCTGGTATTTGACATTGCCGCTTGCAACGCTCTCCTTGGTCACTCCTGTGTACCGGGAAAGAAATGTGTATTTCTATAGCGTACTTCCTCCCTACACTATCTCTATGAGACAAGGGTTACATGGACCTCTTACTCAGATCTCACTTCTTGATATCTAACATTGCCGCTTGCAACACTCTCCACATTCATTCCTATGCTTCGGGAAACAATTGTGCATTTTTATAGCGTACTCTCCTTTTTACACTCTTTTCGTGACAAGGGTCAAGATGCAGGCTTCAGCACAGGGGAAGGAAATATGATAGCGAGCCAGCTATGTATGGCAAGAAACTTAATAAGTACTGCTGTTGATTGCTTCCCGCATCCTCAACGGAGCTTCCGGTATGATTCCTCTGAATTATCAGCACTTACTGTGCTAGCTGATGTTAAAACACTCCTCCTGAGATCTGCTTATGAGCTCCAAGAGCTTCCTGACCTCAACTCCGTATCCTCTCTGTTTGATCCTTTTGGCCATCCTCTGATGCCTTAACGGAGGCTCCGGTATCATCTGTGATGGGCAGTGCTTCAATCCTTGTCGATGACAAAGTCCTCCATGAGCTCCACGAGGTCATCGAACTCACCGAAGTCATCTGCGAGTTTTCCAGACTCTCTACCAGTTACCACAGCCTTCTTGAGATGTTCGCAAATGCCTGCAATGTAAGCCTTGAGTTCCTTGTTAGTGTTGATGAGTTGCTCCATCTCGCTACTCTCTGTATCTTTTGCAGATCGCTGGCCCGTTTTGGCCTCCACAAAGGCACGAACGTTGGCTGGCCATTCCGCCTTGCGTGCGGTGACCTTCAATGTGTCTTCGGGATCTCTGCAGAATTTGAAGAAGAAGACTTCGTCAGAGACCACTTTCTTTGGCTCGCAGACGCCATCCTTTTCGTTCATCAGAGCGTAGTAGTTGGCCTTTTCACTTGCGTAGACCACCACACGTAGTGCCTTATCGCATTGAGGTAGGAGGACATAATCAATGTCCTCTGAGATGGTGGTACCCTTCAGACGTGTGCCGAACTGAGTTTCCTTGTTGTGTCCAATTTTGGCGAGCTCGATGTTTGAGTCGGGTCTCATTCCGACCCAAAGGCCCGAAAGAACATTCGAGCTGGATATGTCGTCGGTCTCGACTTGGCTGTGTGTAACGGAAGGTACGTTATCCTTCGTGTACTTGGGAGGGAATTTGGTGTTGGTTTTGTCCTTGGTGACCAGCCATGTACCGTTTGTGTACTCTTCGGGAACCTGATGGTCGTACGCGATTCCGTTGAAGTTGTAGGCGTATGACATCTTGTCTGGTGTGTCTGTAGCCGGGACGTCGACCATGCGTGGGTCTTCAGACATGGCTGGAGATGTGCTCAACGGAGCTTCCGATAGCGACCAGTGGTAATGGTTGGAGATCGTGAGCTGATCCGGAAGACGTGTCGTGTAGCGTATCGTAACCTCCGTTAGCAAGCAGTTGGTGAGCTGAAGATGATGAACTGAGGTGCGCAAGCGAGAGGCGAGGATCTTGAGACTGGCGATCCACAAAAGGGGTGTCGTGTGAAGCAACGGAACTCCTGTCGATGATTGGGTGGCGAGTATCAAGGGAAAGCGCGCAAGAGAGAGCGAGAGGCGAAGATCTTGGAAGTAGAAAGAGGTCGGTGTGGTTGGGTAACAGGAATCACTCGACAAGCCGCGGACGAGAAGCTGTCGGGAGGAAGGTGGCAAGAAGCAGAAGAAGGGGAGAGGGTTGATCTGGTGTAGGCGGGAGGAGTTATATGGGTTGACTTATTGAGCAGCAGGATTAGGTGTTCGAAGTGCAAGGATCGATGCAGGATTATTCAAGAACTTTGGTTGCTACCAGCTGGATGATGAGGCGAGGAGACGAATTCCGCAAGCTTTATTCAGAGCAGGAGAATAGTGAAGAGAACTGAGGTCGAGACTTGGGATGAGCGTGGTCCAGTGGAAGTGGCAGGCACCAGCTAGGTGGGACATCAAATCACTATTGGCGACTCAGAGTATTGGAGCACAACGGGACTTCCGTTGACCGATACTATCTCATCTGATTGGGACTGTGATTCGAGGATAGCGTCCGACCAGCGGTCCCCGTCTCATGTGTCGACACTGAGCCAACTGGTTCAATCACAGGAAATTCAGCGGCCTCGTGCTCCTCACGACGCAGCTGTGCCATGAACTTGTCAATCACACTGCCTTTGTATTGCCGACTGTCTGAATGTGGTAATCAACCAAGGAGTCTTCGGCGATCAATCTGTAGATGGTGACGGCCTTCTCTTGTCCTGAGCGCTGGACTCTGAATCAGGCCTGTCTATCATCATTGGGATTCCACCGGACCTCGCATTAGATGACAATTCAGGCTGCGGAGAGATTGATGCCGGCTCTGCCAGCACCTGCTGTGACCAATAGGATGCGAAACTCGTTGTAGTCTACGGTGAAAAACATCCAACAGATGACATTGTGTTACGCCGGCTTTTGCTGGCCGCTGAATCTGTACGCCGAAGGCTTACCCTCCATGTGGGAGAAGACTTCCAGCAAGAAAACCCAGGAACTTCAAGCCAAAGGAGAAAATAATTTTTAGCTTGGTCTTGCGAAGTTCCTCGACAAGCTTTGTAGACTGCTTCGACACGTTCAGACCATATTGAACCATCCTTATACAGCCTTGGCACGTACTTGAGCCATTCTGCGCGTGTCTTGGGCTTTTTCTTGCTCGGTCTGTATGCCTTTGGGTATATGCCATCAACGTTGAAGATTATGCGCGTGGCGGACTCTCCCGTCGGAGTCGGCTATCGAAGGTTCCATCGGGTCTTCATGTTCGTGTAGATCGGTTGCGGCATTGTATCCCTTCTTGAAGGTCTTGGTAGCTTTCCTGACCTGCTGACTAATTCCCGTCATGGAAAATGTCATGAGAAAGCCCCAGCTTTTGTATAAGACTCAAGGTGACAGCGTGTTCATGAAACCTCAAATGACGCAACGCTTCGCCGATGAGATCGTTGGTACCTTCAAAGCTCAAAGGCTCGTCAATACTGTTGGTATAATCCATACCAGGTTCAGGGACCAGGAAGGGGCAATTAGTATCAAGAATGAGTGTCTTGACAGATTTCCCGAAGTATGGATATGCACCCATGTGGATCAATGCCTTGAGGCTGTAGATACTTAGAACATGACGACGGCATTTGATAAAATGCCTGATGAAGGAAATTGTGGCAGCTCTCTCGAAATTTCTGCATGTCAAATGGAAGGAGACGAGGCCTTCTAGACGCGTAATGTGGGCCACGCGCTCCAGGGTCTTCTGTGGAAGATCTTAGAAGTCTGATTTGTGACAGAAACATGCACTGTCCATCGTTCGTTTGGAGAACGTAGTCATGCTCAAATGTGCAGTTCTCCAGATCGTTGTTGAACCTTTTACAGCACAGGATAACCTCGACATTGTCCTTACCCCAATCCGTGATGGTTTCATCCTGTTGGAGGATGGGGTCAACAATGACAGTATCCTTGATGGTGTGTTCTCGGTAGTGACCGCGGCAAGCAGTCAAGTAACAAGATCGAGAGTGGACTTAGTGGGCGTCTCGTCGGTATCCTTGGCGGAGGAAGGCTGCTCGACTGCTCTTAAGGCAACAAAGCTGTCAGGCTCAGTTGATTGAGACCCTTGAGAGCAAGGTATATAGCAAAGTGGTGGAAGGTCCTACCAAAGATGATCGGGAAGATCGCTTGCAGCCTGATCTACAGCTGGAGATGAGTTCATGGCTAGTCACTCTTGTTGGGGTTAGTGGTCGCGGTAAATATGATGGACGAATTTTGTCTTGATGCGATTCGGGTTCAGGTTTGCATCATACTTTCTGGTGCTCCTGTACGGACACACAGAGCAGTGGAAGAACAAACCATCGGGTGAGGATGAGCTGGTTGGCAGAATCTATATAGGGTCGAGGCCGGATTTAGCAAAGTTACCTCGATACAATAAGCAAACTGGCTGCGACGGTCGTGGCCAAGACAGAACCGAGTATGATTGGATACGGTGGTTTTGATCTTCGATTGGAAGAGTGTTAAGGGCTTGCTTGACTTGCTCGCAGAGCTCAGATATGGGTTCGATGCCTTCCATAATTGTTGGTGTTGATTGACGTTTGCTGAGGGGCTTGCTATATGGTTGAGCCTGAACAGGTGATGTCAGTAAGAGAAGGGAGCCCGTTGCCTTCGATTGCACAGATAACAGCCTCGTCGTCGACCTTAGAGAGTGTATCGAAGCAAGAAAGATCGAGGAAGGTGACATGGCCGTGACCGACATCGGCCTTACGACCGCGTGTGTAGTCAGAGAAAGGGAATTCGACAACAGCGCCAGGTGGTAGGCCAGTGTCCTGGTCTTTCAGGAAGACGTCGACCGATACCGTTGGGGGAGATTGCTTAACCAAGTGCACTTGAGGTCGATCTTGAAGATCAGTTGGAGAGTTAACTCGTGGATTGTAGGAGATGCCTTGTGCGCGGCAGAATCGATGGCAACGATTTGGAAAGCAGGTGATTTTGCTCGGGTATTGGGCGCAATAGTCAGCTGTTCCAGAGATGCTAATAAACTCACTACCGAGACCAGCAAACCAATCCCTGATATCCGAAAGTATATATACTTGTACAAGGTCCTCAAATAGCATGGATCAGATAGTCTGGGTAAGAATGGCACGAGTGTCTGGATTTGGGACAGCCGCGGTATATAGTTGTGTCGAAAGGGTAAGTTCAACACGAGGCCGCTCGGCAGTCATGATTTGATCGGTCTCAGCGATCATCTCGAGCTCCTCGACCCGATCGATAGAGTAGTGGCCGATGTTGCTGGCTCTGAAGCGGTTGGCCGTGAAATGATAGTGTCTCTGCCATAGAGAACGAAGAGCTGCGCAGAAGCACTTACAGCCATTAGTGCGAGGAGCGCATCAGCAGTGCT